ACGTAGTCCTTCAAGAAGTCCCTGGCGAGCATCTGGATGTCGCGGGGGAAAGTGGCCGAAAACATGAGAGTCTGGCGGTCAGCGACAGTGGGCATGTCCTCGCCCTCGACAATGCGGCGAATCTGGGGCTCGAAACCCATGTCCAACATGCGATCAGCCTCGTCAAGGACAAGGTACTTGATGTTGCACATGGAGATGCGGCCACGCTCGAGGAGATCGACGAGACGACCGGGGGTGGCAACCAGAAGATCGCAGCCGCGCTCGATCTGACGCAGCTGAGAACCAATGTCCGCACCACCGTAGACGACGCACGGACGGACCCAAGAGCGGTAGGCGAACTTGCGGGACTCTTCGTAGATCTGCGAGACCAACTCACGGGTGGGAGCCAGAATCAGAGAGGTGGGGAAAGCCTTGCGCTGACGGCCAAAGCTGCCTTGCGCACTAGGGGGAGGAGGCGAAGGGCCGTTGAGGAAGGCCTGAGACAGGATGGGGAAGAGGAAACCACCAGTCTTTCCGGAACCAGTCTGGGCGCAAGCCATCAAGTCGCGGCCACCAGAGACAATGGGAATGGAGTACTTCTGGACGGGCGTGGGCACCTTGTAGTGCGCAAGCTCGATGTTGCGGACTAGGTGCTCGTCCAGGGGAGGAGTCGAGAATTGGTTGACGGGCTCGGGCGGGTCACGGCCAGAGGCCTCGACGGGAATGTCGTCGTACTTCTCAAAGTTGATACCGGTCTGCTGCTTGGTGGGGTCATCGGCGACGCCGAAAAGCTCACGCTCGAGACGGGGGTTGGCAGGGCCAGGGACGTGCTTGCCGTCCCGCCACTGGCCATCGCCAGAGCCGCGAGCAGAGCCACCGCCGTGGCCCTCGTAGCCACCACCGTAGCCACCTCCGCGACCTCCGGAAAAGCCGCCGCCGCCGCGACGAGTAGGAGGACCATTGTTATAGGTCGGCACCTGGGCAGCGTTGCCCCAGTTGTTCTGGCGGGCACCGTAGTTCTGGCTGTGAAGATGTTAGCGTGTTATATGCATTTGAGCGGCGTGTCAAAACTTACTCAGCCCAGTTGCTGTTGTTGAGGCCGTTCGCAGGGGGGCCGCCAGCGCCAGGAGGAGCTCCACCAGGGGGAGGACCACCAGCCGCAGGGCCAACGCCCGGACCGGGACCGTTCATGGGAGGACCGCCTCCAGGGCGGTTACGCATGTGAGGAGGGATGTAAGAGCGACCGCCGGGGGCGCCGCCCTGCTGGCCATCCGGGCCAAGGTTCAGACCGTTCATGTTAAGTTGGTCCGCCATGTTGGGTGGATGTCGAGTAGTTTCTTCGTGTCGATCGAGAATGTGTGGCGAGCGAGGAAACGTGTATCACCCTTCTTTCTTGCGAGAAAAAGAGAGTGAAGAACTTGAGTAAACTCGTGGATCGAGTCGAAACAGGGAAAGTCGTCGCGCGAGAAGGGCAAGGAGGGCAGACTCCAATAGACTTTCAGTTGTTGATTAAGTGCAGCTTGCAAATTCCCCTCGAAGAACAAACAAATCTTCAAAGGAAAGAAACAAACAAGGAAAGACGAAGGAATGCCTGTGGGTGGCAGATATGGGAGGGGAGATGATGTTTTGAAGGGTGGATGAGGTTTGTAAGGAGAAGAAAAAGGGTCCAGGATCGGGTGAGGGCTGATGAAATGGGGCCAGATAGAAAATTTCAAAATGTGGCTAGTGGCGTTCATCTGGCAGGCACTGGCATGGCAGGGCCGGCAGTGGGTCGGAGTGAGCGGTGAGCCGCATCAGCCACTGTGAGGTCACAGAGGGGCAGGAAGTGTGGCTGGTGACTACCTCACGACTCGGACGTCTAGCGTGGAGTCAGGGTCCAAGTGGCACTAAGCTGTTCCTGCCAATGATGTCTGCCAAGGGCATCGACCTCTACACACCCTCACGGTTGAATATGTCGGACATGCCATTACCTTTTTCTTTTTTTTTCTTTTTGGAGAATACCGTCTTCCTCGACTAGAGGCAACCCTAGCTCCCACATGCATCGTCACGGCAGCTTGTGACGCACAGAACGGCAATTTTAACCCTCACGCGCTTCTTCGGACGTGACGACTCTACGACGGCGCAGCGATTTAGCCCAAACATGTTGCCACTAGACACCGCATTATTGAAGCTGCAACAAGGCGGCGCCCAACCGGAGTACGCGCGAGGGCAGAAGCTGTGGAGAAGCGAAACTTGGAGGCATTATAAGTTGACTAGAAAATAAAATCCTAGGCATGTGGTGCGCCCTGCTTCCTGTGCCGAGTGTCGTTAGGTGATGACAATATCCATTATACTTGTATAACTACTGCATTGCTGTGTGGCTAGCTCTCAGCTTTGGGGCCGCCGCTTGTAGAATACCTCGACGTATGCTTCCGCTTCTTGATTTCTTGTGTTGTATTTTGTGCTGTGGAGCTTTGTTTTCTTTGGCGCGTTCAGACTCTCATTCTTTCTACTCGACGGGCCATGGTTGTCTCCTTGAGCATCCTACAGTTCTATTGGCAACTTGAACTCAAACCTACCAGGTACTCCAAGGCTCTGTACACTTGTATCACATTCCAGTTTGCAGCAGCTGTTTCCCAAGCAATGTTAGGCAGGCGAAGATCCTAAGTTTATCCACTATATCGATAGATCGAGAAGCTTCATTCGCTCGTAGTCACGACAGATCTTTTTGACATCTATCGCCCTTTGTCGCAGCTCGACCGGAACATTGACTTTGCTCAGAAATGGTTACAAGAAGTGAATCATCCACAGAGGGTTTACGCGACGACGAACACAACGTCAAGGCTTCAAAAAGAAACATATCAGTGTCTGCAAGGAGTCAGTAGCTGCAACTTCATGTTGTTCCTCCTGTGTATGCCCTGGTGAGCCCCTATCAAGCATGTCCCATTTTCATCATCTTTAAACTTGTGATTTGCAATAAGGTTCTGTATCATGGCCAAGATTCATCCGCGAGCTGGGGCTTTGGACTCACAACGTTCAGCTGTGAAAATATGAAGGCGAAAGGAACTTACCTACTTGCCAGTCAGCCACTGCATCAACAGTGTTCTGGCAGATAGGTAAGGATCGTGGAATCCCGCGACCAAGGACTCAAGTCGAAAAGCGTAGGCTTTGCTGAACTGGGTTTTGCAGACTGATACCTGTGTCAACATCGAAATTGCAGTCTTGGTCGAGACTGTGATGGGAAAAGGCCTCAGGCAATTTGTTGTTAAGTGGCCGTCTCAGCATTCCCATCTCCGGAGGAGGTGGACGACAACGCACAGGTCAACCATAGTGGTCAGAGCCGAGCCAGCTCTGCCGAGCTCGCCATTCAAGACGCTCGTCTTGCCGCTGGCGAACTCCAGACTACGTAGGGGCCATGAAGCAAGTTCAGCGTCAAGCGACAACCTATTCGTCCATAACATTGGTGCTGAAGAGGCTCATCCACATACGTATATATGTTATGACGAGGCGTCTCAACTGGAGGCTTCCACACATGTTGTACGTCTGTAAGATGCTTTGGACGTAGTAATTGTGGCGTTCACTTCAAACAAGACTGCTACTCTGTGTTAGTGATTCCGGAGCATTTACTATACTTGCCGGCTAGTAGTCAGCACGACCAGACGCCGAAACTAGCACTGACAGTAGTGTCTTTCAGCGATAATGTGTAGAAGAACATGGAGATCTTCTTGAGTTAAACTCCAGCTCTTATGACGCCGCACATGTGGCATGCTTCTGGAGTCCTAGTGATAGCCGCCATGATGCCACTAGCGTCGCTCTCGAAGTCGTCAACATCACCGATATGGGTTTCCACACCTGGATAGCCCGCGCTTTGTGGCTAGGCTAGCCACAGAAAGACCACATGCTGACTATGTGCGACTTTTTGCGGTGAATTCCTACGTGACTCGACAGGAATGGGCGATGATTTCGTACGCGCGGCCAACACGAGGTGGTGGCGGGTCATCCAGCCCCTCCTAAAAGAGTTGAAACAAGGTTATCCATAAGCTGCCTTCCCGCACGGGAGGTTATTCTACGCGCGCATTCCTGAACACCACACTCGGATTGACTCACTCCGGGAACCGCGTGGGAGTGAGTCGGCGCAACCTGATGCTCGCTGGGACTGCGTCCGATGGCCGTGGGTTTGAGCAACCTCGAGCCTTGAAGATTGCGATCAGCAATGTGGCCATGACGGACGCGTGTAATGGCAGAGTTGGACAAGCTGGTGCTGGCGAAATCCAAGACGATTGGGATGCTCGAGGTATTCGACGGGTTTCAGGAGAAATCATTGGCAAGGCCTGGGCGCCAGCACTGCCTCAACGGGCTCGTGACAGAAATAATCAGCAACGAAGCATTGACAGACCTACGCAGGCCTCATTGGGCCGTCGTGAATGGAACGCGATGAGAAGACGGGTCTCTGTTCCGCTTGCCAGCCAATAGACACGCTTTTTCTCTCGTAAAATAATCGACCGATCGATCAATTGTCGCTCAAACCCCCGTGGTGCAACCAAACGAGCTTGGCGTCCACTAGCCAGGGGAACCAGTGTGGCGCTTTTATTGTGACAGCCATCTGGCTTGCGACAGTTGCGTGCTACCTTGCCTTATGCATAGTTCATCCCTGAATCCTGCTGTCCCCTTCTACCCGGTCATCTTGCTCTATCGCCAGTGCTCGCCGACTGTCACGTCGTCAATCCATCAAGCGCATTCAGCAGACCGCCTGGTGCTCCTCGACTCGATCGTCAAGTCACCACCTTTCCTTCACTTATACACGCAGCTTTCACTCGCTCCAGTCCTCCGCACCACTGCAATTAACCTTTTGGCTTCCAGTCCGTCGACTCATCGCCCAGCGGCTTCGAAGCTTAAAACGAAATCAACATACGAGAGCAACACGAGCTGGCCTCGACGCGGCCCTGCGCTGCTGCGAAACGATCGCAAAATACAATCAAGATATTCGACGCCCACCTCGACTGGACCTCTTCCGCGGACGTAGTTGACACGGCGCTGTCACCATGAAGTTTAGCAAGCTCTTGGCCGGCTTGGGCCTCATGGCCACTGCAGCAAACGCCATCGACGTACAAATCGACGACGAGCGTGCGTGCCTGTAACACTAATAGTGGAAATGCTTCGACTAACCGCGTGCACACAGAGAGCCGCAAGGAAGCCGCCGGCACCGTGGCGTATGGGCTACTCGGATTCTACTATGGCAATAATACGGGCGATGTTCCCGGCAACCTGCCAAGTCCTTATTACTGTCAGTGTGTTGAGTTTGCTGGCGTGCCCCGGCTAACCGATCATAGGGTGGCTCTGTGGCGCCATGATGGGCACCTTGATCGACTACTGGCATTTCACAGGCGACGATTCTTACAACGACCTGGTAAAGCAAGCCATGATCCATCAGGCGGGAGTCGACCAAGACTTTCTACCCGCTAACCAGACCCGTGCTATGGGTAATGATGACCAAGGGTTCTGGGCCATGACAGGCATGCTCGCCGCCGAGTACAAGTTTCCCGACCCTCCAGAGGACGGGCCCCAGTGGCTTTCTATTGTGCAGGCCGTCTTCAACGAGTTCGCCTCTCGATGGGACGAGGAACATTGTGGTGGTGGTCTGCGTTGGCAAGTGTTCGACTTCAATGTTGGGTGGAATTATAAAAATTCAGTATCAAACGGCTGCTTCTTCAACATAGCCTCGCGCCTGGCTCGCTACACGGGCAACGACAGCTACGCCGACTGGGCCGAGACCGTCTGGGAATGGGAGAACGAGGTTGGCCTCATGACCGACAAGTACGAACTCAAGGACGGTGTGACGATTCGCGACGGCCAGGACTGCCGCGAGGATATGGACCCCACCCAGTGGTCTTATAATTCGGGCGTGTGGCTGCACGGTGCCGCCATCATGTCGAACTACACCGACGACGCCAAGTGGAAAACGCGTGTAGAGGGCATCCTCAATTATGGTCTCGACCTGTTCACAAAGGACGGCATCATCTTCGAGCAGCAATGCGAGACCTGGAACACATGCGACGACGACCAGCGGTCATTCAAAGGCTACTACATGCGATGGCTCGCTGCTGTGGCGCAGCTCATTCCCGAGCTGGCCGACAAAATTGTACCACTCTTGAAGAATACCGCTGTGATTGCAGCCGGTGCTTGCTCTGGCTCGCCTACTGGGCCCATTGCAGGCTATCCGCCATTCAAGGGACATCCGGGCACGGCCTGCGGATTTACATGGCTGAACGGGTCAACCTTTGACAACAAGTTTGGCGTGCCTGAATCAATGAACGCTCTAGCTGCCCTCTTGTCGACCTTTGAGGCCGATCCGCCTGTTTCAGCGGACACTGGCGGTACATCCAAAGGAAACCCCGGCGCTGGCGGAAGTGATGAGGAGAAGGTGAGGGTATTCCAACCCATCACGACAGGCGATCGGGCCGGTGCCGGTATTCTCACGACCATCATCATCTGTGGTGTGATTGGTGGTAGTGCCTTCTTGATTATTTAAGCGTGTGTGTGTTCAGGCTCTTCTCCTGCATCGCCGAGTTCCTTTGATGGACTCGTAGCGTGTGACACTCGAAGGATAGGGACGGGCGTTGGAGGCGTTTGATGAGGAATCCAGCCGATTTGGGCCGCAAGCTCAGGGACGACGGATGTGTGGTTAACTACCTATGTACCGAGTATATTCCCATCGTTTCGCATATCGAGCATGCAATAAATGCAGCCAAAGGTCAGATATCCTCCAACTACGGGACTATGAATGGGGGCAACGCCCAAGTCAAGCCCCGCCCGCCTGTTGCATCATACAGTCCAACTCACGTCACCGTGGCGCTCCAGTCAGCTTCCCATCTACATCAGCCAACGTAGGTACTCAAGTGATCTTGTCTGAGTCATTCCACATAGCAACCATGTCGGCGAAACACTTTATCAATGATCCTACCAAGTTGGTCGACTCGGCCCTGAACTCGGTTACCCTCACCAACCCCAACGTCGCTCTTGATCCGGACCACAAAATCGTCTACCGCCGTCCAAATGACTCTCATCCACCCCAAGTTTCCATCATCTCGGGCGGCGGATCTGGCCATGAACCATCATTTGCCTCCATGGTGGGACCGGGAATGCTCAGTGCTGCCGTCGCTGGGACTATCTTTGCGAGCCCCTCTGCCGAACAGGTCCGTCGGGCCATCACCTCGCGCGTGCAGACGGCTGAGGGCATCCTCGTGGTTGTGATGAACTACACAGGCGACGTGCTGAACTTTGGCATGGCGGTAGAGAAGGCGCGCGCCTCGGGGACCAGGGTGGAGATGGTCGTCGTGGGCGATGATGTTGGCGTGGGACGGACAAAGGCCGGCAAAGTGGGACGACGAGGCATTGCCGGCACGGTGCTTGTCCTGAAGATTGCGGGAGCGCTGGCCGCGCAAGGCAGATCGCTGGAGGAAGTGAGCCAGGTGGCTAAGCTTACGGCTGACAACCTGGTCAGTGTTGGCGCAAGTCTGGAGCATGTCCATGTGCCTGGGCGCGACCTGACGCAGGAGGACAAGCTCGAGCTAGGAGAAGTCGAGATTGGAATGGGTATTCATAACGAGGCTGGTTCCGGCAGGGGCAAGATGGATTTGCCAGAGCTGGTGAAGAAGATGCTCTCGCAACTGCTGGACGCCTCCGATGCGGACCGCGCATTTCTCAACGTCAACTCTAACGAATGTGTTTTGTTGGTGAACAATCTTGGCGGAGTCAGTCCACTTGAGCTCGGTGGCATCACAGCAGAGGTCGTGTCACAGCTACGGGAGAACTGGTCGATCCAGCCTGTTCGCATCCTGGCTGGCACGTTCATGACCAGCCTGAACGGGCTCGGATTCAGCATTTCCTTGCTCAACGTCGTCAATACGAACATTGGCGGCCCCAGCATGATTGAGCTTCTCGATGCCGACAGCGAAGTCACCGGGTGGTCCGCGCCGATCAAGAAGACGACCTGGGAGGCAAAGAACAAGGCAGTCTTGACTGAAAACGCTGAGGATTCTGCGCAACAGGCAAAGCCAAGTGGTCTCAAAATCGACCCTCAGGTCGCCACGAAAGCACTGACTACAGCCCTCCAGACGGTTATTGCTGCTGAGGCAGACATCACACGGTATGATACAGTAGTTGGGGATGGGGATTGTGGCATTGGCCTGAAGAGAGGAGCTGAGGGTAAGTCGGCCCCGTGCAAGACACGTCGCACTGTTGCTGATGAAGAGTCTAGCGATCCTCAGTCACATCGACAAGCAGCCATTGCGCGAAGACATTGTCAGCAGCCTTGCTTCTATTGTCAATGTCGTCGAGAATGTCATGGATGGCACATCTGGTGCCCTCTACGCTATATTCCTCAATGCTCTTGTCAAAGGGCTGCATGAGCAGGGACCAGGCGATGCTACGCCAGAAGTGTGGGCCAAAGCCCTCAAGCACAGCTGTGATGCGCTGTCCAAGTATACACCCGCTCGGCCGGGAGACCGGACCCTCATCGACGCCCTATATCCCTATGTTGAGACGCTAGGCCAGACAGGTGATGTGAAGAAGGCTGCCGATGCCTCAAGGAAGGGGGCCGAGGGCACCAAGGGAATGAAAGCAAGCCTTGGAAGAACTGTGTATGTTGGTGGCAGTCTGTATGAGGAGGTCCCCGATCCAGGGGCTTGGGGTCTTGCCTGCTTCTTTACCGGCCTAGCTGGTCAAAAGCCCAACGAAGAAGGCTGGGAGAGCATTTGATCTGTGTCTAATTAGTGTGCAATATGAGATTATTAGTCAAAACTGTAATAGCGGACGAGAGGCTCAGAGTAAATGCAGTTTTCATTGGAATAATCACAACCAACGCCTGAAGTCCCTTGCAACCATAGCTCAAGCGCGAGAGCCACATGTGTTTCCCTCTCCCCAACCTGTTCGTGATCTTTTATTGAGCGTCGCAATCAGCTGAGTAGCACAAGGATGACGCTATCGCCTCTTAGAAACCTGCTAAGCGTTAGCACTGTCGTGGATATCGGGAAACCCCGTGCGAAACACACATTTTGCTGATGAAACGGTCCTTGTTGACAGGCCTTCCCTTCTTTCCGTCGGCCAACCTCGGTGTCTCTGTCCACATCTCCTTCACATTCTCCAGCACCATGTTGCAGTGTCGGTCGAACGCCTTGACGCGCGCCAGCAGTTTGCGATTGTTGCGGACGGAGATCAGGACTTGGGTATGTGAGCGAACAGCGGTTTGCAGAATCGACAGAGGTCCGGCCGAGAACTCGTGCTCCTCAAGCTGCGCAATCTCGTACTCCCTAGCAAGATGTCAATATCGCCAGGTACTATCGCAGAACGGGGACGGTGTCAGGCGTACGTGAGCTTGTCGCGGTCCTTCGTGAGGAGTTCTCTGGGGCTCGTCAGTATTCAGAACAAATCACATCCAAAATTGCGGTACATACTGTATCTTTGCGTCGGCCATGGTGTCTGTATTTGTTGAATTAGATAGAATCTACGTAGGGCGTGTCGCGCAAGGCTACAGCTTGAAGCTCGAAAAGATCCATGTTCAAGCACTGTTTTGATTGGCCAGTTTGAGAGCCCTGTGTGAAGACTGCAATTTGCACGCGCTGCGGTGTCCGCTTCGCGTAGTCACCGGCGCTAAACCCATGTTGGAAATGTGATGCTGCATCTTCGGGTAACTTGAGATTTTGGCTGCATCTTCATAGCCGTGGAAAACCATTGCCGCGGCGCATTACCACATCCCAACCCTCAACCTAGGCTCGACCCCGCCCTTTCCTGTCGATGCGCTTTCTATCATTCAGAAGCGCGTCGTCAATTGGCCTCTAATGTCGTTTCGAAGCATAGCAGCGCGAGCTGGACACGCAGCAGGTGCTTCAAGCTGTCGTGGACTGAACATGGCACCGCACGCAACAGCTCTAAGCCCATTCAGGGTCCGCCCTGTAAGCATTGATCCAGTATTCCAGCGTGTCGCAAACTGACGGAAAGGCCAGCTATCGACAGAGGCGAAATCGATCAAGGAACTCCCCGGCGATGAAGACCACGATGTCGTTTTCGAAACCAAGTACGGCGTGCGCAGCATTACCCTGAACCGACCGAAGAAGCTCAACTCTTTGAACGCTTCCATGATTCGAAAGATCGTGCCGCGCATGGTGCAGTGGGAACAGTCCGATATGGCCAACGTGATCGTCCTCAAGGGTGCAGGCGAAAAGTCCCTTTGTGCTGGCGGTGACGTTACTGCACTGGCCGAGGCGAACAGGTCGAGTGAGGATGGTTGGAAGAAGTCGGCCGAGTACTTTGGCCTTGAGTACAAGCTCGATCACTACATCTCCACCTATCAGAAGCCCTACATTGCATTCATGGATGGCATTACGATGGGTGGAGGTGTCGGCCTCAGTATCCACGCTCCGTTCAGGATTGCTACGGAGAGGACCGTCTTTGCCATGCCAGAGACGACGATTGGCTTCTTCCCGGACGTTGGTGCCTCGTTTTTCCTCCCGCGAATGAATGGTGCCGTCGGTACTTATCTTGCTCTGACAAGCGAGCGGCTCAGCGGCGTCAATGTGCTCTACTCTGGAGTCGCCACGCATTACTTGCACTCGTCAACTCTCCCGGAAGTTGAGGCCCGTCTAGCTGAGATCCGTTTCTCGGACACGGACGACATGAACACTCGCTTAAGGCTCATCAACGGTACCCTTGAGGAATTCGTTACCGGACTTCCTTATGATCAACCCATGCAGATTGCCGGGGAGGTGCGTAAGGCCATCGACCGATGCTTCAGCAAGGACTCTGTCGACGAGATCATTGCCGCGCTCAAGGCTGAGACCGGTCCTACGGAGGAGTGGGCGCAAAAGCAGCTGGCGACCATGCAGAAGCGTTCGCCAACAGCAGTCCACGTGACGCTACGCCAGATGCGCTCGGCACAGGATTGGGATATCGCCCAGACGTTCAAGCGCGAGGCCCAGATTGCGACACAGTTCATGAAGCACCCCGATTTCAGCGAAGGCGTCACAGCACTCCTGGTGCGCAAGCAAAAGCCCTCATGGCAGCCGGCGACTCTAGACGATGTCAAGGACAGCAAAAGCACAACCGATGCTTTCTTCGAGTACGATGAGGCGAACACATTGGATCTGTTCACCGATCGCACGTACGCTGAATACCCGTACCCTCCCGAACTGTCGATGCCCAGCGAGCGTGACTTCCGGAGAATCTTGAAAGCGAAGCAGAATCTTACTCCCTCGCAATTGGCGAAAGCTGTGGTTGAGATTTTCAAGAGACGTCAAGGCGTGCACGAAATCGTGGAAGAGATCATGGCGCGGAAGATTGTCACGAATGAGGCTGGACACGCCCAGTGGGCGTACGATGAGTTTGAGCTTGCAGAGGAGAAGCGGGAGGCCCAAAAGGCCAGCGAGGCCATACAGGACAAGAAGGATGCTCAGGTCGCGATGGGCAAATTGTAAGATAGAATGTACATATATAATGGCGTTAAATTAGTGATGGGACGGCGTGGTCCCTGAAGCGATGAATGGGGAGCACTTGTCAGAAACGCTGAACAATCGCAATTTGCTACAATGATTCCATTTGGCAGTGAACCGCCCTCACATGACGTGCTTATGATACGAATTTCTTCTGGTTGAGCGTGAAGCTGGTGGTTCGTCTCTCATGACACGAGGTGATCACGGGGTCACGTGACTCTTCCAGGCCATTCGTCGCTCTTGCAGCCTAGCCGTCGTTCCTCCCGCTTCCCTGCTCATCGATACATTAGACTGCTTGTCTTGCATCTGTCCATCTTACGGCTTTCATTGATTGCCCAAAAGCTCGAGACTTGCATCTTTCGCTCTGCTTCATTGCATTCCTCGCCAGCTTTCTTCAGGACCATCCGTCGGCTGTGTTCTAGCTCAAACGCCTGCGTCATCACCCACTCAACAGAGCTCCCTCAGGCGGAAGCTCAGCTTGCCAACCCAACCGAGACACGTCCACCCGTTACCTGACAGTCACCATGTAAGTTCTGACGTGCATATATGATGAATCTCAGTGACTCATAATCTCTAGGGAGGTTCTCTTGGGTATTTCCGGAAAGGACTTTGTCCTGATTGCAGCTTCCAAAGCTGCCATGCGAGGGGCAACCATCCTGAAGGCTTCCGACGACAAGACCCGGGAGCTCAACAAGAACACACTCATGGCCTACTCCGGAGAGGCTGGTGACACTGGTGAGTCTCTGTTTCTCTGAGAAGTGACAGGCCGACTAAATGAAATCAGTGCAATTTGCAGAGTACATCCAACGTAATGCGCAGCTATACAGCATGCGCAATGAGACCGAACTTTCTCCGCCAGCACTGGCCAACTTTGTACGAGGCGAACTTGCCTCAAGTCTCCGCAGTCGGAAGCCATATCAAGTCAATCTCCTGCTTGGTGGCGTCGACAAGGATACAGGCAAGCCCAGCCTTTTCTGGCTGGACTACCTTGCGGCGCTGGCCGAGGTCCCGTACGCCGCGCACGGTTATGCACAGTACTACTGCCTCTCCATCCTGGACAAACATCACCAGCGGGACATTTCGCTAGAGAGGGGTATCGAGCTCCTAAACCTCTGTGCGGACGAACTCAAGAGGCGGTTGCCGATTGACTTCAAGGGATTGACTGTGAAGGCGATCACGGCAGATGGTGTCAAGGATATTCCTTATGACGATGACAAGATTGTCAAGTCTGCATAGGAGGTCGAGGAAGTGTCAGAAATAAATCACAATTGATGTCTTGCAGAAATGTGCATTCTCGCGTGGTGATGTTGTCGGGGCGACTTTCCGCTCGTGAATGGGAAAAAGTGGAGGCCGGTGATGCAAACCATCAAGAAAAACACCAAAATCATCAAAAGGCGACCGGCTGACAGGCTTCAATATCTGAGCTTTGGTCGAACATTGTCTGGCCGTAGTGGAGGGGTCAAAAGGCAGGTGTGGCACGCGTTAGTCACGGGAAGTTACCGACAACCCAACACCCAAAGCATCTCCGATGGCCTCACGTCGATATGGGTTCAGAGCGAGCAGGTATAAAAGGGAACGGCACGCCCACCACCGCACGGGGCCCAAGGAAACTCCTGCAAAACTGGACTTCTTTATCTCACTCTTCCAGAGCTCCAACCGGGGTGCCTCTGAGCGTCCGAAGCTGCTTGGCTAAAGTCCGTCGTTCATCGTCTCAACGTTTTAGTTTGAGACATTGCTCACTTAGCGGTCAAGATAGTCTCGTTCATGCCTGAGGCAACCAAGCGCGCCACAGCGAAGTCGACCCGATTAGGATTAGTGCCGGCATAGAGATCGCCCCGCGACGATTGGCTGGTGAAATCTGTGGCTGGCGGGTGGGTCCTCTGCAGCAGGCACGCGTCCAATCCTACGCCAAACGTCACTTACAAGATCTCAGACGCGGCTTCCCTCTTGACTGTTTGGCGAGCGCCATAACGGCCATTCGCGTCAAGCATCCTCAACCCTTCTCTTTTGTTATTCTATCCTCGCGCTCACTGCTTGGGCTCACACCCTTCTTCCCTACTGTGTCTTTTTTGCATTTGGTGGAGGTCTCAGTGCGTGTTATAGACAGCTCCACAGCCTGAAAACGCGCTGATACCACGGCCAGGGTGGGTTCAAGGCCACGGCGCGTCACGAACATTACGCCTCAAGTGCCTGCCATTGCCTGGTCAATGAGACTTGGTTTCTGTTGCAACCCACCTAATTTCAGTCACCACCACACCTTTGACGCCGACCTCATCTCGACCTACAATCGATATCCTGCTGCTGCCCAGTTTGTTAACGACGGTATTGCATACTCGAGGCCGAGGTTGGCACCAGAGAGCCCGCCTCCTAGGGGACGACGACCTTGGTCATGGCGTCGCCTATGCCGACCCAATCTTCGACTGGCTGGAGCAACCAAGGGCAGGCGATGCCTCCATCACAGAATAGTGGTGACGATTCGGGCGTTCAAATTCGTCCCGTCGGTCGTACGTGCAAATCATGGGCCATGTGAACGCCATGCTAATGCCTCCTCAGTCAAGGTGCTATACAAGTTCAATCACGATGACAGGTTCGACTGCCTTGCGAGACCAAGCCAGACGTTCAGTCTGCAAACAATAGCCTTGGATGAGAGAACGACGATTGGCGTGGTTGATTTACGGACATGCATTCAGGCGGTCATCGACTGTAGCCCAGAGCTGCCTGGGAGGGAATGCGACTTCACGATATACGCACACGATTATTCGGAACCGGACACTCCTCTCGTCGGCCAGGGCATGCTCTCGACGGCGCTTCAATCCTTGCAGCAGGACTCGAATGCGCAGCCCAAGATGGTGACAGGGCTCCTGACGAAGAACAAATTGGGCCTTTTGATGGGAAATGCCAACAAGGAAACTCTGGAAGTCAAAATCAAGTTCACAGAGACACCCAGGCCGCAGCAACAGCAACCGGTCCAGTATCACCCTCTGCCGCAAAACCCAAGTCAACAGTCGAATCAATCACAGAGTCAGCACGAGGCATATCACCCAGCGAACAAGCCTCTTGATCGATCGTTGACGCCTACTGGCGCCGCTGAGTGGAATTCGTTTGTGCAAGCGAACCCTCAGCTCGGTCAATCAACTCATTTCTCAGCGGCTGTACCTCAGCCACGAGGACGACCACCGCACTCAAGAACGAACTCGTTTTCCCACTCGCCTCTGCCACAATTACAACCTCAACCCTCGTTCGAAAGTCACACTAGACCGGGGACGGGGAATCTCAAGATTGCCCCAGCACCCGCCGAGAGCGAAGCCTCATCAAGGCCCATCGAAGCAAATGCTGGTCCAGTCTCGCGACCCTCTAGTAGGGCATCCAACAAGGCCCCGCCCAAGCCAAGAGGCCGGACAGGCAGGCCTCGAGGACGACCACCGCGCAACAAGAAACCAGTGGAGGGCAATACGTCTGGGTGCGAGGAAGCAACAGAAGGTGAAGACGGACCTGCGAAGAAACGCGCCAAGACGACAAAGGTGGATATGGTCACTGGAAACCCTTTTGGCAGTGAGCCAGACTCTCTCAGGGTAGCTGCGAGCACTTCGGGGTCATTGCGCAACTTCCGGCCGATTGCGCAACGCGGGAGCGAAGGTCCTACTGGGCCAAGCCACTTGCAAGAGATTCCCAGGGCGCCTACACCGGTACCCATGGGGCCTTTACGCGGAGGCAAAGGTGCCAAGAAGACTGCTCCTTCACAGTCAGCAATAGGACGTGAAGCTTCTGTACCGCAGCTTTCTCCACGGGGCCAGAGACTTCGACAGATATCCCCTGGCCAGGATGATGGGCGCTCGCCAGACTCGATTGCGGAGACTGCAGTGCAAACGCCAGCCTTTTCGGAAACCAGTCCACCTGATATTCGCTCTTCGCCGCCTGTTCCTCGCACTCAGTCTTTTTTGCAGTCGAGTCCCCCGCCCTCGAGCCCGGTGCTCCCACCGATGCCCATGGAGCCGTCCCAAAATGAGGGTCCGGGGGACGCAGATGACGTGCTCAGCGAACATAAATCGCAACCCCAGACTGCGAGACAGAGGAAGCGGAAGCCGAGGGTTCCAAAGGGCACACTGGGTGGGCCGAGACCTGCCGCTCAGATCCCTTATCAGGTGTTTCGCATGGAGGACGGGCCGGATGGAAGCCAAGACATGGTGCACGTTTGCAACTATGGGACACCCGAGCCAACATCGGCCCCGGCAGTGCCGCCATCTGATGGCCTGCCACAGCCAGCAGTTCACGCTGCCAAGGCCATCACTGCTGCCCGCACTCGTCAGACTGACGCCTCGAAGAATGCCCAAGCGCTGCCGATGGGCCCAACTCCGCCTAACACTACGGATGCCATCGAGAAACCAACAAGTCCACCGCTGCCGATAGATCAGGACCAGCCCGCCGCGCAACACGAGCCTGCCAACCCTACGCCTGACCTGGCCTTCCAGTCGCAACCAAGTCAGAGTGAGGCGCAGCAGCCCTACTTCACCCGTTTACCAGACGCAGAGCTCGGAGCGTCAACCAAAGATGTGCAACCACAAGTGCCCAGCCTCTTGCCGAGCGTTGAACATGCTTCCAATGAAACAGCCCTTGCCACGAATCCGGCCACATCTACCGAGCAGGCTGCTCGTGAGCCAGTCCCTGTGGTTGGTACAGACGCCCAGCCCATGCCTCCACAGGAAACTGCTCCTACATCGACAGCACCGAAGCCAAGAACCAAAGCACCACCAAAGCCGAGAAAACTGGCCAGGTCACAGTCGGCAGGCAATCTGGGGTTACCGAATGTGCCTGCGAGTGAACCTGTGGGACCTTCAAGCCTGTCGCAATCGATAACCGGCGAGAGTGATCAGGTCCTCTCAGTCGGCGACCCTTCAACTCTACGCAGAGCAAAGTCATCTGGTCCCACTGATGTCCCAGTGCCAGCAAGCGATCCTGCTGGTCCCGCATCAACCCAAGCCGCAATGACACCATCATTTGCGCTCGCGCTTCCTGAAATCCCGCCTTCAACGGCAGATGGTGCGACCTCGTCGCAGGAGGAGAAGACCAATAAGAATCTCGTGAAGAAGACGGCTATCAAGCAGAGACTGGAGGCCGCCATTCGCAAGGGCGAAATGCCGCCGTATTGCAGCAACTGTGGCGCTATCGAGACCCCGACATGGCGCAAGATTTATGGTCAGAACTACGAGGGATTGGTGGCCCCTCACCACAATCCCGAAGAGTACTCGTCTAAGCCTGGAATGGTAACGACGGTTGATGTGGTCCGCGCCGCGACTGAGGGAAAGGCTGGACTCTACCGTGTCATCAAGAAGAATCTTGGTCCGAATGACGACAAGTCGGCATGGCATGAACTTTTGCTGTGTAATCCCTGCGGCATCTGGCTTGGCAAGACCTTCAAGCTTCGACCTCAGAACCGATGGGAGGGCGACGCTGCTCGCCTGGGACAGAAGAGAAAGAAGAAGTCATCTTGTGACGTAGTCAACTCTCGCCCGGTCAAATCCCGTACCAAGAGCGACGGGCTGATGATGCCGACGTCTGAAGCATGCTTCCCAACTACGGATGCCATTGGACCCGACGACTTCTGGTCGCCCTCGGCCGGGATGACAGATCAAATGACCATCGACCCAGCGCTGGTAAGAGAGCGTACGGCAGACAGCATGACGCAGAGTTTCGACGCGGAAGCTACGCTTGAGCCGCGATCTACCCATTCGACTGCGACGGAAACTGCCAAAAGCCTCACGCAAACGGAGGCTGCTATGGATGCGGCGATGGGCACGACTAAGCGACTCCTGTTTCCCTCCCCACGAAAGGACCAGCCGTCCATGGCTCTGGGTGAAGTGGACATTAACATTGTGCAGACTGTTTCCGAACACCGTCTCGCGAAGGACAGTCCGCTCCAAAAGGAGAACCTCACGGCGACGACGACGCCTAGGGCTAGCGAAAGCTTTGACGACTTGGAGGACTTGTTCAGAAGCCCTTTGCCCCCTCGCCCAACAACGCCGTTAAATAACGGCAAAGCAGCGGCTCCCACGACACCATTCAAAACACCGACGCGGGCGACGTCAAGTCACAGGCCGATCACTAGGAGTGTATCGCGGTCTATCAAGTCGAAAGAGACGATGCTGGCGTCGCCCTCGCTCACCTTCAAAAGAACGCCTTCCCGGACCCCAAGCAAGCCAGTGCTAGACGACATGGCGTTACTGGCGACGCTGAGCAAGCAAGCACACGATGGGTGTGAAGGCAACGCTATGGACTTTGACGAGAGCATCTTCGATACGCCACTGTGCCGCGCTGTCAACCAGATGCTGTCCGAATCCAACTTTGGGATGCATGATGATGACGGAATGGACCTGATCGACGTCGACATGAACGCGCCGGACTGGGCCAGCTTCAATACCATCTTCAGCACAGATGCGCCTCTGCCCAGTTCGCCGCCCATGAAGGCCTTTCCAGGCCAGGTGGATCTGAGCTTTGAGGCACAGGCACAAATGTCCGAGCCTTGGAGCATGGACCAGATGGATGATGCCGAGGATGATGCTTAGGGACAATTCCTGAAGCAAAGTTCACCCATGTCATGAGTCATGACTTTTTACACTGATGGGAGGTGTAATTGCATTTCAGCGGTTCTTCGCTTGAGCATTCAAATAGACGGAGTACTTGCTCCCCGAGGGATACGTATCGCTGGCAAAGCTAGATACGAGCACGGCGTTAGGAGAATATTACATAGCAGTCCCATTTAGGACCCTAGAGCGAATTATTAATTACCGATTTATGCTGACTTGGTCTATTATCTTCAAATCATACGCCCACTGCTGCCAGTTCAAACTCCTCCGCCCATGACGATAGTAGCTCTGGATCGACCGGCGTCGAGCCAGTGGCCCACGGGGAGCCTTGCGACAACACACTGCCATCCCACGGCGTGTCAGCGACACCGCTGCGCTCACTCTGCGGAGGCGTGATCTGCATGCCCGCCGTGAAACCATCCACAATGTCGCCAACCTGCCGCTCCAAGTCCTCCGTCAGTTTCCCCATGCGCTTCGCCGCGCCATTGCCGGCCCCGTACCTGACGAACATCTCGCCTGCGAGTCGCAGACCCTCCCTCGCCCGCAGCGCAGACGGACATAGCGGGTAGGCGCTGGCAAAGGCGGCCATGGCGTAGACGGCGTCCATCTGCCACTCAAAGGCCTGGTAGCAGCCCGTGAAGATGTCGGTGTGGATCATACCCTGGTGGATCAGGTGCGTTAGGGCCACGGCGTGCGCGACGGAGGCGTCACAGAGTGATTCGGCGGCCATGGAGGGCGTGGACGGTGTGGGCGTGTACGATATCAGCGTCCGGAGGGGGGAGAGACAGAGGGCGTGGTAGTGTGCCTCGAGAGCGAGGCGTTGACGCATGAGCCATATCGGTACGGAGGAGGAAAGGTCCAGAGGCGTGAGGGATGTGGTGAATGGCGCGCTGGGGGTGGCTCGCGGGACGTGAAGAATCAGGGGCACGGATTTGGGCCAGGCGGTCTGTAGAGGGGCGAGATGGGGCGTGAGGAGAGTAGCCAGGTGGTTTCTGGTGGTAGAATCATGATAGAGCGCCGCGTTGGTGGTCAGGAGATCTGCCAGGGTCGTGTATACAGTCGAGGCCGTCTCGGACAGCGCAAGGAGTGACTTGTAGTAGAGTGTCCAGTCTGCCTCGGACGATGGTGGTCGAGGGTCCTCAGTCAGACAGGGCAGTGCGAGGGTGGATGGCGCAAGGGGCCTGCCGAGTCGCATTGAAAGCCTAATGTCTTGTATTCGGATGCACGCCTGGAGTCGATAGGCTACCTCCGCATCTTGGACGTTTCTGACCGCTATGTCACAAAGCAGCTGGCCGGCTGTCTTGATCGTTGTGTGGGCTGCATTGTAGCATCGGGCAAAGGAGAGATAGACGGCGCTGTAGAACATACACTGCACCGACTTCATACTGGGCATCTCCATGTCTCTCTGCAAGGCGGTCTGGCAGCGGTGATAGAATGCGCTCCCCGCCGTGCAGACCTCAGCATCGGGCTGCGTCGACGGGCGTGGGCTTCCTAGCCCGAGATACGAGTAGGCGTATTGAATGGTCAGCGCCGTGACAACATCAACCAGTGGATCAGCCCGCCTCGTCTCCGAGTCGTGCCAAAGGGACGTATAGAGTGATCGAAAGGACGCCTCATCGAGAGCGGGAAAGCTGACATGGTACGTTGGCCAGAACAGGTCCAGAAATCTATCCTGCTGTGCTTTCGTGGAAGACGTCCCGTCGGTGGAGTTCATCGGGTCATGGGGGTCAAGCAAGGAGATGGGCGGTGGCGGGAGGCGAGTGTCCCTGTTGAGATGCTGTGAGAGACGGTGTATGAAGAATTCCAGTGAGAGGGATCCGCACAATTGACCGTCCACGGCTACCTTGAGCTCTGGCTGACTAGCGATGGCTCGGGCTGCATACTCAGGCGACAGTTGCTCCGATGAATTTGAGGTCGACACGATGGTTGTACTTCGACTTGTTGGCCTAGGAGTGAGTGGGTTAGATGAGTGAGAATGGTTGGGTTCACCATCGACTTACGGTGATGCACTCGGTGGCTTCGCCTTTTGCGCGCTTCGAGGCTTTCGTGCGGTCACAACGCATGCTTTTCCATACTTTTGACATGGCTGACACGGTCGGCCCTGATCACACTTTGTTCTGGCCGCTCTGCATGCTTCACATGCTCGTGACACCTGCGCTCTTTTGGGCTTGACCAGAGGAGCCTGATGTGCTCCCAGGGACGGCGGAGCACCATTGCGGAAAGTCGCAAACATATTGACTCTGGTTTGGCAAGGCGAATTACGGAGGAATTGTGAATGAGAGCCAGGGGTAAGGTAAGGAAATCGTCTGGCGTGACGAGGGTGACTGACAAGACGTTGATGTCTCCATTTGTCAGCACTCGATCCTCCTGCAGGTAGTAGAGTACAGGGTAGGCAGGGTGACAGATGACGCTGGGTTATCCAGACTTTGTCACTTGCGTAAGCTTGTGAGGTCAACAAATGTCTGTCAATATGAGGAATGTATTCCTGAGAAGAGGGGCAATGTCTGAATAGCGCAGCATCGACGTCTCGCCCATTGTGTTGCTTGAAGCTCCGGACTGGAGGCCGGAGTTGACGTCCACTTGCCGTTTTCGGTAATCGGAGTCCGGAGCTTCACGGTCTTCTTCTCGACGAGGCTCGTGAAGACGGCCCAGGGTGTTGTTCGAGGCTTCAGCTTGCATAATCAGACACTGAATGAGCAGACTTCAATTATCTAAGCCAAGTCACACCACAATCGCATACAGTTCCAGTGGGCAAAATGTTGCTGTTGATCATGATGTTCAAAATTGTTGCTGCAGAGTGAAGCAAGAGCGATCAAAAGTGGACCCGCTGCCACTTAACGCGTCTTTCTCTCCCAAAACGCGCGACGCGTCTCTCTGACCAGCTTGAGGCTTCAACTTTCCACCATCATCAACCCCACCAAACCCAATCAACACCGACCGAGTCGCCATCTTGTTCAGACACCCAGAAGCACAAAGGACGATCGATCACAATGGCAGACAAAATGGACGAAGAACTCTCTGCGCGCTTCTCGCCCAACAAACCCCTCCCTCCCGACATCCTCTCCGAGCTCCAATCCATCATGCGCCTGCACGACCTCTCGCCAGAAGACATCTACCTCAAATGGGACTCGTACTGCCTCCGGATGGACTACGAGGCGCAGGACGTCACCCTCGCCAAGATCCGCTCGCTCAAGCATGCCATCCAGGACACACTGGAAAAGGACAGCAGCCGACGCGCGCTACACTCCAAGACAAGCGCCACCCCTCGACAGCCCAGGGGAGGAGACGTATATGGCATCCTAGACGGCATGGTACCCAGCACACCGGCGACAAGTGGGAAATTGAGGGCACCCGGCAGTGGACTGAAGAGGAGGGCAGGCGAGACACCGAGGAGCAGCGCGCCCATGAGCTCGCCAGCAGGCGGCATGAGCGAGCAGCTCAAGACCATGAATGTGGGCAGCGGGGCTGTCTTTAGCGAACGCACAAATGCCGGCGAAGTGGTGGAGATCTTTGGGAAACAGCACGATGCGCCCGAACCGCCCATGGCGCCCCACGCAGAGGCGAGGATCAGGCTCAAGGCCGCGTCCGACCAGACAAAGACGGGATACAAGGCACTTGCGATGAAACTATCAGAGGCGAGCGGCATCCTGGACGATCGGATCGAGGAGTTCCAGGCACTGGTGCAGGAGTATCACAGCCTCGAGGAGTCGTCCTTTGGGAGCGCCGCGAGCCAGAGTACCACCCCCATCGTGGCCGTCGGGAGGATAGCGTCCGACTCGCTGACGGGCAAGCTCAACGCCGCCTCCCTGGTGCTGGAGACGTCGAGAAGGACGGGCATGGCGTTGCGTATACCGCTGGACATGAGCAAGATTCGCAGCTGGAGCTTCTTTCCGGGCCAGACCGTCGCCCTCAAGGGCAGCAACACGTCTGGCAAGGCCTTTGTCGTCGAGGAGATCCTCGAGATCCCCCTCCTGCCCAACGCAGCCTCCGTGCCGTCCGCATTGGAGGCCCACCGGGAGAAGCTGCGCGGGGGGCCGGATGCCATGATGGAAGACGAGTCGGAGCCTGGCCCCCTGAACATCCTCTTCGCCTCTGGGCCGTACACGGCGGACGACAACCTCGACTTTGAGCCGCTCCACACGCTCTGCAGCCAGGCCGCCGATACCTACGCTGACGCGCTCATCCTCACCGGTCCCTTCCTCGACATTGATCACCCCCTGATCGCGACAGGCGACTTTGACCTGCCAGACGAAGCCAACGTCGACCCCGACACCGCCACCATGGCCACGGTCTTCCGCTACCTCGTGTCGCCGGCGCTCAACAGGCTGGCGGCCGCCAACCCGAGCATCACGATCATCATGGTGCCCAGCGTGCGCGACATTATCGACAAGCACGTCTGCTGGCCCCAGGACACCGTGCCCCGTCGCGACCTCGGTCTGCCCAAGGCCGCCAAGATTGTCTCCAACCCCATGGCGCTGAACCTAAACGAGGCCGTCGTCGGCCTCTCGTCGCAGGACATCCTCTTTGAGCTGGGTGGCGAGGAGGTCGCGCACAACCTGGCGCACGAGCGCCTGGCGCGGCTCTGCCGATACCTCGTCGAGCAGCGCCACTACTTTCCCCTCTTCCCGTCCATGGAGAGGAGCAGGCTGCCGGCCACGGGCACCGAGGACAAGACGGCCACGGGCGCGGCGCTCGATGTTGGGTACTTGAAGTTGGGTGAGATGGTGAACGTTAGGCCGGACGTGATGATGACGCCCAGTGCGTTTCCGCCGTTTGCGAGGGTACGTCCAACTGCCATAATTCCACGAATTGATACTGACCATCGCGCACAGGTTGTCGAGAATGTCCTCATGATCAACCCGGGCACATTGTCGAAACGCAAAGGCGCAGGCACATATGCGCGCATGGCACTCTTCCCACCCAAGGTCGAGGGCGCCGAGCTGGTGGATGGTATGATTGGGCATAGAGTCTTTGACCGCGCACGCGTCGAGATTGTCAGGATATAAAACGTAAAAAGGTCCAAAAAAGGGTATAATGATCGATTCACGGACAGCGCCCAACGTTAGTCTGTGTCTGTCCGCCTCCTCTTGTCCCCGTCGCGCTCTGCCTCGCGCGACATGTCCCTCTTCTTCCCGAGTGGTATGCTGTTGGATCCCCTCGCATCCCGTTCGTCAGGCTTGAAGCGATCATCGTCAGGTCGGAACCTGTCGTCCCCGCCGTTGTGATGCCGCCTGTCCCTCCTGTCGTCGAAGCGTCCCCAGGCGCCCGTGTCCTCGCTCCGCATGTCCTTGTACTTTGTCGCGCCCTTCTTGCCCAGCTTGGACATGTCCCGGATCTGCATGGCCGCCGGCAGTGTGTCTCGGTTCCGCACCTCGTCGGCGATCCGGGTGCCCATGATATCACGCTGCGCCAGACCGGCCTTCTCCATGTCCTCCTGGAAGAAGGCGCCCTTGTGGTGGTACTTGCGCATAAAGTCGACCTTGCCCTTGGACTCTTTCTCGGCCTGCTGTTTCGCTAGGTGCTCCTCGTCTTCGGCTTGTCGCTCCTCTGCGGTCAGGTTGCGTCGTCGCTCCACCTCCTCGAGCTCCTTCTCCTTCTCCTCGACCTCGAGACGGGCTCTGCGCAGACGCTTCAGTTCGCGGACCTGCCATGCCTTCTCCTCCGCCTCGGGGTCCAGCCCGTCGGTGGTGTCGACATCGGAGTCAGGATCCTGCTCGTCGTCCCAGTGTTTCTTGCCCGCTGCGCGCGCGGCCAGGTCCTTCTTGATCTGCTCCTCCACGAGCTCATCAGCCATTTTCTTCTTCGCCTCATCCTCTGCGAGTCGCGCTCTCTCCTCGTCGTCTTCTCTTGTGGATGTGTTTCGTTGTGATTTGGGCACAAACTTGGGCCGCATCATGAGCCGTCGCGGTGCCTCGTCTTCGCTACTGCTCTCCTCTTCCGAATCGTCGTCCTCGTCTTCATCTTCGTCGTCGTCTTCGCTACCTTCCGACTCCTCCTCTGTCACAAACCCCTCCTCCACCGCGGCTTTCTCGGCCTTTTCTTTTGCGATTCTCAATCCCTCAGCCTTGGCGGCTTCTCTTCTTCGCGCTTCGAGGTCGACTTTGGACAGATTCCCGCCAGCTATCCGCCCCGCGCTCGCTGCTTTGGGTGGAGGAGGCACAGCCGCGGCGGACGCGCCGTCTTCGCTGGCGGCATCGGAGTCGGAATCGGAAGAAGAGTCGAGGGTTTGCTTGCCGGGTCGGTGGCGCGATGGCTTGACCGGGTTGGCGGTCATGCGCTTGGGCGGCATTTTGCGTGTGCTTTTGTGTGAAGTGCACCAGCGTACGGTCCGGGCTGGGCGCAGTTGATGGAATATGGAATGAGATTGGCGAATGGACTGACGTTGTCGCGTGTTGGTCGTACTTGAACTTGGGGCGCGATGGAGGACAGAGTAAGGTAGAATTTGGGTGGAGAGGCATGATTACCAGGCCACATCTGCTTACCTAGTTACCCTGCAGCGAGGTCTGCCCATCCAGACCCAAGCACAGGCGACCCTCATGTACACTTCCATCCAGAGCACACCTTCCTCACCCTGCGACCTCGGGCGCGTTAAATCTTCGCAATGTCTTTCCACTCCACTCAATCCGACGTGGCGGGAAACGTTGAGGACATCTCCGCCCACGAGGGGGATGTTTCGTCTCAGTCTTCTGTATCGTCCCAATCCGAAGCTTCGTTTGATCCGATGGAAGATTTCGAGGGTATCTCGTACTCGCAAGAGGCCACTACTCGTGCTTTCCGAGACTACTACGCCTTTCTCGCCAAGATGTACGTGGACGAGTCTTGTATCGCCGAACCACCCCCTGATGGCTGGCCTTCGATCACGAGCGAGAGGTACCGTGGTATGGGCAAGACTGATACCGTCGTCGAGCTACTGCGTCACCTGCCCTATCTAGTCGAGAAAACCCCAGGATTGCGCGACATCGAGGCTATTTCTTATTGTCATTTCTACAACTTTGAACGCGGTGCCCCTAGGTCAGATGATGAAGGAGATATAGCCAAGGTATTGACCGAAACTCACGAGTGGGAAGATTTCTTCCCTCCGCACGTTTTCGGGTTTTGCTCGGGAGAGAACGACCCTGACGTATTGCTACTCGATACCCAGTTAGGCCTTGTGTACTGGCTAGAGGCTCCGGGCTATATCAAGTTCAACGACGGTTCGAACCCGTCTTTCATCTCACCTATCTTCAACAACCCCTCCGAATGGGCCCCCGCGAGCGAACAAGAATGGCGCGAAGAGCCCTGCTGGTCTATCCCTGATTTCTTCGAGATGCTGAAACAACAGTTCATCCAGCTACAATTTATCCCCCTCAACCCACAAGAAATTGTCGAACCCAAGTTTTCTCATAGAGTAGAAGAAATCTACAGGCAGTTTGGCTGGCCAGACCTGGAGAAGTATCGCAAGGAGGAATGCCAAGCGGCTGTTCGAGCTTTTCTCGTTGCGCGAGAGGAGACTGAACAAGCAGAACGATTGAGTAAGAACATTTAGGCTTTGGGATGAAGCCCCTGTTTGTATGGGATGAGATACTTGCCGCTAAATTGAGTACTAGTAGGTATGAAATAAACCGCCGGCTTGTTCAACCCGTCCCCTTCCATCTCTCCAACCAGTCATTATCACCATATCGATGTTCAGAGACCTGCCAATTGATGTCACCTTACCAGCACACGTGTCCCCAAACGGGGATCTGTTGAATTCCGCATTATCTGGGACCAGATAGAGAAAGTTATTATAAGTGGCCTTGACAATTTCCCATCATTGGGCATGCGGAACTATACCACTACTCCAAGGCCACTTAAGGTACCCTAGGGTAAGTAATAGCGGAGATGAACCCCCACCCCACGTCATCAGCGGTTCACTGTCACTCTTCTCACTTGTTGACAATCACATCTCAACTGCCGCCTTTCCACATCACCTTCACTGCCGGCCCGTCTCAGACCAGTCGAGAGACATTCCTGAACTTATCCATCAACCATCCAGTCAAAGTCCAAAGACAATGTCCCAGCGAACCGCCCTTGTCACGGGCGCGACGGGCCTGCTGGGTCGCCAAGTGTACCAAGCTTTCTCCTTCCCCGGATCCAAGTGGACAGTCAAGGGGACCGGTCACTCGCGCGCAGACGGCGTGGACATCCTCAAGTGCGATCTGAGCTCGGAAGAGGAGATCAGCGCGCTGCTGTCCAAAGTCAAGTCAGTGGCTTCAACTACGACTCATCATGCCAGGGCTAACAAACATGGACAGACCCGACGTGATCGTTCACTGTGCGTACCCCACGAGAATGATGGTTTCTCATCACCCAGTACCCTGCGAGTGACGGAACTAACATCTTCAACCTCAACAGGTGCCGCCCAGCGCTTCCCAGATAAGGTCGACAAGGACCCCGAAGCCGCCAGGGCCCTTAATATCACCGCGTCCTCCACCCTCGCGCGCCTCGCCGCACAGCACGATGCATTCCTCATCTACATCTCGACCGACTACGTCTTCCCCGGGCGGCCGGGCGAGGCGCCCTACGCCGCGAGCGCCACGCCCGCTCCCACCAACCTCTACGGGCAGACAAAGCTCGACGGCGAGAAGGCTGTCCTGGAGCACAAAGGCACCGTCGTCCTCAGGGTGCCCGTCCTGTACGGCACTGCTGAGACACCCAGCGAATCTGCCGTGAACACGCTGCTCGACACGGTCTGGAAGGTCCAGACAGAGGGCGTCTCCGTCAAGATGGACCACTGGGCCATCCGCTATCCCACTAACACCGAGGACGTCGCCCGCGTCTGCCGTGACGTCGCAGACACATACCTGTCCCACGCTGACGCCGCTTCCCTCCCCAGGATCCTGCAGTTCTCCAGCGAGGACAAGATGACAAAGTATGAGATCTGCGAGAAGTTTGCCGGCATCATGGGCTTGAAACTGGACGGCATGGAGGCGAACACGGAGGGCAACGACCCCAACGCCGCGGTGCAGAGACCCTACGACTGCCACTTGGACACCAAGGAGTTGAAGGATCTGGGTATCAACGTGTCGACAATGGACTTTGTAGATTGGTGGAGGAGAGAGGTCAGGGCGTTCCGGAAGTGAATAGAATCGGCAAGCCAAGATCGGGGTCGACTACACCACCGTTGGCACTGCTACACCACCGTTAAGATTTTTTTGTGGATCAGGACGACGAGGCGGAGGCGAGAGGCTGCATGCACTTACTTACCTACCTAGCTGTATGCACGTTACACATGTGCCGTAATCGTAGCTCCTCGAAGATCATCCTCGAAGATCCGGAACATTCTTCACGTCAGATCAGAAGCTTGATCGTTGAGCCGCAAAAAGTGGAAAGCGGCCCTTGTCGCTGTCCTAGGCCGTTTCGGACGGACCTCAACGTCCGCATGAACGGGTCCGGGCTATGGGACGTCCCTTTATCATCGATCTCCTCGTCGCTCCAGTCTCCAGATGGCCACTCGTCCGTCCGGAGGTATTCTCCGGCTGACACAGCGCCCACGTCAATCAGGGTCCCACCAGTCAAAGGGAGGGAATGCTCCGTTGTCGTCCAAAACGGGCCACTTCAATCTGACGACTCTATCATTCTGTTGGCGAAGTAATGTGGCCCTGGCCCTTTGAACCCTCACCAAACGAGCCGTGATCTTCAGGTCAGGGACCACACAAGCTGCACAACCAGAGAGCCGATCAAATGCTGGCCGACGTCACCCTAGGAGCAAACGACACGCAGCCAGGAGCAAAGGAACGCAGGCAAACTTTGATTGCGGTCAGCTCTCCTTTTTAGTTATTAGCTGTCCGAATAAAAGTCCAATTGATCCTTTCCCATCTATATGGAGTGAGATACCCAGGCTTAGCTCCTTCAACACCAACAACACCCGCCAGGAGAGTGAAGCGTAATCACCACCCACCCCCTGCCAGGCTATCATAATGCCCACATGCCAAGGCGACTACTTTGTCGACCGCCCCCAAACATCTGACGAACCCGAGGGCACGACCGCAAGGACACCGGCATCTACCTATGCCTTGACCAACGTCGGCAGCGTGCTGGAGCGCATACCGACCACCATCCCAGACGAAGAGGGAGGAGTACACAATGGCGGAGATCTCGGCGTGAGGAACAGCGCTCGTCCGCCCGAGCCCAGTAACCGCAGGGCGCTATCCAGCGACATACGAGGTCCATCTCAATCTCACTACCCCCTTCAGCAGTCGACGACAAACGTGACCGACAGAGCCAATGCGCCCGCACGGCGGCCCCAGACGCTGGATCGTCAGGGGTACACCGATTATCCACAGCGCGGCTGGGCCGACGAGGCCTACTATGAGGACAACCCCTGGTACGATGCCCCAGCTCGGAAACCCGTCTTCAGTCTTGGAAAGCCGCTCCCTCACGTCGTCCGACGAAGGCGTAGACGGGTCAAGCACGCGTCGCCCAAGGACAGGGGCGATGAGGAGCAGGGCCAGCTCATTGAGGACGTGCCTGAAGTCGATGTGCCAGAAGGCGATGTCGACGACGACGCCTCGACAATGTACTCGAGAAGAGATCGGCAGTCCCAATCAAGACTGGGCGATGACACTTTGGACAACAGGATACCCCAGTCCAGCACAATCGGCGGCGTAGCCCACAGCAACAAGCGGAACGAAGCTGGATTGCCCGTGTTCGAATATGTGCCCGGTCCAGCCAGGCGGACGGACAGTGGGCTGGCGCCCCAGCAGAGCAGGAACAGCATGCAGCAACCGGAACGTGTGCAGTCCGGTGCCTCGAAAAGCGCGCCGTCCTTCAAGATCGACGGCGAACCCATCGGGCACCACGAACACCCAGAGGTGGAGAGAGGCGAGAAATCACCAGACGAGCTGCGGAACTGGTGGGCACGCGTGAGGGCGCGGCATCCCGAGCCCCTCGCCGAGTTCCTGGCCACCGGCATGGCGCTGTTCCTGGGCCTCTGCGGCACCCTGAGCGTGAACCTGTCCCAGTCGCTCAACACCACAAACGGCAGCTTCGAGACGTCGTGCTGGTCCTGGGGCTTCGGGTGGATGTTTGGCATCTACCTCGGCGGCGGCGTGTCTGGCGCGCACCTGAACCCGGCCGTGTCCCTCAGCTTCTCCATCTTTCGCGGGTTCCCATGGCGGTCGTGTGCGGTGTACGTGTGCGCGCAGTTTATCGCGTCCATCGCCGCCGCAGGTCTCGCGTACGGCTGCTATGCCGACGCCATCCACCAGCTCGACCCGGACATGTCCCAAATGTCCAAGGCCTTCTTCACGACGCCCAAGGATTTTGTGACGGTCAAGTCGGCCTTTCTCAACCAGGTAGTTGGCGGCGCCATCATGATGATTGCCATCTTTGCGCTCGGCGACGACCAGAACAACCCGCCCGGCGCGGGCATGCACGCCTTCATCCTCGGCCTGCTCGTCACGACGCTCAAGTTCACGCTTGGCTTCAACGTAGGGACGGCGATCAACCCTGCGATCGACTTTGGCCCGCGCGTGATCGCGTACGTGGTGGGCTACCGCGAGCACAACGTCTTTGGCACTTGCTGGTGGATATACGGGCCCTTTGCGGCCACCTTGATCGGGTCCATGCTGGGGTGTGTCATCTACGACGGATGCATCTTCGTGGGGAGCGAGAGCCCCATCAACTATCGCATGCAAGGGTCTTGGAAGGAGAAGACGAGGCGGTTCTGGTCGCCATTTGTGCCAGGGAGCAGGAAGAAGACGGCTGCTAAGGATGTTGATGATGGCAGTTCGAGCGAGCAGTAGGCTCGTTGATATGTATTGATGGATTGGTATGACTATTTGCGTTAGCGACCGGCGTCCTTGTCTGTTCAACACATCTATTTAGCGTAGCATGATAATACTAGCGAGAACGAAGCAAGCTTTCGATACTGGATATCCCGTGCACAGGGAGCGCGCCAGCTCGACGTTTCGTCACGCGTCTCAAAACAAAGCTCGTCTGCAGTGGAGGAATGCCACTTTTCTGTAGGGGTGACCAAAGGTCTGAGATGGACATGCGCCAGAATCCGACGATGGTATGTGTGAGCCGCCATTTCTGGAACATACGCGACGCGACGCATTGGCATGCTGTCGTGGATGATCTGGACGTGCGCGCGCTCTTCTAAAGAAGAGCGCATGTCGTCGCGTCGTGAGCTGGGCACGATGTCTAAATCTACTTCTCCTGTTTCTTCTGCTGCTGGCGATTGATTGATATGCCTTGATGTTCTGTGGTCTTCAGTCAGCATGGCAGATGCAACAAAGTTTGTTCCGGTGACGGTGCTAGACGGAAGCCTCAGCGGACACCCTCCAACATCTTGGGCGCCTCTAGGTCCTGTTCCAGCTCCTCCACCCCTGGGGCTGCCACTTCAGGCGGTTCTTTGCCTTTGGCGGGGCCGGAGGGCTCCATATCATCATCACTCTCGCACCAAGAGCCAAGCATCGTCCCCTTCGCCCACGGAGAGACGAGCCAGACAGTTTGAGGTCTTCCAAGACGACGACAGGCCAGCGAGGACGCAACAGCAGCCATCACCCACGAGACGTCGCTCCAAGACCATTGCAGCTGGTACCCTCGGCGCCCAGGCCCAGGCACACAATGCAGCTAAGCGACAGTGGCGACTTGCGGCACGGAACGACGAGGAGGAGGACGCACGACGAGGCAGATCCTCCACAGCGACACCCAACAAATCGGCACTGAAGCCATCTTCGCGGCACCTCAACCAGTCGCTGCCCGTCACCCCATCGTCGCGCCCTTCCAAGACTGTCCCACTCACCAGCGCGCCAAGTGGGAACAAGGAGAACGTTAGTATAGTGCTCCCTACATGCACCGCGCTTGGCCCTGGCGACGACGACACAGAGGCTGCCCGCTTGGCTGACGAGGTGGCCCGCCTCGAGGCTGAGACGGACCGCATCCTCGCGGAGCAAAAGAAAAGGGATCTTGCCAGGCTTCAGGCCCAACTCACCTTGATCCCCACCCCGCCGCACAAACCCAAGCCAAAGCACCTCATCCTTGACAAGCTTCCTTTCTTCTTGCCAAAGAGCGCGAGATCCAATGGGACTAGTCAGCCGACGACACCCCAGAGTGCGCCGGCAAAGACGCTGGCTTTTGTCTGGAGTCCTACACTAGGCTCTGGAGACCACGCGACCTCGCCTCAGAGCATGTACTCGATTGAACCAGGTGGCGGAGGCATTGTGCCTCAGACGGATGCGCCCACGTCGGCGATCAATGGTGGTGAGAGGGTGAGTCCTGCGCTTCACTGACACATGTCGCGTGACCTTGTACTGACTCGACACAGCGGGTGACGGTGCGATACTTGACTTCGACGATCAATCTGCCCGTGAACACGAACACGACGCCTGTCGATGTCGCCTACTCGACAGCCAATTTCGTCACCCACGACATCACCCCAACAGCATGCGTTATCATCGAGTGCTATGAGGTCCTCGGGTTCGAGCGCCGCTTGCGCCAGTACGAGCGCATCCGCGACGTCATGAACTCGTGGGACAGGGACCAGCAGAATACATTGCTCGTCACATCTGTCGACGACACTGCCCAGCCTGACGCCGACCTCAAGCTCGCCACTGTGCCACGGACAAATGACCCCCCGACAGGCTTCACCTTTCAACTGTACCACTCAGCCCGCCCGGGCCGGTGGAACAAGCGCTGGGTGACTCTCATGGACACCGGCCAAATCTACGCCTCCAAGAAACCGGACGCGAAGCCCACGGACAAGGACAGCGCGGCACTCTGCCACCTTTCTGACTTTGACATCTACACGCCCCGCGAGACGCAGATGAGGCGCCACCTCAAACCGCCCAAGAAGTTCTGCTACGCCATCAAGAGTCAGCAAAAGACACACCTGTTCCCCAATGGCGAGAACTTTGTGCACTTCTTCTCCGTGGACGACGAGCAGCTCGCGCACCGCTTCTACGAGCTCATCCACGGCTGGCGCAGCTGGTACCTCGTAAACAAGAAGATTGACTTTGAGGGTAGAGAACAGCCAAGCTCACCACCAGTCCGGCGCAGCGGCACCACCAGGACCACGTCGGGTAGTGTGTCGAAAGCAGCACCTCCGCACAAGACAGCCATGGGAGGCCAGCCTTCGTACACGATAGGCGAGTTCAAGCCATTGCTTGACATGTCTGAATTCGACAAGCCTCTGGAGGAGTTTGGCAAACGTCAGTCAAAGCTGGTGAAATCGCCTCAGGAACCGGCAGTGCAGAGCGTCACAACCAACAAGGCGCATAACCAACTACCGTCGAACACTGGTCTCATCAGTCCTCAAGCTGAGGAGGAGTTCTCCTCGGGAGGCCTCTTGGGCGAATCATACGATAAGCGCAAGGCAAAGGAGGCTGTCGGCACAGAGCCCAAGAAGACAGAGAGTCCTTTCATCGAGGGCACGCTCCTCAACAGACCCGCGACAGCGTCTGCCACGCCCGTCGAGAAGCCCGACCAGGGTTCATGGTTCCCTTCGGCGCAAGAGCACTCTGCCCGCAACCGTCCCCAGCCGAAGCCCTCCGTACGCCGCCCACGGACGGCCGGTGCGAGCCAGCCTCGTCGTGACGATGCCCCGCCTCCAATGCCGGGATTTCACAGCATTCCCAATCTGCCCACAAGAGGTCCCAGCCAGCGCCATGATATTGGACGCGCTGTCAAGCCTCCGGCCGGCAGCCCGCTGATCGAATTTGCCACGGGCGGCGTGACTAACAGTCAAGCCATGCCTGCGCGCAGCGCGATCAAGGGGCCTCCACCCCATGGACACGGTCTGCCGCCCAACAGACCCCGGAGTCGGTCGACTGCGTCGAGCCGGGCGGATGGGCCTCGCATGCCGCCGAGCAGTCGTCCTCCTCTCCCGCCGATGCCACATCATTTGGCAAGGCGACCTGATGAGCGAGAGCGTGCAGGTTCTTCTACTACTTCATCTTCGCACAGGAGTCGCGACCCGCGTCATCAGGGACCGTTGATCAATAGGGTGAAATGATCAACTGAGTAGCTCAGTCTTGTTACCCTTCACAATGTACATATTACTGGTTATTCTGGCGTGGGAAAAGCGGCATACTGATTTTTCTTGAATTCAAAATTATTGAACTCTGCCAGTCCGTGCTCATTAAAGTTTTGATTTTTCCAACGTATCTACTGGGTGTATCGTCTATGGGTCTTCTCCGGTCATCATGATAAAAATCCTCTTACTTGCTCCTCTTGTAGATCTTGGACAGGAAGACCTCGAAAATGTCCTTCTTGAGCCCGGTGCTCTCGTCAATCTGGTCAATCATGGCGCGGAGCTCGCCGGCGCGCTTCTCCTCAAAGTCCTCAAAGCGCTTCTTGAGACCCATGTCGTCGTACAGCGTCTTGATGGTCGCCTCCTTCGCGTCGTCCTTCTGGCCGTAGTTCTGCTCCAGGATCTGGCGTTGCTCCGGGGTGGCCAGCTCAAGGGCCTGGTTGACCAGCCACGAGCACTTGTTGTCCTTGATGTCGGTGCCAATCTTGCCAATGTGCTCGGGCAGACCAAAGTTGTCGAGGAAGTCGTCCTGGATCTGAAAGTACTCGCCGAGCGGGATCAGGATGTTCTCCGCCTGCTTGAGTGTCTCGGGCGTGGCCAGGTTGAGGAAGTGGAGGGCCAGGGCCACGGGGAGGTAGAAGGAGTAGTAGGCCGTCTTGTAGATGACGATGAAGCGGTACTTCTCCATGGAGAAGTTGTCGAGGTTGACCTTGTCCTCGGGCGCGGTGAGGAGGTCGCACAGCTGGCCGAGCTCGGTCTGGTACGTGGTCTCATGGAAGAGCTCGATGAGGTCGACGTAGGCCGGGTGGTCGCGGAAGTACTTCTTGAGGAGGGTGTAGATGGCCGACTCGAGCAGGAAGGCGTCGTTGATGGCCACCATGCCGACACCGGGCTTGAGGTACCAGCAGGGCTGGCCGCGGCGGGTCAGGCTGCCGTCCATAATGTCGTCCGAGACGAGGAAGAAGGCCTGGAGGAGTTCGGTCATCCAGCCGAGCGTGGCCGACTTGAAGTATTCATCTTCGGTCAGGGGGCGGCCGAGGAGGAGGGAGACAGAGTCGGGGACGGACATGCCACGGTTGCACTTGCCGCCCATGGGGTTCTCGCGGATGTTCTGTTCATGAGGTGAGCATCGATGAATCCATTCCGCACTGTTGGCGAAGAAGCGCAAAGCAACGTACCTGCTTGTACCATTCCAGCTCGGTCTGGGGGAGCTTGTAGGATTTGGCATGGTCGAGGAGCGTCTCTTGCAGCTTCTCGTAGACAGCCTCGAACTCCTTGATTGTGGTCTGCTTTGCCATGGCGACGATTGGTAGTTTTGCGAGAGTATAGCAGATAGTCTGCGTATGGGGCGGTGTGCGTGGTGGTTGTCCGGAGGGGGGGGATTGATCGTGGGAAATAATATTAAAAGGTGCCCCTCCTCTGGATGGATGGTCCGTCGCCTAAAACCGGGATTCGGGAGCTGCAGGGACGGGGAATGCCATTCTGACCCCTAAACTGGCAACTGCCCCTCTAATCCCCCCATCCAGGGTCCCTTTCTATGGGCAGGATCCAAAAGGCGCCGAACTGTGACATTGGTTGCGCAAGTAACTTCGGCGCTTTTGCCTATCATCCTGTCCACTGCTCCTGGATAGCCCTCAGCGAAATAGACTGGAGGCTGGATCAGCAGCTTTGCGTCTGCCTGTGAAAGACGTCGTTTCTGTTGCACAGCAGCCGTCGTTGGCCTAGCTCCATTGGAATCTCCACAATAATATGCCAAATTCAGCATCTCGGTGAGCCTCGATTTGGGCAATATGCTTCACACAATGCAGCAACGACTGAGTAGTTCTCCTCTGTTGGAGCTGGCAGATGTTCTTTAGAGACCGTGCACCCAGGCTGGTAATAAGGCACCAAGAGCAGCTCGTACGATGTTAAGAACTGACGTCATCATCAGGACATCCGCCTTGAATCTGAGCGAGACAGCGCACGCAGAGTCTCGCAGTACAGGGTAGGCCAACATCTCGTACATCGCGTCGGTGGACACTGGCTCGCGACTCGTCTGCAGCATCAACACATCTGACGATCGAACGAAGCCGCCCAGCACACAGAACAACAACGCGCGAACATACGTCAATACGGTCCTGCTATGAACAAAGGTCTATAGAGGCGCGTGGCTATGCTACGACCCATGGTGCCCTGAACAGAGCTCTATTTCCAACGCAGCAGCTGCACACGTCGACGCGACAGCCCACTAGCCATGGGACTGAGCCCACGAGAGTTGGCGTCGCTACGCAACACACTGGCGGATGCCACTGTCAAGTGCGCAGAGCGAGGGCTCTACCAGTCTTCAAAATGGTACGCCAAGCTGGTTCTAGCTGCACCTCCAATTGACTGACAATCCCAAGGGCAGCCGAACTGATGAACTCGCTCCCCGACTTTGAGGAAGAGGAAGCCAATCTGGACCCTCCTGAGGAGCAAATACCGTCGCCGATATACACTCCGAATCTGGACCCGAGCGAAGCAGCACTGGAAGCAAGGGAGCTGCCAAAATATCTGCTGGCCAAGTCCTTCTTCGACTGTCACGAGTACGACCGATGTGCCTCCGTCTTCATACCCGATACGCTGCTTTCGAGCGTGCTACAATCTAAGCCAGATGGCGCTCCGCCGACACCAAAGGGAAAAGGAAAAGAGAAAGCCTCATCGGCTTCGACATTCTTCTCGTCCCCAAGAGCTCCCGCAATCAGCCAGAAGAGCTTGTTCCTGGCATTGTACGCCAAGTTCCTAGCTGGCGAGAAGCGCAAAAATGAGGAGGCGGAAATGGTCATGGGGCCCCACGACCACGGTTCTGTGATAAACAAGGAACTCCTCGTGGTCGGCCGCCTGTTGAGCGCTTGGTTTGAAGCAAAGACACCACAGGATGAGGAGTCGATAAGAGCAGCCCAAAGGGGGGAACTACCCGATACACCAGAAAGCCAAGGTTGGCTAGAGTACCTGTGGGTGACTGGTATATGTGATCACGAACATGGGCGGAGCTGACATGGACAGGTACGGCATGGTTCTGGCAAGAGAAAAGAGCGAGGACCTGGCAATGAAGTACCTTGTACGAAGCGTACACAAGTACCAGTTCAACTGGGGTTGCTGGCTCGAGATGACCTCCCTCATCAGCAGGCCTGAGCATGTAAGTGATGCTTCATGGATCAGTCAGGAGAAGTCTAACATATAGTACAGTTGTCTCGAACGGTCGACGCTTGTCCTGAGCATCTCATCTCCTACATGTTCCACCTACACTCGTCGTTGGAGCTGTACCAGCAATCACCCGCCCTCGCACAAAACCTCGACAAGCTATACTCGATATTCCCGCACTCGCCCTTCCTGCTGACGTGCAATGCGCTCCTGTCGTACCATTCTAAGGATCTGCTCGCCGCGGAACAGCACTTCAGCCGGCTGCTGGCCTCACACCCACGCAGGCTCGACTCGCTCGACCATTACTCCAACATCCTCTACGTTCTCAACAACCGTCCCAAGCTGGCCTTTCTGGCACACCTGTGCTCCAGCGTCGATAAATTCCGACCGGAATCATGCGTTGTGATCGGGAACTACTACTCTCTCATATCTATGCACGAGAAAGCCGTGCAATACTTCCGCCGGGCGCTTACGCTCGACAAATCTTGTCTCTCCGCGTGGACGCTCATGGGGCACGAGTACGTAGAACTGAAGAACACGCATGCCGCCATTGAGTCGTACCGTCGGGCTGTCGACGTGAACCGACGGGATTACCGTGCCTGGTATGGACTGGGCCAGACGTACGAAATGCTAGAGATGCACACGTACTCACTCCATTACTACAAGATGGCCGCGGGGTTGCGGCCATGGGACGGGAAGATGTGGATGGCTGTCGGCACGTGCCTGCAGCGCATGGAGAAGGAACGCGAGGCCATCAAGGCGCTCAAGCGAGCGCTGTTGGCGGACGCCTACTACGAAACGGGCAGCAGCTTTGGCAGCGGCGGGGAGCTCATGGGCTCCCGGAGCGCAACTGGCCACCTGGATCCGGAGATCCTCCTGCAGATAGCGTCACTCTACGACGCACTTGGCGAAGAAGAGGAAGCCAAGTCGTACATGGAGCTCTGCATGAGGCAGGAAGATGGTACTGGGGCGGAGGGAGGAGACGCCATGGCAGAGTCGGTTAGGATTCACAACGACTCCCCTCCTGCCTCGGATGATGGTGCCGTTGACGAGGAACAGGGCGGCCGCGAAGGAACAGGCGTCACGGCGGCGACTAGTAAGGCACGCATGTGGCTGGCCAAGTTTGCTATGCGTACGCACGACTATGATACCGCGACACAGCTCGCCATGGAGCTGTGCCAGGACGGCGTTGAAGTTGAGGAGGCCAAGGCTCTGGTGAGGGAAGTGCGAGCGAGGATATACGCATTGGAACCTGGATCAGACGGGGCGCATTAGACATGCGTCTCTTTTTCGTCGTCAGACCCTTGAGATGCGAGCCGTGCAAGGCGAGGAAGTAGGGGCGGGTGTTATGATATCATGAGTATACGACTGTTGTAAGTCTGCCGTGGACGGCCTGTAATTCACTATCTGGACTTGGCACAGCAAGAATGACCTTTTGCATCGTTTAAACTCCGTCAATATTAGACTATTCTATTTCCTGAACACCAAGCCGACCTGGATATATATCGTAGATTCCCCGATGAAGATGAAGCTGTGCACTGTCTCGTCCTCGCTACCATTACAGGACAAAGTAAGCGGCACCGGCCACGACCAGAGCACCAACGCCAGCAACGGTCTTCTTGACACCGGCGCCAACGGGGATATCAGAGGGGACGGGCACACCGCTGGGGCCGGTGGGCACGTTGGTGGGCACACCGGGGGTCCCAGGGACGGGGGTGATGTCGATGATAGAGGTCACGGGGGGAGGCTGGATGACTGTGGGCACGCCGGACTCCTCACCAGGCTCTCCAGAGACGGTGGTTGTGACGGCAGGAGGGAGCACAGTGGTGATGGTGCAGGGGCAGTCTGGTGACATGTTAGTCCCCAAGCTTGTGCATATGAGAGACGGCGGGCCACTTACTGGTGATGGTGATGGTAGTCTCCGTGGTAGCGGTGTAGGTAGCGTTCTTGTGGATGAAGGTGGTCGGGCCCTTTCATATTGTTAGTATGGTCTGTCTCTTCTCCATGTCCTGAGAGGGAATACGAACAGGGCAGTAGACCTCGTAGTCAGTGGTGACAACAGTGACAGTCGCGACGGGGGTCTTGACGTCCTCGACACCAGTGTTGGCCTGGACAGCAGCGGCGCCAGCAAGGGCGAGTGTGGCAGCAGTGAACTTCATGTTGCAAAGCGAAGGACTCTTCAAGTACTAGTTAGGTAGCGAAGGTGGGTGGAGTTGGTCGAGAGGATATTACGCAAAAGCAGCTTCAACGGATGTGTCTCGAGAAGGCAGAGGAGGGAGTGAGACAGCAGCGGAGGTGTGATGCCCTCTTTGTAGTCCGCACGGCTGCTCACCTCCTCGTTCTCTCACCTACCATCGCGGCAAAGTCCACGATGGGGTGGTAGCCATGCAAGGCAAGGCAAGGCAAGGCAAGGCTTTGCACTGGGCAGGCTTGTTGTTGGTTGATGGGGCGATGTCCGTTGCAAGGCCGGAAACGGCAGAGTGTAAGCTGAGGGGCTACCGAATTGGGAATATTGAGCAACATACAGGTTGGGCTCACACTTTAGCATGGGACTCGGCACCACAGGAACAGAGGAATTGGCCTACCACAGCGAAGCCTCGCATGCAGTGTGGTGCCCAAGGTAAGTTAGAGTAGGTCTTGTTGATTTTAGAGTTGGATGGAGTGGCCCAGTCAAAGTCAATTCATTGGGCCTTTTGACTTTTGCTGTCCGTAGATGCATGATGGTTGAGATAAGTGACATCCACAAGAGCATCGATCCAGCTCACTCGCAAGCACGCAGCAAGCGACCGCGGCGATTGCAACCGCTATGATACAGTTGAACACGTTCACAGTCTGCGCGGCCGTTGAATGAGGCCCAAAGAGGAACCAGATGCACGTCAGAACCTGGTTGGGTTGGCGGGGTAAATGTCACAACCCAATTGGGGGTGTTGGTGATGCTTGCTTGCTGATGCAGAGGATGCAGTATGGCTGTACCGTACCTCGTATTCCATCAGCCGCTCTGACCATTGTCAGCTAGTGGTTGATATCCCGCAGATAAGGACAGTCAAGTCGACGCTTATTCGACCAACTGCGGCAGACATCACCATCACCCGCCAAGGCGGCTTCGCAAGCCGGGGTGTTCGTCTGGCCTGCAGCTTCTTCATGCGGCCAGAACTCGTTATTGCTGGCGATAAACACTGCCGATTGGGAAAGCTCAGTCGCTGTGCAGGAGATGGCCAGGCCGACTTTCTGCCAACTTGCGAGGTCGACCTCTCGTCAGACCAGGATGGCAGGGCTATGCCCCCTCTGTCGATGGCGCGCTCCGCAATTCAGGAACCAGACACGCGCACAGTGGACGAGGCACGCGGGCGACTGGAATGGTGGCGGGTTATATGGGCGCTATCGTTCAAAAAAGCTGAAGAACAGCGCTTTCGGGAACCAAGGCCGTCGGCATTGATTATCGGTCGCTCGGATGTGCGAAACCTTTCGTTGGGACGCGCACGATCGACTGGCGTTGGTAATGATAAGCGTGAAAGCGCACAATGGCCAAGACCTTGTGACGGATCGCCCTGGGAACTTTCGACTCTCGCCGCTTATGGTCGGCATCGATGCCCAGTATAACGCACCCAGGGGAATCAAAAGTCTGTGTCTGAAAGACCTATAAGTTAGCAACCACACCACCTGGATATCGCAGCGATCGCAGTCAGCATAGCTCATGGTCAGCTGCTCATTGCGACTGTCGTCAGGAAGCCGACTCGCGAGAGCCGCTAGTGTAGACCAGGTGGAGGAACGAAGCGATCGTCAGTGTGAGGGACAAGAAGTGCCATCGAGTGTCAGAACGAGCGGTTTGGATGGAGTACGGATGCTGCGCAAGTAAAGTCAAGTGCTAAAGTTACCTGGTGATAAGGTAATATGTAAGCGCCTCATGCTGTTATCGTGACATTCGGGTCTGTCGCACCTGCCTTCTTTTGGTGCAGCCAGCCAGTTGCACCAAATGGCCCACACGTGACGCTCCGTCCGGAGATTGCGATCTTCTCCCCTCTTCAACGACCACATCAGACTCTGCCATGTCCCTCAAACACTGCGACGATGCGCCCTCGCTCTTCCATTGTCTCAATCATCTCGAAGTCGAGCCCAACTGAACGCCCATCGCGGGTTTGACCGGCCAGACGCGTCGGCAAAACAACGAGCTTCACACGGTGAAGCCCTTCCATCATGGCGGTCCAGACGTGGCAAAGATCTCTGGCACTTCGTCGTTGTGCGCGTAAAGCCGCAAAGCTCAGTCAACGCGGTCGCGGCGTGACTAGGTCGACTTGCTTCGCGCAGGTACACGTGGCGTGAAGGCATCTGCTCGCTTGCTTATCAACACGACGCGCAGGTCCAGGACAGACTGTCGCCCACGCATGCACATCCGCCGACACATGTTGTGCATACCATGTTCACGACACTCTGTTGATTGTTGAGCATGGAGCATACACGCCGACCTCGACCGGTCAGGTCGTCGCAAGCCATTGCCTTCCGGGCAGAGACGTACCTGAGGACCGATCCTGGTCGTCGGTTGTGCTTGTCTGTTTCCGACAACAAGATAACCAACTGTTCGCCTTTAGTCAGTCCATGCGTCAATCGTGGTCGACGATTGCGATTGATGGGAGTTGTTACACCACGTTGTAGGCAATGACGGCATTTGAGCTTATGAATCTGCCGGGCAGACACCAACAAACTCTATTCATCTCACCGACTAACGATTCATTTGCAAAGGCTTTCTAGCTCACGAAGGTCAGAGCCGCCTACATCATCTGATCTCAGGCAAGGCATAGACTGCGCGTAATCGATATCCCAACGGTCGGACAGTCGCCCTCATGTGGTATGGACTATACGCACATACGGAGGATACCAACCGCAGGCTCAGCTTGCCCATGTCGCGTAGACTGAGGCGCATGCTGTCGAGAAGCAGGATCAATCCTTGCTCGATGAAGCAAATCCAAGCATCAGGGTAGCTACCTCAACCAAGAGTTGCTACCGAGAGTGGCTGCCGAGTCGTGGGAAGCAACCTTTCAGGTTGGAGATAAGCGCATGTGCTAGCAGCACCGGCTGAGCGGTTCCGCTTCCACATGGTTGTCTGGATGCGACAACCTTCTAGAAGGATTTGGAAAACCTTCGCGCCACCCACTACGAACTGAATCAGTACCACCTCCGATATTTAGCTTATCAACCATCATGGCGACGGGAAGTGTTCGACGGGAAGCATTCGACAGCCGATATACGTCCTCTACGTGCTTCACGACACCTTTCGTGATCTGGCTAGCTTCCCACTGCTGGCCTGCCATGGGATGCCGATAAACTGCCGATTCTAACTTACTCACGCACTCCAAGACCACTACAGTGCTAATGAGACCAAGTCGCTGTGGCAGCACTGTGCCCTTTGGCATGATCCAGGCGTGGCAGACAATATTGTTGAGATATGGGCGAGACCTCGCCAGAACGATGCAGAAGGATTGTGGAATCACTCTATGACAACCTTCGGCACCCCCCGACCAGAAACACATCACAATGATCACTCTATTCTTGCAGACATGCAGCCAAGAAAGGCAAACCACGGAGTTCCGGCGTCCTTTTCTGTGAGAAGAGCACCACCTATTTGTCAGAAAGGAAAGTCATACTGTGTGTGATTACCCGGTGAAATTCCGCAGTGGACGATCCAGGACTCTGTTGTGAGCGCCAACATTGGTTCCCCCCATTCCATGATGTCTCGCTGCGGACTGCGAGTCGTGTCCCCGGCTCCGCAAGTAGAGTGTTTCTACCTCAGACTACATTGAACGGCCTAGCTTGCGACTTCGCGGTCCTTCTCCGACGCTGCTTATTCAAGCTGCATCGCTCCGTCGAAGACGTCACAGCTGCCAAAAGCAAGGGCTTGGAGGATTTGTGCCGTCGAAAGAGTGAAGTCAGGCTTACATAACTCCGATTGACAATCGATCGGGAACAGGTGCAGAACCGCAAAAAAAGCATTTTGTTGCAACAGCCCTCACTCTCAGTCGTCACTATGAGAGGCTCGCAACTGGGAGTCTGGGACACTGAGCGTGCGCAAATTCTTGCCGACCCGCTCTTCCTGCGTGTCATCAATGATCAATCTCTGGGATCCGCCCCATCTGGTGAGGGGAATGGCGGAACATTGCGAAGAGGTGTTTGACCACGCTAGTCTGCTACTGTACAGAAGTCCTGGTGCAGTCTTGCTCGAACCACGCGCCAGGTTGATACCGTATCCGACAACAAGAAGCAGCCCGGTGGTCAGAGACGTTTCCTGACTCGCTGTACCAGACGAAGCCTGAGCGCGGGAACTGATTATTGCGCAGTTGGCAGTGCGCGGGCTCATTGTGATAATGATGCGCTGGCAGAAGCCGCACTGGAGCAGCTAATAGGTACTTCGTACGTACTCCATATTACAGGCACAAATGATTCCATTCGAACATCGGGTTGCGCCGTTGCGCCGTTGCCACGCACAGTGGCCCAGTGGGTTCTGGAAAGTCGCTTCGCAGCTATTGGGGAGTACGTACTCCGTACTTCGGGGCGTTTCCAGCGCTGACAGTCATTGTTCTGTTTTTGGAATCGACGAGGCCCGCCGGGATGCAACTCCCTTTGTCCATCCGCCCGTCTTGGATCGGTCTGTGTGTGCCTACCTGCGGTACGTACCAGCTTGGACAAAGGCCACTGCTGTTGCCAACTTTATCAAGTTTTTCACCACGGAACTTGGCCTGGAAAGGTTGCAAAAAAAAGGGCGAAAGGCGCGCAGCAAGCTGCAGCCTGTCAGGGCGAACCACATGGGCGGGTTCAAGATGCGTTTGCTGTCAGGCACCAGGCACGGCGATGGACTGCGCACCAATAGGATCGCACCCTCACCACAGCCAGCGAAGCCAGCATGCAACTAAAAAAACTCGGGAGCCCTTCTTCTGCCAGCCGTGATAGGCCTCTACCTTTCGAATCGACCCCTCCCACCATCACGGACACCGGTCAATCCAAGCTGAGGAATTTTCGTCGCGGCCGACACGCACGCACGCACACGGTACGTACACCTTGCCTTGGTACGTACTTCCGGGTGAGGGCTTTTCTCGCGACATCTGCTTGGTTGGTGCATCGGGACTAGTGTTCTTCTGGTTGAGCCTAGTCGAAAGTCTGTTTTCGTGCGCGGCGCACCCTCTTTTGCCGGCCGGCTTGGGATGCCTGCCTTTCTGGCGCTGCCGCGCTATCGCAGCGGGTTCTGACTTTGACCCTTGTCAGGTACCCGTCTTGCCGTGAGCGATCCCGCCTGGGCGTCGCGTGCTTGGGTTCCCACGCATCCACGCTGCCAGCGATGGCTTTGAGCCTCTTTCATCATGGCTGGGACGGGCGACCGTCGACCTTATTTTCGATGAAGGATGAAGTGAAATATGCTATGGCAATCGGCGTCCAGGGACAGCGCACAGAGTGTCCTTGAAGTGCAATCGACACGTATCGACACGAGGCACTGATGGCTCAACATCGAAACATTTCACATGCCGCAGAGAGGCAGGCAGGCAGGGCCTGGCTTACACGCTACCGGGGTCTTTCTTTTCCAGGAAGCTGGGCCGCTTCCTCAACGACAACAAGTCACTGCTGCACCCTCCTTTGCCGGACGGATCCACGCACCACCGTGCGCAACAGGCTCCCTGCTCCCTTGCTTGTTAGTGGTATCTTTGGTAGGATACCGCAGCACTGGCTTTCCTTCTCGAGTTGGAGTCGGTACGTACCGCAACCGGTCAGGTACCTCATCAGTCCGGCACGGCATGGCATCGGGCACTGACTCTTGTCCTGCCCCAGTCAGTCATGTTGCTCCACGTTGGGACATCCATTCCGTTCTTCCAGAAACTTGCTCCCGGTGTCAGTGGAGGGGCCTCCCGCAGTCAGCCTTCCCGTGCCCTCCTCCCAAGGACTTTAATTTTTCTCGTGCTCCAGTTCCAGGTGTATAAAGAAGGGGCCTCCTCCGCCCCAAACATCGTTCTATCTTCTCATCAAACTCATCAACAATCTTTCCCTGTCTGTAGATCAGCAGTCTTTGAAACATTCCCTTCCCACTCCTTTGGAAGTCGAGTTCATAACGGCCCGGTCCCGTTCTACCTTCATTCACACAAATCATCTCTTGAAGATCACCAGCACTTAACTCTACACACCGAGTCTTTAAGACACTCCCTTCAACTACAACCACATTCAAAATGCAGTTCACCACCTCCGTTCTCGCTCTCCTGAGCTCTGCTGCCATTGCCAGCGCCGGCAAGGTCACCTTCTGGACCCTTGACGATGTCACCCGCACCGTCTACTTCACCTCCAACGAGAACAAGTTCCCCATGGACCCCGTGACCGTCTCCAGCGCGGAGAAGACCACGGTCGACTTTGCTGATGGCTTCGTCGGCAACTTCCACGCCGTCGCCGAGGGCGAGCCCAACCAGGACGGCATGCTGGGCGAGATCAAGTTCGGCGGCTGGGGCGCGATGACCTACTTTGACGTCTCCGCCATCGTCAACCCCAACGACAAGAACAACGTCAAGCAGATGTGGCCCGCCGACTCCCAGACCCCCATGTCTGGCTGCGAGGTCTTCCCCTGCGACAACGCCTACTACGTTTGGGACGACGTCCAGACCAAGGTCACCACCGAGAACCACATCATCACCACCCTTGGTGAGGGCTCCACCGGCATCAACTTTGCCTAAGCGCCTTGCTACACCCCTGAAGCCTGGGCTTCTTTCCATTCCTTTACACCAACATACACCCCACTTGCGCCGCGCGCATGTCCTGATGACATGATGAGAACATTCGAACAACAAGTACAAGATACCCCTCGCAGAGTCCTTGCAACGGATCCCGAGGCCATTTGGGAACATACACACGGATAGACATAGACGACACTGGGCCTTCGATTCGCCCTGCAGTCCCACACGGCGCTGCTGTCACACCACGCTCTTTACCACACATTGGACTTCTCTTCACACCACCCTCCTTTGGACAACACTGTACACGCACACTTTTATGAAACAAACTACACTCTGGGCTCACCTGCACTGGTGAAGCTTGAGGGCTGGCTCTCGCTTCATTCTTCACACCTTCTTACACTCTCTTACACTATGAAGTCACGATACAACGCATTTCGAGTATATACTTTATATTGGGCACACTGCGATGCCACGGACATAGACTTTTTTTCTTTTTCGCTTTTCAGAAAGCTACACTGCGAGACCAGCAGAACGATTATCAATGACAAAATCAAACATTTACCAACAAAACCATTTATCCATCCGTGACCGCTGCTTGTGAAGAGAAGACTGTCTGACTAGTGGCTTCAAATTCACTCTACTGCAAGGGGCGTACGAAGCTAACGCAGGCCACGTCGCAGTCCCTGCCGCAGGGCATGCGGCCTTTGTTCAGCCGGTCTGCCGTGAGCCGGATCGCCCCTCGTCAGCGACTCAGCGTCGCAATTTTTTCGCGGGTCCACTGTTCCGCTCGGCCCACCGTCCGAGATCACAGTGTTTCGAGCCTGGCGATACTGTCCCTTGGAGACAAGCACTTTGCTTGACACGGTGACTCTACGAGTCGACTCGAGGTGCGTGGCAGCAGCTTTTGTGTGGTTGTTAGTCACATTTCTCCAGTGTTTTTTCAATAATATCGCACTATCGGCGATGGAGTTTCGATATCTGTTCTTCTCGTGGTCTCACCTCAATCGACACTAGGGCCAGATAAAAGTAGTACGTACCAAATCGCATAGTTGGTTAGTAATAATAATAATACATGCAGTATCTGCTGCTGCTGTGTGTCGTCTACCCGTTGTTCATTGTCATGTCATGTACGACGCTTTTACCCCCTCTTTGGTACGATGCGTTGGCCACTGTCGTGTGACAAAGTACTGATAGGCGGCAGAGAGACGTGGCACCATACTCGAGCCTCCTGGCGTGAGCTTATGTACATTGCAAATGTCGCGCGCTTTCCGCTTCTATGATTCTAAAAACAAATTTTGAAACGGCATCCTCGTAGCCAGCGTATCGTCTCTTGCCGAATCAAATCATACACACACCACGGTCGTGATAACGGGCGGTGGTGGTCGGTGGTCACAAAGAAGGTCTACGCTATAAGCGTTCCCCCCATATTCAACCCCACGGCGGTTGACGCGCGCCAATTCTTTGGTGGCGCTCAACTCTCACCCGTCGTGGTCCCTTGGTCAGGGTCCTTTGTCCCAGTCTCCTCCTCCACAGAATCAGACGAGTCCATGTCAGCCGGCGACGACCCCTTTTCCGGCGACTTCTCCTCCTCAGCCGGGGTGGGAACGGGCTCCGCAGCCTTGACTTCCTTGGTTTTGGCGACGCTGAGTAGGTTCTCGCCAGCATCGCCAAAGCCATCCACCTTACCTAGCTTGGTTGTAAAGAACTCGACATCGCGGATCATGCTGGTTGTCTATGTTAGCGACCCGACCATGACTCAAGCCTTGCCTTGATCACTCACCTCTGATGGCCCTCTTGTGTCTTCGGGTCCGCATCCTTGAGAGCTGCCCCTAGTTGTTCCTTGTAGCTGCCAAACACGGGCCCCATGATCATGAGGATGGACGTCTCCGGTAGGTGCTTCGTCAGCACTCGGTGTAATGTGCTCGTCTCCTTGCACAGCGTCTCCATGTACGGGTGTATACCATCGACCTGCTTATCCCAGTCGATGTTCCTCATACCCTTTGCGTGGACCGAAGCACGTCCGCTCATAATATCCACCAGTTTCTGATGGATGCTATCCTGGTGCTCTTGCAGCAGTCTCCGCACCTTGTCAAACTCGCCCATGACGGACGACACGCCCGCGCCAGAGCCTGCATGACGACGCACAAACTCGCGAACATGGGGTATGAGAGTCGAGATAAATGATAACGCTTGTGCGGCCAATGCAAGGTGTTTCGATGTAATGTTCTTCAACCCAGCAGAACGTGTCGCGCCCGCCCCCAGAATGAGCTGGGTACAGCGTGAGTTGAATAACTGCAGATAAGCCACCAGTGACGAAGCAATATCTGTAGTCATGGAAGGTATGCCCGCAATCAAGTGCAGAAATTGAGCCGTGCCTTGCATGCAGAGGATGGCCGACGAAGGGAGCACAAACTTCTCAGAGTCAATGGTCGCCGTGCGCCCCTTGTCCTTGCCACTGCCATTCGGCTCCGTCGACGCAGTACTCTCTCGCTCGGCCTTCTCAATCTCGTGGTACGGCACCCATATCTTGGTCCTCTCAGACCACGCCTCTGGGTCGTGGGTACTAGCGTCAAGCAGCTGCCCCAGGAGCTCAGCATTCTCGTCGCTAAAGTCCTTGGCGTTCCATTGATCCGACTCCATCCCCTGTGCAAGCTTCTGTATCTCGGCATCCCTGGTTCTCTGCACAAAGTCCTTGATGTGGCTATTAACCACATTCTTCAAGGCAGTGCCGCTGCGGCCCGAGATGGCCTCACACTCGTTCGCAAAGTAGAGGTTGATCGTGAAATACCGTAGGAAGAAGTCGAGAGGCAGGCTTCCGGCCTGCTCGTTCCTCACTTTGAGGACCTTGACGATCTTGTCAATAGCCACGTCGACCGCTTGACCTAGCAGATTCGCAACGTCGAGCGTTTTGTGCAGCTCTTCTTGTAATTGGAAACCGCTAAACGGAGGCATGTTCCGGTCTAGTCGTGGACTCGATATCGGCGACCTAGAGGGCGGAGACTTGAGCCCATCCCCGTTTGGTGCCGCCGACAGTGAGCTGGCAATGTCGAGGATAACCTTGGTTTGGGTCGTTAATCTGCGTAGCGTTTCTGTGACGCTCACGTAGATTGTCGCCAACAGTTCCTCGGCCTCGTCTGGGCCCAATGCGCGCAGGTTTCTGGCAAGTATCGACGATTTTTCTTGGCTTGAGCGACCTCGCCCTCCACTAGCAGCGGTCGATACCGACATCATGGATTCATTGTCGTCGTCACTGGAGCTGGGTAACGGCCGTCGAATGAGGTTACGGATCTCCTTTAGCGCAATCTCCCGATAGATGATGGCAGCCGCAGCGACATGCTGCGCGCGGTCGAGACCTTTAATCGTGGGTGCCAACTGTCGCTTCAGCTCTTCTGTTCCTGTCAGGTAGCTTGGAAAAATCGATGGCGATCTGGCGTGGCCACCTCTCGCCCTCGAGGCGGCGTGGCTCCATCGGAGCAAGATGTCTGTTGAAGACAACGACTCCATGTGTTTCTTGAGGTCGCCTAATAACACATTGGCAAATTGAGCCTCGTATGCCTTGCCCACACGCATCCGCAACGTCATCAAGTCGGCATTGACACCCTGCAGCGCAGTCGCGCCCCTCAGATCTCGCAGATGAATATCTTCCGCCACAACCTGCGAGGTCTCGCGCTCTCCTGCAATCAGGTGCTCCAGAGAGTCGATGCTGTCCAGAGCTTTGTCGACCTCGCCTTTCTCGACAAGAGTCTCACAGTCGGCCACGCCATCAACGATCAGCCTTAACTGTAAGACAGCGTCATTCAGTTGACGCAAATTCTCTTCTCGTTGACGCTTCTTAACAATGTCCAAGCCCTGTGTTACAATCTCCTTGTCCAAGGCCTCCAGCTCCAGCCTCAACGCCTTGATGCGCTGTACGGAATCGGCAGCCTCGGAGTGGAGTTCCTTCAATGAACCCAGCGCTGTGAAAAATGTTGTCGAAGCGGTTGATATCGAGTTGATCAGATGCACCTCAATGGTGTCCATGTACCACGAGAGCTTCTCCTGCAGAATAGCATTGGTCGCGAGGGCCTTTCGGGGCGCAGCCGCGTCTCCGTCGAGACCCGTCTTGTTATCGTTCTCGGTCTGCGATGGTCGGATCACCTCAGACCGTTCGCTCACCACGTCAAACGTTCTCGGATTCTCGAGGTGAAAGTCCTCGTCAAAATACACTGTCGGAATCGTAGACAAGGGAGGCGGTCCTTGGGCAGCTTTTCGTCCGAAATTCGAGCTTGATCTCCGCACCGGGCTAGGCGCCTCTATCGAGTTCAAGGATGATAGCGAGGCCGCGGAACCCTTCCTCGTCATGCTAGAGCGACCACCAGGGCGCAAGAGTCCATCGCCACTGCTTGCGTCTCCACCGTCGTCATGACGACTACCCTTTCGATTTGACGACACCTCGGAATCGCTCTCTTTGATCCGTTTCAGCTGTTCATGCAGGGCTCCAAATTGGCTCAGGTATGGCGCGAATTCTTCCGACTCGACATGCTCAATGTTTGTTAAGGTGACAGGCGGGATATCTCGGGTTGTCGGCGGCTTATGCACGTTGGAGGCTGATGCTGCCAAACCGGACAGGCCAGTACGGACTATTGGTGGCTGCAACAAGGTCGAGATAGCTGGGTATCGTCAGCACGGTTGACACAACATGATCACAAACTGTACCATTCTGCCCAGATTCGTGCATCGCATCCTTGAAACCACTCGAGCTATCCAAAGTCTCACCGACAGAGCGAATGGAGGAAGCTGTCGAGCTCCTCCTAGACGTCGAGCGCCCCGTGCCTTGCCCATGAGCTGGGAATGGGTACTCTGAGCGGCCTCCGGGCGACGGCGAAAGGGCTGAGATGTTGCCGGTCGATTTCGCTCCGGTAGGCGAAGAGAACATGTTTGCGGCGTAACTCGGGGGTTGGACTTCGCGATCACAAGTCGCTGAATGCCGACATCGACGTTGGCGGCCACGGCGGTTCGCAGGCTATCGGGATATCATTGCTGGGGGTGCGGAATTGGGGGAAAGTCGGATGCGCTCTCTGACAATCGGTCAAAGCCTACGGCGATTTGCAGAGTTGCTCTATCTTCAATAAGGAGATGTCTCTAGAACTTGTCAAGTTGGAGCTCGTTGTTCGCACCAATCTGCCACCTGCGCCTAGCTTACGACTCAGACGCCAAGCTACAGCTCCTGGGGAGGTACGTGCCTTTGCTGTCTGAGCACCACGCCACCGCGGTTTATCCGGAGCTTCCCCACGTGACGCAGTCGAAGTCAGCCAGTGCTAATCCCCACAAGGACTAGCGCTACGCGTCGACCTGCAACCACTTAACGCGTCTTGACTAGGGACGCGTTCTTATCGCGTAGATCTGCATCTCCCTGGACTGGCAATCTGGGGAGCCCCTCAACCCCTCTGACCAAGCTCAACTGCAAGCGAACATCGCCTTTGCTCTTCTGAACGTATTTTGGCAAACCGGCATCATGGATCGTTCATCAGTATACACGACTCGCACCTGGCAACCGAGCTTTGACGAAGACGCCTCGGCCCGCACGGAAATTCAAAATGGCCTCGAAGCCTTCATCCGAGGTTTTCGCATCGATAATAACTACATTTATCGGTAAGAGAATCTTCAAGTGTCCGTTGGACATACAGTGCTCTGACTCTCTGTGTACAGAGATCAATTGAGGGAGAATGCGCTCCTCCAACAATACTATTGCGACATCAACATCACAGACCTCATCACATATAGCGAGGACCTCGCGGGCAAGCTCATCTCTGAGCCAACAGATGTCATTCCCCTGGTGCGTTTGTATAGCTCAAAAACTTCGGGCAGCATCTAACGTGTTTTCAGTTCGAAGCAGCATTGCGGAAAGAAGCCCACCGCATTCTCTTCCCTCACGATCCCAAGGCCCAAGTGCCCGCACACCAACTTCTCATTCATTCCGACGCTCAAGATGTATCGATTCGCGATCTCGACTCCATGAAGATCTCACGCCTTGTCCGCGTGCCTGGCATTGTGATTGGTGCCTCGGTCATGTCCTCCAAGGCCACTGAGCTTCACCTGCAATGTCGGAGTTGCGGTCACCAAACGTCCCTACCCATTCTTGGCGGCTTTACAGGTGTGACCCTGCCGAGAACTTGCGGTCGGTCGCGGAAGCCAGGAGACCCGGACACGAACTGTCCCATGGATCCCTACTTCGTTCTGCACGAGAAGTCGAAATTCGTCGACCAGCAAATCATCAAGCTGCAAGAAGCTCCGGATCAGGTGCCCGTCGGAGAGTTGCCGCGTCACGTTCTAGTCTCAGCCGATCGATACCTCACAAACCGCGTCGTGCCCGGGTCAAGATGTACCATCATGGGCATTTTCTCTATCTATCAAAGCAAGGGTTCCAAGAATTCATCCACCAGTGGCGCTGTCGCCATCCGCACCCCGTATTTAAGAGCCGTGGGCATCACGGGAAACAACGATCAGCGTTCCCAGAGAAGTCTGCAATACACGGACGAGGAAGAGCAAGAGTTCTTGGAGCTTAGCCGGAGACCCGACCTTTACAACATCATGGCCGACTGCATTGCCCCCTCAATCTACGGCAATCGCGACATCAAGAAGGCCATCCTCTGCCTGTTGCTGGGCGGCTCCAAGAAGATCCTGCCGGACGGGATGAAGTTACGTGGAGACATCAACGTCCTATTGCTTGGTGATCCAGGTACTGCAAAGTCACAATTACTCAAGTTCGTGGAGCGGGCCGCGCCTACTGCCATCTACACATCCGGAAAGGGTTCGTCCGCAGCTGGTCTGACTGCTTCGGTGCAGCGTGATGCGTCGACCCGTGAGTTCTACCTCGAGGGCGGCGCCATGGTACTCGCGGATGGCGGCGTCGTGTGCATTGACGAGTTCGACAAGATGAGAGACGAGGATCGCGTGGCCATCCACGAGGCAATGGAGCAGCAAACCATCTCCATTGCCAAAGCTGGTATCACTACGATCCTCAACGCCAGAACATCGGTACTCGCAGCTGCCAATCCTATCTTTGGTCGCTACGATGACATGAAGACCCCAGGCGAAAATATTGATTTCCAGACCACAATCTTGTCTCGTTTCGACATGATCTTTATCGTCCGAGACGAGCACTCCACCGACAAGGACAAGATCATGGCGAGACACGTCCTGGGTCTGCACACGAATGAGCAGCGTGAAGAGGAGATCGAAGCGGAGATCTCTGTGGAAAAGATGAAGCGATACTTCACATACTGCAAGACGTGAGTTTCACTTCCCGTTGCCGAACGATGAATGCTAACCTGTACCAGTCGCTGTGCTCCTCGCCTCAGCTCAGAAGCTTCAGAGAAGCTGTCGTCCCACTTTGTTTCCATCCGTCGACAAGTTCACGCCGCTGAAATGGAGGCCAACACCCGCTCGTCCATTCCCATCACCGTTCGCCAGCTCGAGGCTATCATCCGCATCACCGAGTCCTTAGCCAAGTTGACACTCTCTCCCATTGCTACCGAAGAGCACGTCGACGAGGCTATACGCCTCTTCCTCTGCTCCACCATGGACGCCGTCAACCAAGGTAGCAACCAGGGGAGCCGAGAGCTGAACGACGAGGTCAACAGACTGGAGATGGAGCTGAAGAGGAGGTTGCCGATTGGTTGGAGCACCAGCCAAGCGACATTGAGGAGGGAAATGGTGGAGGGCAAGGGCTTCAGTGAGCAAGCACTGAACCGGGCGTTGAACATTCTGCAGAAGAGAGATACCATCATGTACAGGCATTCGGGAGCGCAGATATACAGGAACGGCGCTTGATGGAACACGAGGAGATTGTGTAGTCGACGATCCTATGATCGATGTATTGGAACGTGTCATGATCAACAGCCTTCAGAACCACGGCGAAGTAATTGCTAAACGGTGAATTCAACTTGAAATGCTTGTTGCTTGCGACCCGGAACGCCTGACGCCGCCCATACCGTGTGCGATGCGCATATTTGTACAGCTCCGACGACCCTTGTCGTGACAATGATGGATGCCTACCTCTAGCAGTACGTCTCACTCGTAAACCACGGTCCCAACCAGTCTCCCCATTCCTTGCCTTCAAACTCTTTCCACTCCTCTTCAGACTTGTGCAGCCATGTCGAAATCGCGCTGGCGGCGGACCAGATCTCGCCCGACAGCGAGAGCCAAGTCAATTCAACGCATAAGAAGTTGACCAGCCACGTGAAGTTCGCTCCTTGCAGTAAACCACTACCCTGAATGCCTTCCACGGGTAACCCATTGCGGAGGCAGAATGATCGTGCTATAAGACGAAGAGTCATGGCCTCAGCAGGGGCTAGGACGACTCTGATGACAGAGTAGCTAAGAACCTTGGCTGCTAAGACCGAGGGTAAGTTGGACAACTCTGTGGCTAGGTATATGGGCGCCAAGGGCACTCTGCTGTTTTCCGGTCCCGTGCTAGGTCTGAGTTCGGCCGACCAGAGCCCTTGGGGCAAGTCTGTCGCCTCCGTTGCTTCGACATCGAAGCTAATCAGAGTAGCACTGACAACATCGTGGAGATCGTCATCGCTATCGTATTCATTGTTGATGCCGGCAGAAACCGTGCTCTGCCTGCGTGAGAGAACAGGCGGTTCGCTCCGTTCGTCTTCGGGGCTTGTTGGATTATGATCCTCCGCATCACGAGAAGGAGTAGTGGTCGCCGCTTCGCTCTCTGCTCCCGGTTGCGCGGCCCGCTCTTCTTGTTCAGCGGGTGTCACTTCTGCCTCCTGAGCCACAGGTGGGGGAAGCGGCTCGATTCCTCTGCCAGTTCTCATAGGGTTGGGTAAGTGAGGGAGTATTGAACCCCAGAAGAAAGGGCGCAGGCTGATCCATAAGCTCTGAATCGCGGCCCACGCCAAAACAGGGGCTGCCGAGATGAATACACCGCCCACCCATTGCATGATAGCTGAAGGTGTGTATCCAGTCAACGGTTGCATCGGGTTAATCGGCGAGTCTTGAGTGAACGGTATGAAGAAACGCCACGTAGGCAGTAGCTGGTACCTGCTGACGAGGCCCAGCCTTTGGTAGATGGCGAATAGTTCGAGATGTATTTGAAAATACTTCCAGCAATATCGAGCCCTGAGAAGAGTCAATCGAATTTCCAGACTATAATGCCAAACAACTCACATCTTCTCCTTGATGCCACTACTGCTTTCCCACGGCGTCCACGGAGGCAGGAAACGGCGTTCGATGTAGTGGGCCAATAAGCTAGAAGGGACACCAGGAAACATGTCACGAACAGGCGAAAGATCCCACCTCGACTGCCAGAGTTCGTAGCAAGGGATTTGAGAGAATTTGCTGTAGACCTGCGCATAGCTTAGTCTTCTGCGACTTGGGTGCTTCGGATTTGCTAACCAGTAGTCTCTGCCTCAGCCCGGCGACGCCAAACACGCCAACCATTTCGAAGCATCGATTAGTTGCCCATATCATCCTTTGTCCAAGGTGACTTTCGTATGCGTAATGTTGGCGCTTTTCCTCAAGCTCGGAAGCAGCATGGGGATTATCTGGCTCAGCAACCCCAACGACCAGCATAACTTCATTATGAGCTCTGACAATGTCGCGGTTGATGCGCTTGGTCTCAGGGTTGATAGGGCGACCTCGCGAGTCATACTGTTGGTTGGGCGTATTTGGATCATCCTCGCCTTCGCCTGGGACGACATCCTGATCATAAGGCGAACGGCCCTAAGGTCGCGTCAGCACATCAAGCTCAGTTGCGCAACGAGCATCGCGCAGGGGGAACTCACCAGCGCCTGGGCCGTCAGAGGGCCTTGTATGCCCATTTCAAGATAAAATCAAGACCGTGATTTCAATTCCTGATGATGAAAGCATGATTATTCTTGGTCCTGCGAACACATCCGGACTCATTGACGATGGTGAGGCTGCCAGATGGAAGGTGCTGAGTCATCCGCGGCATACTTCCGCGCGCGCGGAATGCGCAACTCGGTTTGGGGAAAAAGTTTCCAGACCCGAGTATCACCACCAGCGAATTTTCAAACGACCCAAACGCCAGGGCGTGTTGAACGACAAGCATGGCCAGCAAAACTCCTCTGAAGACGACATTCGATGTCGATCGAGTACTGAGGCCGATATTTACCGGCGGCTCCGTCTCAATCGACAACAATGCCAAAATCTTAGCGACAGCCATTGGCGAAGATGCGATTCTCACTGAGCCCGCCACCGGCAAGCACTTGGCGCAGATTGAGGGCGATGGAGAAACGATATCAACTCTCACATTAACGCCTTCGGGTTCGCACCTCATCGTTTGCTCGAGGTCTCTATCCATGCGGATATTCGCTTTAAAGCGCGCCTCGGACGATACTCTGCAACCCACGTTGCTGCGCACGTTGAAGCCGCACGGCACCCCAGTGGTGGTACTTGCTGTCGATCGCACGAGTACTTTATTGGCGACGGGTGGTACGGATGGAGGCATCAAGGTCTGGGACATTGCAGGCGGGTTTGTCACGCACACGTTCCGTGGCACGTCCGTACTGGTTTCTGCGCTGCGGTTCTTCGACGTTGCTGGGCGCGCTGAGCAGGCTTCAAAGAACGGAAAATCAAAGAAGGGCAGCCGCAATGGGGCTGGTGCGGAAGACGACGAAGACGAAACAGAAACGACACACTTCAGGCTCGTGTCTGGTAGTCAGGACGGCAAAGTCAAAGTGTGGGATCTTAACAAACGGAGCTGCATCGCCAACCTAGACTCGCACGTGTCCGACGTACAGGCCATTGACTATTCCCCAGAACAGCAGGCTATTGTATCTGCTGGCAGAGACAAGACGATCATTTGGTGGGATGCCAAGTCGTGGAAGATTCGCAGGGTTGTTCCATGTCTGGAGCTGGTCGAGGGTGCCGGGTTCGTTGACAATGGCGAGCTGACATGGTCCGCTGGCGCGAATGGATGCTTGCGCATCTGGGATACGGACAGTGGAAAGGAACTGAGTGGAAAGCAGCCGGCGAGAAGCGAGGAAGAGGCATTCACTACAGGCATCTGTCGCCCTGGTATGCCCTTCATTCTGTGCGTGCAGGTCGACCACACTTTGTCCCTTTTCCAGCTACCCAAAAAAACCGACGCTTCCACACTCACACAGATCGACCCCATGCGAAGGATATCCGGAACCCATGACGAGATCATCGATATGGCCTATTTGTTGCCCGACCGGTCATTCATGGCACTGGCTACCAACTCGGAAGACGTGCGCATAGTGTCAGTGTCCGAATCGTCGATAACAGAGGCGAATGCCTGGGCACCCTCATCAGCGTCGCACTTTGGTCAGGATATTGCGCTCCTCAAGGGACACGATGAGATTGTCATCACCCTCGATGTGGACTGGTCTGGACACTGGATAGCAACCGGAGCGAAGGACAATACTGCCAGGGTTTGGCGTGTGGACCCGGAGAACAACTCCTATACATGCTGGGCGACATTCTCTGGCCATGCTGAGTCGCTAGGCGCTGTCGCGCTGCCCAAGGCCGTACCTGCAGAGTCAACTGCCGCACGTACTGACCCTCTCAATCACCCTCCAGCCTTCCTCATCACCGGTTCGCAGGATCAGACCATCAAGAAGTGGGAGATCCCGCGACAGCGCCAGGAGAAGGGCCAAAAGACCGCTGTGCGATCCGCCTTCACCCGCAAAGCACACGACAAGGACATCAACGCCATCGCTGTGCAAAGCTCAGGGGTTCTGTTCGCGTCAGCCTCGCAGGACAAGACAGTCAAGATCTGGTCAACAGCAGAAGGCGAGGTTCAAGGCATTCTGCGCGGGCACAAGCGCGGTGTCTGGTCCGTGCAGTTCTCACCGTCCAACATGCCCGTTATTCAGGGCGACGATGGGCCAGTGACGAGCAAAGGGCTTATCCTGACTGGAAGCGGCGACAAGACAGTCAAACTGTGGAGCCTATCTGACTTCACCTGCCTCAGGACGTTCGAGGGGCACTCGAACAGTGTCTTGAAGGTTGCCTGGCTGAAGATGCCCGTCAACAACGAGAAGAGCAAGAGGCCGGTACAATTCGTCAGTGGGGGCGGCGATGGCCTGGTCAAGGTATGGGATGCCAACTCGGGGGAGACGGAATGCACGTTGGACAATCACGAGGACCGTGTCTGGGCCATAGCTGTCCAGCCCGAGACCAACGCCATCGTCTCTGGCAGTGGTGATTCCACGGTGACCTTTTGGAAAGACACCAGTACGGAGACACAAGCTGCTGCCTCGCAAAAAGCGCTCGAGTTGGTGGAACAGGAGCAAGAGCTGCAGAACCACATGAACGCAGGTTCATACCGCGAAGCTATTGCTCTGGCACTGCAGCTCAACCACCCGGGGCGTCTGCTGTCGCTGTTCACCTCGGTCACGACGAAGAGTCCGCCAGAGGAGGGTAGCTTGACGGGCGTCAAGGCTGTCGACGAAGTGCTGGCTACGCTGTCAGATGAGCAGATCTTCCTCCTTTTGCTACGCTTGCGCGACTGGAACACCAATGCACGCACGGCGCCTGTTGCCCAGAAAATCCTCTGGACGTTGGTCCGCAGCTACCCAGCTTCCAAGTTCTCTAGCTTGTCCGTCAGGGGTGCGCGTGGTCAGCAGAGCCTCAAGGATGTTCTGCAAGCATTGAAAGTATACACTGAGAGGCACTACAAGCGCTTGGAGGAACTCGTAGATGAGAGTTACCTGGTGGAATATACCCTGCAGGAAATGGATAGTCTTGCGCCGACGCTGGAGAATGGGGAAGATGCATTGATGCAAGAGGCAGGGCAGGACACCATCATGGCTGGCTAGGCAGGTAGAATGTTTCTGACAGAAAAGAAATTTCCGCGCAATGATCTGTATTCGATACATGCCAAAGGGCGAATCAACCGTGATTATTACCTCAATTCAGTAGCTGAGGCTCACAAATGCTAGCAAGCTTGCCCCAAGATTTGGCGTTGAAAGACGTGCCCCACAGCGATGACGATCCAATATTTTCTTCAGCCTTGCCGTTCGCAACCATCCATCAACTGCTTCGTCAATCCCGCCAGCAGCCGAACCTTACCTCGCGCATATATCCTAATACGAAGCTTATCGGCTGAGTAGAAAATATGGCTAAGCGCCATGCCTCCGAGGCGCTCGAAGACCTCAGCGGTGTCGCGTCACCCGCCTCCAAACGTTGGCGATTCGACGACCTAGACTCGCCTCTCGACGGCCCGACACCAAAGGAAGACAAGCCGATCAATGGCGCGTCGAAGGAGGAAGGTGAAGAAGATGAAGAGCTCGACGACGAATTATCAGCGCCGGTCCCCGTTCGCCAAGCTGCGCCAACAGACGGCTACGCAGACCTCTACCTAGACACAATCCACCGCCAGGTTCTGGACTTTGACTTTGAGAAGCTTTGTTCAATATCGCTATCGAACATCAATGTATATGCCTGCCTCGTCTGCGGCAAGTACTTCCAAGGACGAGGACCAAAGAGCTACGCGTACATCCACTCCCTGGATGAAGATCACCACGTCTATATCAACCTGGAAACACAGCGAGTCTTTGTCCTACCCGAAGGATACGAAGTCAAGAGCAAAGCCCTTGATGACATCAAATATGTCGCCGATCCCACATACACAAAGGAAGATGCGCGAGATCTCGACCGCGTCTCGAAGACGAGTCGCACGCTCGATGGAAAGGAGTACAGTCCAGGCTTCGTGGGCATGAACAATATCAAGGAGAACGACTATCTCAATGTCGTGGTACAAGCGCTTTCGCACGTCGCGCCTCTGCGGAATTATTTCCTGCTGGAAGACTTCTCTTCCAAAACAGAGCTCGTCAGGCGCTGCAGCATCCTCTTTCGCAAAATCTGGAATCCGCGGGCCTTCAAGGCGCACGTCTCCCCCCACGAGCTACTCCAGGAGGTATCCCTCCGATCCAACAAAAAGTTCACCCTGACAGCGCAGTCTGACCCGGTGGACTTTCTCTCATGGTTCTTGAACAACCTGCATCTCGGTCTCGGTGGCTCGAAAACCAAACCTGGGTCCTCCATGATCCAGCGGACATTCCAAGGGAAACTCAAGGTCGAATCACAAACAATCACCGCAAGAGCCGACGTGGGCGACAGGCTGCGATTTGAGGAGGCTGCCGATGTCAAAGTCGACGTTGCGCGGTTCATGTTTCTCACCCTCGATCTCCCTTCGGCGCCTCTATTCCAGGACGAGCTCGAGAAGAACATCATCCCGCAGGTGCCCCTTACCACCATTTTGAGCAAATACGACGGGCGAAGCGCACAGGAACATCACGCCCAAAGGAAACGGTATCGCTTGCTACATCCGCTCCCGCCCTACCTCGTCTTCCACGTGAAGCGCTTCTCGCAAAACAAGTTCATCTCGGAGCGGAACCCTACTATTGTCACATTCGATGCCAGGAACCTCGACATGTCGCCCTATGTGGAACCCAATCCGGCTGAACATCCGCCAGGCGAGCCAATATGGTACGACCTCGTGGCAAACATTGTGCACGAGGCCGTCCGGACGCGCGAGGATGTCGCGGACACAGGCGAGGAGAGGAAGACGTGGAAGGTCCAGCTTAAGGACAAGGCAACGGGCGAGTGGGTCATGGCGCAAGATCTCTACGTGGACAAGGTGCAGAGGGAACTGCTGTACCTGGGAGAAACATATCTCCAGGTCTGGGAGAGAAGGCGAGACAGCAAGGGGAAAGGCAAAGCCTAGGTAGTCTAGGATGCTGGGCGGTGAGCAACAAAAATCACCAATGTAAATTGGACACGATGAAGTCATATCTTCGAGTATGCATCAAACCGCTGTATCGCCGTGCCTCCGTGTCAATGCGCTACTGAAACACCCATCTAGCACCTTATACCAAATCAAAAACCAGGCCTTCTTCTCAGACCTTTCATCCCAGCAATGCATGCATGCAAAATCATACGCCGCCCTACAATGACCTGACAATGAATGCGTGCCAGTGGTACAGGAAGGGTGGCGTGCAAATCTCGAGATGCTCGAGACCAGTAGTATACAATGATCAACCAAAACAAAACACAAGGTCGCGCGTGAGGGTGATTGCAGGCATGGGCAAGGAGCCCCTTTAGAAGAAGCTCCTTTCAGAGAGGCGGAGAGCGCGGAAGCCTAGTTCATCTCACTTCTCGCGGGCCGCTTCTCAGGGTTGGCCTCTTTAGCCTTCTGGTTCTCGCGGCGCTGCTCGTCGAGGGCTGTGCGTTGTTGGATGCTCGAGTCGTGACTTCGAAACTCGACGCGCGTGTTGGCGGGCAGCTTGAGGATGTGCTTCATGAGTTCGCTGGACGAGGTCAGTCATTTGTTCAACCATACCAACCATGCACATGGACAGCTTACCGAATCTTGAGCACGCGGCCACCGTCCGTCTTGGTCCAGATACTCAAGATATCTTCGCCATTTCGGACACTCAGCACGGCGCCGCAAACATCCTCGCCCGCCTCGAAGAACTGGTCTCCAATAAGCGCCAAGAGGAGGTCTTCCCAGTAACGATCAGCCACGCCCTTCTTCAGCCTCACCACCCACTTGCCACCCTTCTTGTTGACCTCGTCCTCCCAAATTGGCCGGATATCCTTTTTGAAGAGATGATAGTCCGACACCACGGGCAGTGTCGAAGGGCGCTTCAGGTGCTCATATACATCCCAAAACTCTTCCGCCGCTCGAACGGTTGCAATAGGATGCAAGGTGTGCTCATATTCGATGTACCCATGTGCCTTAGAGATGGGTGGACGATACCAGAAGGTCCATGAATCTATGAGCAGATGTAAAGTCGGTACCGTGCCGTCAAGAGATCTGGCCTCGGAGATCGAGGCCATGCTGGGAGTCTTGCCGATTGGTTTGGCGTCTTTCGCGACGCCGGGCTTGGGTGCCGCCGTACCCATGGCCGTATCGAAAGGATTACCTCCGGACTTGGGCGTCTTCGCAGACCCGAAGGAGGCGAATGCGCCTGAGCCCAGGCCAAAAGCGCTGGATGCGCCCGTTGGCGAGGTCAGCCCTCCACCAGGTGTTGTAGCACTGAGGGGCCCCGAGCGCATGGACGATGCATTGTCGCCGCCCGCGCGCTTGGCAAAAGATGCGTTGCGGGAAGAGGGTGGTTCGTTGGAGGCGCCGTTGGGACCAGAATTCGTGGTCAGTGAGAGTTTACCGGTGCTAGCAAAAGGTCAGCCAGAGAAAGAAACGACTGACAGGAGAGCCGCTTACTTTGCTCGACGGGTCCATAAATTATCCATGAAGGCGAGTAGCTGGTCCTTCTGAGAGAAATACAGGTGTTGCTATCGCAGTGCGGGCGGCAGGTCAGGTGGTTGTCACGGCGAGTGGATGGCTAGCAAAGGTTCTTCTTGATGCTGGGTTTTCCGGAGGGGTATCGTATCGAACAGATCTCTGGGAACGTCGTGCCGCGGGGCTGTCGCGAGATGAAGAAATATCGTGCTTATTGATACACACGTCGCGTGGACGAGGGGCGGGCGTTGTCGTCTGGTAGGAGTAGAGGGGGCGTTTGCAATGAACAGGCGGTCGATTGACGATGGGATTTTCTATCGCTTTTCCAAGAGCTAGCGATGCGCTCTCTTGATACAAGTTGATAGGCTGGTGGATGAATTATACGGACGGTGGCGTAGTGAGTTGGAACGTTTGTGTGAATAGTTGAGTGTCGAAAGTCGAGGTGCTAGATAGATAGGTGATGATGATGTTGGTGGTGGTCGAATGCTTGGTTGGAAATGGTGGTGTGGGTGGACTGATTCGGAAGGACCTTGGACGTTCTTGGGTCACAGTGCTGCAGGCGGGTGTTGGAGAATGGGGCCTTTGGTGAGAGGAGCGCGGTGGATTCTGTTGCAAAATTCAGCCGCTTTGCAATTGGATTCGGCCTCAGAATTTCGGCGAGGGCGCCAGTCATGGCAGCCCAAATTTGTTCAAAAGACCCATTAATCAAGCCTCCACACATCCGACTTGAGACTCATCCAACTGAGGAAGGCCTTGACGATGAGTACTCGTTCACTCCAGGCTCATAGGGTCAGCATATCCTGTGGAGTCTGCACAAGGTTCTGACATGGACTCGACGCAGTTGTGATGCAGTCAAGATAATGCATTCAAGACAAATTCCAGTCGCTTTACGAGATAATTACCTACTCTGTAATTAATTGGGGGATGTGGTTGCACCTCGCAGCTGCGCTAAGAGCTTGTTCGACGGACAGTGCTACAGAAGGCGATGTCTGGTCTGCATTGCATTTGACTCCAGGATCAAATACCAAAGTAACAACTGTGACATCTGAGGTGTCTGACTAAAGATATTAAAGAAGCGGCTTTACCAACGTCTTGACCTGTAGAGACACGAATTGCTCGTGGTGAGGTATCTTACAGATCTCCCAAGTGATGCCCCACAAAATTGTTCTTATCGCCCCTCGTCACCTCTTATCGCCTAAAAATTTCCCAAGATTCCCATCATCTCACCATTGCGACCACAGCTGCTCCCCATCTAACCTAATAACTCCCCGTCAGACGTGAAAAGCGAGCATCACTGTTCGCCCATCCCCGTTACCATGGCGCCCTCCAAGACTCGTACCATAAAGAACAAGAATGCGGGCCCTAAAAAGACCGACGACGAGAAGCCGAAATCCAGCAAATCATCGGCTGGTCGCAAAGGCCCCGTCAACGCCACGCAATTGAAGGAGAAGAATCGCGCGCTTCTGCTCAAGAAGCCCAAGAGGAAGACCTACACCGACACCGAGCTCAACATCCCCAAGCTGAACATGATCACGCCCGTGGGTGTCGTCAAGCCCAAGGGCAAGAAGAAGGGCAAGGTCTTTGTGGACGACAAGGAAGCGATGACGACCATCATGTCACTCGTGCAAGCAGAGAAGGAGGGTCAGATTGAGAGCAAGATGACAAAGGCGAGACAGCTGGAGGAGATTCGACAAGCGAGAAAGGAGGAGGCGGCGAAGAAGGAAGAGGAGCGCAAGACGAAGCTGGAGAACGTGAAGGAGTCGCTCAGGAAGAAGAGGAAGCGTGGCCCTGCTGACAAGGACGACGATAACGTTAAGGGTGCCTCTTCTGCGGGAACAAAGGCGGGCAAACCCTCGAAACGGAAGAGCGTGTCATTCGCATAGAAAAAAAAGAGGCGCGGATGATGTTAGCATTGCTAGGTGTTACTGGCGTACGGGATATCATGGAAGCATTGATAAAATTATGCAAATCTTGCCATTACGATATTATGACTCTACTCTATTGACCCGACCTCGTCGTACGGTACGTTCTATATCTATAGTGATGATTCTATGTCGTGTCGTGCTGCATGAAGAGGTTGCGTCGCATGGGGACGTATCTGGTCCCTCTATCGTTGTTGCCCGTGGTCTCGGGGTCCTTGCTTGGCTTGATGCTTTCCAAGTCCGTCTCGAAAGCAATGTGGTTGAGGAAATTATATACCTGACTTGTCAGCATGCACAATGTCGGGTCGAGGGACACATACCGGCTTGGTATACCACCGCGAGCCTCCTGACTCAAACCAGCACAGATGTCCACCCATCGATGTGGTCAGAAGGATAGTGTCTGGGTTCTGACGGAACTCCTCATATGGGATTGCCTCTTTGACTGCGATCTGCATATTGTAAGCCAATGGCGCATAGGTTCTGGATAAGGAACTTTACAGGGTCGTCGACCGCGTGCACAGCTAGGAATGGTATCCTAATTGACAGCACCGCGTCGGTGGAGGATGCGTCGCGATAATACGAGTATACAGTCGGGTAGCCCCAGCTAGGGCATCTAGCCGCGTCAGCGTCGTAGTCCACCGCAAGCCAGGCCAACGATTCACTTACTGTACCAATTCGTCAAACTCATGCAGATACTTGACGCTGACAAGCTTTTCCATGTCGAGGTTGGTGTTCTTCGCCAGGTCATCTTTGTGATTTTGCGCAAGGGCCCTCATGGATCCTGAGAAGGTCAGCGTATACACCTTGTCACTTAAGAAGCCATACATACCGCCCATTACTCGCAGATAGACCTCTTTCCCAATCCATGTTTTTTGCAGGATCTTACTCGAGATCTCCAGATTGAAGGGGTTTGAGCAAACAACTGCGGCCTTCAGCTCACAGTTTGGCCCTTCCTCGCCGCAGTACTTCAAAGGTCAGTGGCCATTCCGCCGTGGGTGTCTTGGCAAAGATACTCACATTCGTAAGCATGTTTGCGCCCAGTGAGAATCCCAATCCGAAGACAGGTCGGTTGGGGAACGTCTTCCTGACCCATTTCACGACCTGCCTGACATCCCATGTCGCCCGTGCGTTGTACAGGACACCGCTCGTGATCTTGGTTCCTGCACATCCACGCGCGTTGATTACGCAGATCTCCCAATTCCCCTGCTCAATGAATGGCTGGATGCAGTGTCGCAAGTAAACTTCATGAGAGCCTCCAGAAAGACCATGCAGGATGACCATCATTGGCTTTTCGTCGTTAGACCCGGCATCCACAGCTTTCCATTGCTCCTCAGTAAAGTTCACTGTCCTAGGGAACGAAATGCTGTCGTCCTCGTCATCGTGAGGAGGTACCACGAAGTCGACGGCAAAGGTACCTTCGTATTCCTTGGAGTCCGCTGTGAAGATCCGACGACGATAGTACACTGGCGGCCCGTGTGGCTTGGTCGCCGTCCACATGGTCTGCACATGCCCGTTGAAGAGAAGAGGGTTGAGCTGGCAGGGAGGCGTCGCATTCTTTACAATCGTCAACAGATCAACATCTTGGTGGGCTTCGTCCAAACTCTTCTGCGAAGAGTCGGTGGCCACCTGGGTATCACCACGGGACTTGATGGTGCGCGTGGTAGGTGCGTGGGTGAAGTCGATGTTTGAGTGACCGAGCCACTCCATTGTGAGAGTTGGTGGTGACGTCGTGCCTCCGGCGAGCCAATCGATATAGTAGGGATTGCAGTGTGTGATGGGTGTCCTCCGCAGTTGAGACTGTTTATCAACGAAACTCACGCGCACAATCTCGAGAAGAAGCGAGAGACAGTACTTGCAGATCAGGGGCCCTGAACAGTGTTGAGGTCAATTAATAAGGCATATCCCGAATCAAGGTCAAGAAAACCCGGGCCAACATGTGTGTGGACCCCTACGAATGCGGCCGATGAAAGCCCACAGACGAGTATAAGCTGCACGTACGATATTATTTCTCTCTTGTGTCACAGCATCTATTGGTGTACATCGCCCAGGAAATCCGTTTGCTGCCGCATAAAATTGACAAAGCTGCTTCCACGAATGTGAGACTTTGCTGTGCACCTCCAGACAAGATAAAGTCATTCATGTGTAAGTACTTGACTGGAATTGTGTCGAAGTCCGTGCCGAGGCTTTCGGACTCGCTGTGAAAGCACTGAACTCCGTGCGTCTCGCAGTGTCAAATCCGATTACAAGCATCTACTACGTACTTCTGTACTTACTGAAGTGGTTGTTAATTAAGGTATAGCATTATGGCTACTGATCATGGCAATAGAGCCGCAGTCAACTTGGAAGAAATTGCTCTGGTTGTACAATCTACTTACCAAGATTTGATAAACCAACCATAATATGAGCACGGGTTGTGTCACGCTCCGCTGCATCTCATGCTAAAGGCAAAGCTTCGGCCGGTTTATACATCCATATGAATAATCTATATAAATGTATACAGGATCATCGTAAGAAAAACTGATAATAGTGGTCGAATTCTATCTTAATATTTTGTAATTGGTAATGACAAAATCAGGAACAGGTGCTTCCAAAACGCCGCGAGTGGCTAGCGGCGCGAAGTGGTGTGACACGTGACTTGGCCATGGTGCTTGCCAACGCATCACAGTGGTGGCTTGGGCAGTACACCAATTACCGCACCACCATTCGCACCGCACCTTGGGGATACCATCTCGGATCAACGACCGTTATGACAGGTTCTATGCGATGCGCGAACGACTGGATCTCGAAATCCACCAGCCGGTTTTACGAGTCCGTGATGGGCACCCACGGTAGCTGACGTCTTTGCTGGCACGAACTATTCCGACGACTGATCGACCCTCCTCGCATATGGACCCTACGACATTGCCGAGCTAGCGGTCTGAACCAGACAGCTACATTGCGCTGATGGGAACAAAGGACTAGGGCATTGCGTCGCGCTCGCTGCGAAGTAATGAGTACTAATACTACACAAGGCTGCGTCCGGAACCGACTTGCCCATCTGTAATGGCATTTCGCGTGCATTCTTTTCGGGACACTCTGACTCTTTATACCACCCAGCAATTGCTGAAACTCAAGGAATGTTTCACTCCGTTCCCAACAAGGCGGTATCCAAAGATGGAGGTCGGGTTCGAAACCCTACAACATGGCCCAGCTGCTTGAACATGAAAAGGCAGAGAGGGTTGTGACCCCTTTGCCCGCCATATGCTTGACGGTCAGGGTTTTATGTTCGACAGATGCATATCAGTCCCCAGGTCTTGCCTCCCCATTGCCCGAGGAACCTGGACATCCATCGGGACTTTGGTGCAACCTGCGTCATGGCAAAGCGTCATCGCTGAGTATAGCTGTCGCTGTTGACATCTTTGACTGAACTCTCCACGGTCACGGTGGAAGTTTCGGACGTGGCTTGTCCTTTGCCCCTTATGTAGTTCTCAAACGCCCATGAATGACCTGTCGGGATCGCGTGTCTTTTGGCATCGACCTGACTTGAACACGGACAGGTGGACATACTTGCCGGTACGATGCAGTCGGAAATGGTCGCGCTTGATGGGCGGGCAGGAGGCGGCGAGTTAGCAAGCAAGCCTCACTTGATGGCCTTGCGTTTGAGTGATGTTGCGTGCGGGTCGTTCGTTGTGCGCAACGAACCACGCACCCGCGAGGAGACTGGGCCTGATGACAACTATGACCTGGGGGTTTGACCTAAGGAGTAATCCTCATCTCACAGACGAGGCCACAGAGCCAGGGTCCACACGATTGCTGCAACGCTCTACTCTACGGAGTACGATGCGTAGGCGATATCTTTCTGCCCCAGCTGGAGTCCACCCGTGCAACCCTCAGCTTCATAACGTCAGTCGCTCGTTGCACTCCGGTCGCCACGCCTCGACAGCCGCTTTCGAATCGCAGCAAATGACTTGATCCGCTCAGCAGAGAACGAGTTACCGGGACTTTCTCATTTACAGCCTCCGCGCGACCGGTTGCAATATTGTTGCCAAAGCAAGTTTGGACGCGGACGCAGATGACCGGGTTGGTTAGCGCCGTGGTACAGTCTTGCAGGGTCGGCTAAGCCACGGCCAATCCCGCCCAGCACTCAAACGTTCACTGATTGCCCCGACTGCACTGGCCCGCCATCAACCCTGGCTTGAATTATCCAGAATCAGCACAGTTTTGCCTTGTCTCAGGGCGTCAACCATGGCAAGCCTGCCAGAGCGTCCGCCGCGCTCTCATGGCTCCATTCGAGATGACATAGACCTTGACGAGAATCGACATCGATCTCGCACCGAAGGACGCGCGCATTCATCTGAACGACGACAGTCTCCACCCCGACGACGGCCACGCTCGCCGGATCATGATAGCCAAAAGGCTCGCTCCTCACGGGCTCGCTCAAGGCACTCTCCAGACACGATCCAACGCAATACTCGACAGTCTCCCAGCGGTAGCGATACTCGCCGTCCGGCTGATGCGCAGGATTTGATCCCCCGATTCAGAGACAAGCAACAACGTGACCCAGAATTGGGCGAGAGCCACCGTCGACGCAGCCGAAGCCGCGGCCGTGACAAGGAATCCCCGTCTGCCCCCAAAAGGCACAGAAGCAGGACACGTTCGCCCAGCGATCGTCATCGCAAACGATCTCGAAGACATTCTAGTACCTCTCGAAGGGATCGTGGCCGCGACAAGATCAAGGACATGGACAAAGAACGCAGTCGGTATCGTGAAAAAGATCGCGACCGTAATCATAGCTCGAAACACAGTCGTCGTCACTCGCCGCACGACAGGCGACGGGATTCGCCTCGTGCTCACGCGTCGCCTACCCAGGACGACCATTCTTCGTCGCGATCGAACAGACACCGCGAAGATTCAGAAGCACCGCGTGACCAGGCATCACGCCGCGACAGACACGAATCGAGACACTCCAGGATCGACGAATCTGATCGTTTTGGTCACCAAGACTTTCCGATGGAGCGGCCAATCGAACTCTCCAGCCTTGCACCTCTCGAATCTGTAAGCCTCCACGACAGCGAGGCACGTCCTCGCGAGCGCAGAGGTAGAACCCGTTCTCCATCAAGCCGAGGAAACAGGAGAGGTCGACGGCCTACACCCGATGGCCCTGCCGCTGCCTATTTTGATGAGGAAATGCGTCATCGCGATCCGTATCGCGGCGACTACGACTACGCACATGGCCGACACTACCCCCCTCCTGACCCGAGATATCCACGTTCTCCTCGTGGGGCCTCATACCGTGCTTCGCCGCCCCGTTCACCTCATCCCCCCAACCGGCGTGGTAGAGTAGGGCGATATTTGCCCCCTTATCATCAGTACCAGTACCACCAAGGCCCGGGAGATTACGACATGCCGCCACAGGATGGGCCTTACGGGCCACCCCCGGGATCTTATCGTGGAGGATACCATGGCGGGAATCATCGTGGAGCTCCATTCAACGGTCGTGGCGGTCCACGTGGCATGGGCTACAAATCGTCACAATGGGGTGGTGGTTCAGGACATGGTCAATCAGGGCCGCCGGACGAGCTCAACGATCAGTATCGCTCACCGAACGATTATGCGGACCAGCCATTGAGAGAACCGGAGCCTGAAGACGCTAGCATCGATGAGGCTTCAAAGGCGTCGGACACGAATGGCAGTCACCCTCCTAATGCACCTACTGGGCCGTCGGGCTCGGGGCGTCCGCCGCCGACTGGACCAAGCAACAAGTTTAGCTTTGCTTTCAAGGGGCCCTCGAAACCAACTGCGCCCAAACCCGAGATATCCCAGAAGTTCAACGCCCCTCCACGGAGGAGGTTGTCGCTCGACAGGGCAGACAGTGATAGGCAACCTCCCGCTTCCGCGCCGACTGAACCCGCCTCAGCCAGAGGGCGACCTGATCCGAGGTCGCTGCCACCTATACCTGACGGCCCCAGAGTCGTACCGCGGATGCGCAAAGTGAAAAAGATAATGCGGCGACCAAAACCTCGCCCGACACTCCCCTCGGAGCAAGCGATTTCGGAGTCTGTCTTCTTCCGCAAGCCTGGCAACGAGTCTGTGATTGGGTCCGGCACGTACGGCAAGGTCTTCAAGGGGTTGAACGTGTATACAAAGGACCTTGTCGCCCTCAAGCGCTTGCGGATGGAAGGCGAAAGGGATGGGTTCCCCGTGACAGCGGTGAGGGAGATCAAGCTGCTGCAGTCGTTGAGACATCTCAACATTGTGAATCTTCAGGAAGTCATGGTCGAGAGGAACGACTGTTTCATGGTTTTCGAATACCTTTCCCATGACCTTACGGGCCTCCTCAACCACCCCAGCTTCACCCTGAACCCGGCGCAGAAGAAGCATCTTGCGAAGCAGATGTTTGATGCCCTCGATTATCTACATGATCGCGGGGTCCTGCATCGGGATCTCAAAGCAGCCAACATCCTTGTCAGCAGCGAAGGCATCCTCAAACTAGCTGACTTTGGCCTTGCTCGATTCTTCGCCAAGCACCATCGACTGGATTACACCAATCGCGTCATCACCATCTGGTACCGCTCCCCGGAGCTACTCCTTGGAGAAACGCAGTACACCGCGGCCGTCGATGTCTGGAGTGCGGCGTGCGTCCTGGTGGAGATCTTTGTCCGGCAGGCCATCTTCCCCGGAGACGGTACCGAACTCAGCCAACTCGATAAGATCTACGGCATCCTCGGTACGCCCAACTTGCGGGACTGGCCTGGTCTGGTCGACATGGCCTGGTTTGAGCTCCTCAAACCAACTGTCAAGAGGAAGAACGTGTTTGCGGAGAAATACGAGGACCGAGTCACGCCCAAGGCCTTTGATCTCCTCAAGCGCATGTTCCAGTACGATCCCGCTAAACGCCCCACAGCGGCCGAGGTTCTACAACATGACTACTTCCTCACGGAAGAGCCTTTGCCAAGACAGGCAGTAGAGTAAGTCACCTGCCACATTTCCCATCAAACCGTACGAGGCGCTAACATTTTTTTCCCCCACGTAGACTCGCTGATATCGAGGGTGACTGGCACGAATTCGAGTCCAAGGCGCTTCGTAAGGAGAATGAACGAAAGAATCGTGAGGCGCGCAAGGCCAACGCCGCCCGCGACAAGGAGAAGAAACGAGCTGCGGAGACCGAAGATGCTGCTGCGCCCGAGGCCAAGAGACCCCATGTTGATCTTGGTGCCGAGGAAACTTCGGAGGTTGCGTAGGAGCATCGGCCCACAGTGGTGATACCGGCACGGACAGTTTGAATAGGGAGTTATAGGGGAAAGTTGTTTATCTCATATGGTCCATTGGTGTCTGGTTAGATCACACTTTATACGGCGTTTGGGAACGGGCATTTCCGAGACAGGCAGCAAGGGATGGTGGGCGCGGGCGAAGTATGTACAACATCCATATATACCCCTGGGGGGCAATAATCCTCTCGGTAAGAGTCATGGTGCACACAATGCCATTTCCAGACGCAGTCATGTTTGGTCATTTCTTCAAGTGCTGTCTACCAACACTAGATGTATATACAATGCTGGCCACTACTTGGGCTTGTTCGTGCCCAGTGTCGTTTCTCATAAATATCATAAGTCGTCATAAGGTCGTCCTTCTTCAGAAGCTCAGCTAGCACCCCTCTGCACACCTTTCCCTTTCGTATCCGTCGAGCGCAAAAGCTCGCGAAGACTGCCCTCTGCTCGCCCGGCGGCCTTGGGGGCAGCAGTCTCTCCCGCGCGCCACGGCATCCAACCGGTCAACGCGGAGATGAAGCCCTGGGGTGTCCCGGGCTGCTCAGCCGGTAACGGTGCCCTTTTCGCCGAGTTTCGATAGACTTGTGACACAGTGTTCGCGGGGGGCGGAGGAATATTCTCCTTGTTCTGTTCCCTCTCGGGGACTGTGCGGATCTCCAGTTGGCTCGTCGAGGCTTTTGGATGAGCTGGCTCGCTGAGCAGCGCACTGCTCGAGTTGCGGGGTGATGTCGTGTCGACGTTTGACTGCACATTGATGGAGCTGTCGATGAGCGCGAGGGATGCTGACCTCCTACCCTGTGGAGTCTTTGGTGCCATCGGACTTTGGTCGTCGTCTGTCGTGGTGCTGCGTGCTGAGACAGGTGACGCACGCCCTGAACCTCGCTCGATAGCTCTGCCGCGCACCTCGCGGGCGAGTTCGGCTGCCGATTTGTTCTTCTTAGACTTGTCTTCGTCCGAGGACCGGCTCGAGGACATGATGGTCTCCAATGTGCCCATGGCCCGACTGCTCCGCCTAGCTCCATTCCGTCTCTTTCGAGAACGTCTCGAACTTCGATCGTCATCAGATGTGATCACTTGCAACGTCGGTCCCTGCCCATCGTTGCCGTTTGGCGAGCCCACAAAGGTCGAGCCAGAGCCGTGAGGATGGTAATGCACTTCGTACTGATTGCTCAGCGAGTATCTGGATTTCGCACAGATTTCTGCGATGCGGTCAAGGTCAGCATTGATATCACTCCCAGCCTCCTGCGTGTCCATGTTGGCCATGAAACCTTTAAAGGTGAAAGCCTCGATGGGGGGCAGCTTGGTCTCGTCCGCGGGACTAGGTCCATTTCCTTTCCCCCCGGCGCCTCGGGCTAGTTTGGAAAGCATTCCGTTTCTGGCGGTCGTTACGGAGCTCGCAAAGGGCATGCTACGGCCGCGAGCAGTAGCGGATTCCCCACTCTGTGAGACTGTGCCCGGGCCTCCGTGGACAACGACACCTCTACGAGAAGTGCTTATCGGTTTGTTGTTCTGGGGTGCGTAGTAACTCCGGACAATGACAGGTTCGGAGTAGGTTGTGCTTCGCGCACCTGTTGAACGCTCGTAGCGGTGGCGGCTGGGATAGTTATTGTTGAGCTCCCTGAGCGCAGACGTCCGGTTCTCGGCCGTCGAATTGTCCACGGGAATGGCCTTGCCCTCGGCAACGGAGTGTACGAGAGTCGTGGACGATGGGTTCGTTTGGAACGAGCGGATGAACGAGAAGGGAAAGGCACCCTGACGGTTGGTCACCACCTGGCCCTGCAGAGAGGCATTGTCCGATATCGAGCGCTGGTGATGTGAAGCATTTGATTTTCGAGCCGGCGAAAGTCGACGGGAGGAAGGAACAGAGGCAGCGGAGGGTTCCATGGTGAACCTTGCCAACGATATATGTGCGTTGCTTCGCAGGTTCTCAGTACCTGGCTAGCAGGGGCGTCTCGCTACTCGGTGCGCAAGTGGACCGTTCCAGGCATGTATATGCCCGTGCTATGCTGTCTTGCAGTACACGAAGACCATGCGTGGTATTGCAGGACAGAAAAGCAGAGGAAGATTGGTGTCTTGAGAGGGGCGGCGGATCGATTACTTAGGCCACACTCTGCATAGGCGTGTTCGCAGTCGGGGACTTGTTGAGCGGGCCGGCCTCAATTGACGAATGGAAGGTGCAAACCAGTGCTAGACAATGCGCGCTGCGCTGGAAGAGGAGAATCGGTATGCAGCCGTGATGCACGGTCGACGTGGAGGAAAGCTGGCGGTCAGTCAGTCGGTCGAGAGGGTTGGAAATGGAGAGGCCAGGGCCCAGGCACTGCAGGCAGGGTGTTGACCGAGGATCGGCAAGTCGCAGAAATGCCCCGCGTTGGGAATTTTGGTGGGTTAAAAGTTAGAAGGCACGTACGGAGTACGTACTTTGCCAGTATCCGTGAGGTAGAAAGAAGAGGGTCCCTTGAACTCCAGATTGCCAGGCGTCGCACCTTTAGCTCATCGTCTTGATAAATGCGATGATTTTGTGGTGGTCTAGTGGAGGGGCATCTCATTCATCAAAATGATGTTTGGACTGAGGGGAGCAATGCATCTTCATCGAATCACCAGCGTCGGGAGATATGCAACGTGTCGTGGCTGCCGTTTAAAGGTCCAGTCGCAGGGCAGGACGCACACGGCGAGGAGACGGGCAAACACCCATTGGTCCTTTGGGCCTTTGGGCACAGCATACAAAGTTGAGACAATCGAATTGACAAGTGGCATTAAAAGTACGTACTATTAGTGTTTGAAACAGCGGTTCGTGCCGAACTGAAATGATCAAATTCCATTTACTACCACGCAGGATAGGATGTAAGGATACAGCGTCATCCAGCGAACAGTACAGACAATTGCAAGAGACCGCCTAGTAATCTTCGCGCACTCAACTCGATTTTGGCATGGAAGCAAACTTCTCGCAACCAGCGGACACCTCAGTTGTAGGCTGGTGCTGGTGCCGGTGCCGGTGCAGGTGCCACTGGCCTTGCCATCGTGCCGTAGCTGCGACCACCGTTCTGGACCTTTTCGCTGTAGATGCCAGGCGCGTTGTTCGGTGCGGGTTGACCCAGAGCGGCCTGTTCGCGGCGATCATAGTAGACCCAAATGATATAGAAGCCATGCAAAATCCCGGGGAAGTAACCCAGAATTGTGAGCAGGATATTGACCAGTAGATCTGATGAATGTGTTAGGGTGTTGCTTCGCTGCCAAGACAGCCGAAACTGCATCGAAATCACTTACCCATCCCACATCCTGCCAGAGCGAAGACTGCAATCGGGGGAACTGCGCAGGTCATTAGCCATGAACATGAAGCCTAAGAAACTCTGCAATCATACAGAATAGGTTGACAATAACCAGGATGACCGCGGCACACCCACCCATTGTGGCGAGCTTGTTGGTGATAACGAGGAGAATGGAGTAGGGTAGTCAAACTAAGGCGACTCGCGCTCAACTGACGAATTCAGAGAAGTGATATTGGATCGGAGAGAGTCAGGATGGTGATAAAGGAATCGAGCAAAGAAATAATGTTTGGCTCAAGGTTGAATCTACTAGAGATGTTTCTTAAGATACCTGATGGTAAGGAATGAACACATGACGTGTACGGGCGTACAAGATGGCATGATGGGGTGACGTATACGGTACGCGTACGCCTCACTGCCGAGCCGGCAGGTGAGCGAAGCGTGAATGACCACATTTCTTACACACAGCCCTAAACCATTACTGACAAAACGAAGCAATGGTCCATGACGTTCGGGTTGGCCCGGACCGTGTCGCTTTGCCCAATGGCTCCTCCAGTCGCTGGTGTTGGACACCTTTGGATGACGCCCTGTACGTACATGCAGGGACTGCCGTCTTCAGTGAAGCAGAGCCGCTCAGCCGCATCGCATCGCACATGCGCATCATCACGCGGGATTCCACAAATCCCTGGTATACGGTGCACCAGCTACTCACAGCCCGCATCCTACCTTGACTTCAGGGACACATTGTTCCCTCCAAGGCCACCCTTTAGTCGGCGGCACTCAGTAGACCGGTAGACCCCTCCAATAGCTGTCCCGGACTGAACTCACAAGCATCGTTGTCCAAATGCTGACGGAGTTGATCCCAACTCTCCCACTTGGGCGTACAGTCAGACAGCTTGGGAAGTATCCTGGCGACCTTGCCCAGCGATTGCGCGCCGCCGTTCACCACAACGCGCACTTGACTCTGCCGAAGGCGCGCAGACCCTCGTCGACAATCACCTCGATAGCCTCGTAGATGATCGGGTTGCTGGACTTGCACTCGCCGATGCTATGTCTGGTGCCAGGCGCAACTGGGAAGTTGGGAATGCTTTGACCAGTGGCTATGCAGGTGACGCTAAAGACACCCTGGTTGAAAGATATCTCACGCGTGGGAGCGCAGAGCTCCTCACACATGCCATCTCGCTCCACGGATTCAGATAGGGCGTCGCTGCCGGCCGTAGAGAGGCGGCATAGACCATCACCCTTCAGTGATGCCTATGACTGGAGTGCGAGGCATGCCCGTCACTCTAGGCTCAACCCTCACTTATATAGGCGTCCATGTCTCGGCATACCGCACAGTAGGTCGCAAGTGCGCTCCGATGCCCAAGAGGACAAGGCGAGTAGTTGCAGCGGAGGATCGAATTCCTATCGCTGCGGTTTTTGGCTGTGTAAGTTGGCATGAGAGCACGGGCCGCATGCCCATGAGATGAATAGGACACGGCCGTTGATGCAACTCATATAGGTAGCCGTGGCATGATCGCCAAGATATGGTCGCCGACACGTGGAAGAAATCTAGGATAGTAAGCTCTAGACCCTAGCCATCGAACAGCATGGAATCCCATGCCGACAGTCGTTGTACTTGTAAATGACCTGAAAAGTGCGGTAGGACGCCTTCGACTTGGAGCTCATCGGTTAGGTGACGGCTCTTACCTGTGCACCAGCAACCCCCAGTGCCAGCAGCGCGCACGCGAACCTCAAGAGCTCTCCGCGTAGGTCAAAGAGACCAGAACGTGTTCGGAAAGCCCCGAGTTGTGTTCCCAGAGAGAGGCGTTTCCGTCCAGTCCCGCTCCTCAGCACGCATTGAAACATGGACCATGAATCAAGCCTTGCTCTCCGCCTTGCCATGCCGAAAAAGAATGTGCAAAAGCCAAAGTGAGTAGTGTACTAGGCGATGGGGGCTGCGACCGGCAGCGGAGTTTGCCTCATGTCCGTAGTACTGCTGCGAGCTTGGTGGCTTGGGGCGTATGTCGACTGGATGTATCCGTAGGAAAGTGATGGTGCGTAACCAGAAGCTGGTCAAAGCCACTGAGACGGGACGCGACGAAAAGATTCTCATCGCAGCCATCACGTCGCAGCAGCGCATACCTCGGAATGTAAGTTAGTCGTCATCCTGTTGGAACATGCAATATCGCATAGACCGGTGACTGATTACGGTCGTGGAAGAAAGGGATCTCGCGGCTACGACTAGCGGGACGGGACGGGATCCGACGTATGAGGGACTTGACGTCCCTGATTAACGTTGGGACAGTGCTTGTTCACTTGATATACTGTAGGTGGTGACCGTTGGAGCTATGCCGCGGATAGAGGGCTGTGCCACGTAGAGTAGGCTGTCCCTGGGGTTTCATGGCGTTGATATATTTGTTTGACGCAAGGATAGGGTCGCGTATGAGCATGGTCAACACATTTCGCCTACGTATTTGTGCATTGAGGCGGATCGGTGAGGCGCGCTCGGTGTCTATTGGGAAGATGAAGTTCAATGTCATTGGGGGTTCCCATGTACAGTGGGTGTACGTACCTGTTAGCGCGCTGTGCCTGTCAAAGTCCACCGCTACGCTTACTGTGCCTTTATTAGTGCAGCTGCAGTCTTGCTCCAAGCTTCATGCCTCGTGGTGAACGATGGATACCTTAGCTCAACGGCCATGACTAGACTATGTTTGCCTCTTCTTTATGGCAAGCCTCTTGTTTGTCTTTCCAAAGGTTATTAATGGCCTTTGTCCAGAACTACCCTCGATCTACCTATCATCGCCTTTGCCAACCAGGCCAGGATGTCGGATGCAGAGGAAATGCGTCGTGCCCACTATATTTGGAGAGCCCTCACTGTGCGGATAGTAAAACCCCACATTTTGACGTGCAACGGCCAACGGCTTTCAGGCTGGGCGCCCCCTGAGAACGCCAGTTCCCGCCCTCAGGAACCCGAACCTGCACGCTGTCAGCAGTGAAGCCTTGTGGGAAGGGACCTCCAACACTGTGCCAGGCAAGACGCGGGCACGCCTGGGCGCCTGCCTGCCTCCACTCACTCCTGGGATTGAGTTTCTCTATTCTCTGCTGCCTCACCTCCCCGTTGCCAGAGCTTCAGTCTGGTAAAACATCTTCACGCCAGCATCGCCATTAGCCCACTCTCCCCCCCTCCCCCCTTTTCTCTCGCTTATTCTGTCACGCCGAGCCAGCTGGGTCACAAGCTGCTGCTCGCCATTGTCACCAGCTGATTGACAGATTCAAGACAGTCAGGCCGGACCGACGAACCGCCCGCCGCCGACAGTTGCCTACTGCATTTGTTTGCATCCGCAGACTAACGCCTCGTCTGCCTATCACTAGCTATCCGCAGCTACTCGATCTCGCTCTTCGTCTCCGGTCGATCGCCTCGAAATCGCTTCATCATGGCCTCGCAACAACAGACTCCATTTAGCGTTGACCGCTATGTGGTTATCCACGTTGCGACCACCTGTGACGAGCACGGTGTCTATGTCACCAAGGACTCTGCCGAGGTCATTGAGCTTGGATGGATCCTGATCGACGCCAATTCGCTTGAAGAGGTAAGCCATCTCAAGCGCCGAGACCTGTTGAACAAGACAGCTAACTGTTTTGCTCTGTAGCTCGCTCATGAAAGTGTGCTTGTCAAGCCAGTCAACACACCCATCACCCCCCTCTGCAGTACGTTCCTGAGACACCCCTCCAACTCCGAACCGCCACCATTGTCGACAAATGCACGCAGTGCATCTTGCTCGCTCAAATAATCGGAATACACCATCGGATTCAGTGCTGACATGGCTATCTAGCGAGCCTGACCACCCTGACTTGGGAACATGTCCGAAACGCGGGTACCTTTAGAGACGCTATCACTAGATTCGACACGTTCGCCAACGAGCACCTCACGAGCAAGAACCTCGACTTCGTCTTCGTCACTCTCGATGCCTGGGACCTCCGCGTCCAGCTTCCACGCGAGGCCCGCGACAAGGCCGTCGTGCTGCCCCCTTACCTACAGCACTCGCGCACCTTCGATCTTCGCACCGAGTACCAGCGCTGGCAGCAACGCCACCCAGAATCGCTGCCATTCGGTCCCTCGATGCTGTCCAATATCTGCGCTGCTCTCGAGGTGGAGCCCGTCCAGTCGAGCGCTCCCATCAAGCACAACTTGCCCTTCCATCTACAGGCTCTCGCCCCGGCTTCGCCTCGCAGGGCTATGGAGGAGGCAGTCACTCTGGCCCGCGTGCTTGGCGGCCTGATCCGAAAGTCGCAGCCTCGGGGCGAGCACCCTGATGTCCTTACCAGGCCTATGGATGCCCGCGCTGATGTGCGGGCTTTCCTCTCTGAGCGCAGCAAGGTGCTGCACATGTCCGGCCTTCCCCACGACACCACTCAGTCCGAGCTTGAGAGCTGGTTCACTCAGTTTGGTGGCCGCCCCATCGCTTTCTGGACCCTGCGTACCCCTGAGCAGCACAAGCCCACGGGCACCGGCTTTGCCGTCTTTTCTTCCCACGAAGAGGTAAGCTCCAGCCAACGAATGCGCTTCTCGTTGTCGACATGAGTTACTAACCTCCCCTAGGCTGCCGAAAGTCTGTGCATGAATGGCCGCGCTCTCAACGAAAAGGCCATCGAGGTCTCGCCTTCATCCAGCCGTGTCCTCGACCGCGCTCAAGATATCCTAACCCCATTCCCTCCCAGCAAGAACCGACCTCGCCCCGGCGACTGGACCTGTCCCTCTTGTGGCTTCTCCAACTTCCAGCGCCGTACAGCATGCTTCCGCTGCTCGTTCCCTGCCATGGGTGCTGGCGGTGGCGGCGGTCACCAAGAGATGGGTGGTGCAGGCGCCCCCGGTGGTTATGGCTACGGCGGCGGTTATGGCCCGCCCCACATGATGGGTGGCCCCCCTCCTCACCATGGCGGACATCACGGCCACATGGGTCACGGTGGTGGCCGCATGGGCGGTAGCGGCGCTGTGCCTTTCCGTGCTGGTGACTGGAAGTGCGGCAACGAAGTCTGTGGCTACCACAACTTCGCCAAGAATGTTTGCTGCCTTCGCTGCGGTGCCAGCCGTGCTGGTGCTGCGGTCGTTGCCGACTCGGGCTACCCTGGTCCTGGTCCGGGCCCTGGCCCTTCCATGGACAACGCGTCTCAGTACAGCATGAGCCAGAGCTCCATGTCTGGCACTCCGGGTCCCGGATCTGGTCCCTTTGCATCCGGCGGCTCCTTTGGCGGCTCTGGTGCAGGCGGCTACAACCAGCACTTTGGAGGCCCCCCAAGTCACTTCCTTCCAGCTGATATCGGTGGTGCCGGTGGCAGCGGCTACCCAAGCTCCCTTAACACTCAGGGCTTCGGCGCTGCCCCTGGCGCGCACTCTGCTGGGCCCTTTGACAGCCGTGCTGCCGAGGCTGCTTTCCAGTCGGCGTCGAATGGCCCGGCCTCCGCGGGACCTTCGAACAACTTCTACGGCTCGAACAACGGCAACAACAACGGCGGCGGCAACGGCGAGAACGACCCCTTCGCCTTCCTGTCTAGTGGCATGGGCGGCCTGTCTGTCAGCGGTAACGACGCTCGCCAGAATGGCGGCAGTGGCCCTAGCAAGTCGCCCGCTTAAGCGTAGCGACTTGCTTGGCAACAATCACTCGATTCTGGCTTGATGCACGTCTGTGCCTACGTACCTTTTCCGATTCAAGTACACGACGAACCGGAACGACGAACATAGAAAGATACTCTTTCGAGCAACGGCAACTACCTTTTCTGGCATAGACCATTGTTTCAGGGACTGCAGGATGGACACAATTTATGTACACGTGCCTTATCTCAGTGTGTATGCGCGGGGTTCGGTTTGGGAAGACCGGTTGGTTGGCTGGAGTGTCGGATACCTCGTTTGCACTATTTCCTTTTGTTTTTGTCTATCTTTTGCTTTCTACACCTTTTCGTTGCTCGTCTCGAGAGACGAAAGAAAAACTTTGGCGAGGGGACGAGCTGATGGCCCGCACACGAAAAAAAGTTGGACTATATCATGGCCGCTTTGAGTCGGCAATCTGGACAAACGGATCTTTGGCTTAGAGGGGAAATCTATCGATATCTTGCCCTTTTGGCAGGACGACTGTCGCCTGGCTCAGTATCAACCCCCGAGAGCTCTTTGCAGGATTACAGGGGAGGAGCGCGGAGTGAGGCGTCATGGCCGACCCTGGGTTTTTCTTTTTTTTCTTACACAAAATGAGACAGGTCGATGGGGAGATCCTGTGGGCGACGGGTGGCTGGAGATTTTGCAGGGTTCCCCATCTACATACAACTGGTGGGGTCATCGATCTTTATATATTGCTGCGAAATGAACTGGAGCGGTGTCCGGTCGCGTCGGTGCATAGCGAACGGAGTGAAGGGAACTGTCTTGGCTGGTCGCGCTCTCTGTAGCTCCGGGGGGGTTGGTTGGCAATGGGGGAGTCAGGGTTCATCATAGCTTATCTACTTCTTCTGGCCTGGTCTTGCTTGCCTTGATAGATGAGGCGTGCTCACCACTCTGGTAAGCATTGGTCTACATGTCATTTTGTTTTCACTTTGAGCTGCTGGTGTGTCTGTGTGGCGATGTTTGTTGTGATTGCCCCTTTTCCGGGCGTCTTGGCGCGGTCATGTCTATGAGAATGAGAGCTGACGCCAGATATCGCTAAGGGAGATATTGTCAAGCATACCACATCTGTTATTGAGCATACCTAGCCCCGGGTATGGCGCGAAATACGTGAGATATTGTTAGGCATACTGTATTAGTTATTGAGCATACCTGGCAAGGCTAAGTACGGCGCGAGATATAGTCCAGAAGGTGGCCCCCTGGCCAGACCCAAGGAATCAACCAACTTACAGAAACGTATAGGACTAAGTTATGTTAGTAATTAAGGACTCTCTGACGATGATGATGCTAGGTGTAAGGTACCCCCTCACACTGATCTAAATAATAACAACAACTGCCAACCCGATATACCTTCCCAGTTGCCCTTGATTGGGGTTAACAAGGGCGTGTCCCTTTCCTTAGCCCGGTTGGGTCGGTCAGGCAGCTAGCTACCTTCCGTCTTACACACGACTCATGAGACTCAACAATAGCCCTAATACCTCGTAGCTTAAACCTTTAAGGCTATCGCTCCTGTTGCTTTTTCCGGCTAGGGCGTGATTCGGCTACCTATGCTATATCGCGGCGTTTAGAATATACGAGTTGACAAAGATGCTAAGTAATCCTGGCCCACGGATACTACTAGATAGTAGTATTAAATTTAGTTACGGGGTAGGGAACATCTATGCTATAGCGTCTGCCAAACTTGACTCCAGCGGGTATGCTCAATAATAGATGTGGTATGCTTGACAATATCTCCCATCGCTAATCACCCCCCGTCTCACCAACCTGCCTCTGTATCAAGTCATCCACATCAAATCCTTCCTCTCTCATCCACTGCAAGTCAATTTGACCAGCCCCCGGGCCCGCACCTTGCCACTTCAACGCGAAGTCTGGGTCAATCTCAGGTATGGCGCCCATCAGTGTCTCATCGACGAACCGGGCCCAGGCCTTCTGGTCGCTGCCGCTCTGCGGGGGTGGACCCTCCTCCTTGGTCAGCGGTGGCGGGATGTAGCCCCTGCGTATCTCGTCGTTGAGGCTGTAGGTGGACGACGAGTCCGATTCCTCTCCTTCCGAGTCGGAGTCAGCGTCTGAGTTGGGACGGGCCCAGGCGAGACATCTCAGCCGATCATCCTCATCCTCCTCCCTGATTTCATTCTGCTGTTCGGGCGTGAGCGTGTTCCATCGCTTCTTCAGGGCGTGTTTCTTCTTCCAGTGCGTGGTGGTGTCCATGTGCGCCAGTGCCTCATCCTCGTCCGAGATGTAAATTTCCTCCTCGGTGGGGACGAGATTCTCGCCCGTGGTCCGATCGAACTGGCCCCAGAGAATCATGTGTCGGATGTGTTTCTTGAGTTGCAGCCCGCGCTGCACGGCCTCGATGGGGATGAGCTCGTCTGGGCGGAACAGGTGTAGTTTACCTTGCCCCCAGCCCTCGCGGTGGAAGATGCCTGTCTCGTCGAGGGGCACGCCGTGGACGGTCTTTCTGTTTGTTGCCGCGGCGGCCCAGTTCTGACGGGAGGGTTGGTAGTCGTACCGAACCTTGAGGTCGATGATCTCGTGGAGTGTAGTGAATCGCTTGCGGAGCAGGAGCTGCCAGAGAGGGTAGAGGCCCTTTTGTCCGAGAATGAGATGCATGAGGTCGTAGGAGCACGGGCCGTAGACTGGGTCGTTAAAGTGCAGACCGAGCTTGATGAAGAAGAGCTGGGCGTTGTAGAGGTCCGTGTCACGCCAGAGCGTGCGGTTGCGTAGCATGGCACGGCGGTGCTCGGTGGTTGAGACGTCGAGGAGCAGCCACATGCGTAAAAGCGTCTCGTACATTGTCTTGGGCGTCCGGTGGCCGCTGCGCGCCATAATGGCCACAATTTCTCTGCAGTATCGGTCACGACCCACGACGAGCTGGAGGTAACGAAGGCCGGGAACGGTGCGGACTGCATTCACCCTCTCGGGGGGAAGTGTGGCGGGTGCTCGGCCTTGATACTGGTCATCCCAGGTTCGACCCGAGGGGTCAGGGACGACTTGGTTCTTGTACAATTGGAAAGGGAAGATGCGCCCAGCCTCGGGGCAACGGTGGTTGATCCAGATGCGGATGCTAGAGAGCATGTAGCCGTTGATTGCCTGGCGGAACTGGCGACTAGCAATGTACAGATTGAGTATATCTCGAGGGCGAAGATGCTTGCCAATCTCAACCGCCAGCTCGACAGTTTGGCAGAGCGCACCGATGAGGTCGCCCCCCTTTATCTCGTTGACAGGCCGTGGCGCCTCCGCAATTTGGGGCGCGGAATAGGGGTCTCGGCCTTGGAAGTAATGATCGAGCACTGACTTGTCGAATGTGTACTTGTACTCGCAGCGACCATCGACGATGATCTTCTCAATATCGATTCCGTGTGCAGTCGGGTCTTGAGATAGTTGCGACGCAGGTTGGTGAGTCGTTATGAACGCCCCAGTATCAGTCTCCAGAGGAGGTTGTTCTCGCGTCTCGTCTTGTAAATCAGACTGGGCGATCGCGTCCTCGATAAACCCCTGAATCAAGTCGCTCTCTACTTCGACTGCTCCAGCATCGGCAGAGGGTGATCGATCTGTGTCTTGTTGGCATTGTAGCTGGACGATGGCGATCGCTTCGCGTTTTGTGAGAGCCTTCTTCCTCGCTACCGTGACACGCACGAGGTGTTGTAAGCACTGAATGGCCAACGAATGAGCGAGGTTGGTGTCAAGGTTTGCTTGGCTGACTTTGTCAACTATGGTACTGATGTCGTAGAAGGTGATCTCTTTGTCTTCGACGCGTGGCATGATGACGTGCACTGTTTGCGGAGTCAAGAACTAATTGTGTCATTTGTCTTGATGATATGTGGCGGAGTTTGTGTTTGAGTATTAGCAAGGTCTTTGTAGTCATTAACAATAGTCTGATTGAGGCCGCTCGTGACGCGGCTGGCGACCTGCTCACTACGACTTCAGCTCATGATCAGGAACAATACGTAAGATGAATCGGGGAAATGTTCGCTTCTATTGTTTCCATTGATCCTTGACAGTGGGATGAAATTAAAGGTGGTCCTTAGCTCGTCCGACCTTGATGTCACATGGTCATATCACTGACCAGTTTGCGTCGCAGGATAATAAACGAGTCAGCATCGATATTGAACGTTCTGTTATCCCACGGTCAGACATTTAAGTTACACTGGCTACCTGAGATAAAGCTCCTTAAGAGGGCCCCTGTGCCGTCTTCTCAAGATCGTGGTATCTTTCAAAGCCTCACGCAGCGCCAGCCTGTGCAGCTTCCCTCTTGCGCAAGCCCTTCTCCAGCTCCTCCACATGCGCATAAATCTTCTGAAACTGCCACGGCCAGGTGACCGCGAGCAAGAACGGACGAAGATCATGTCGGTTGTCGTCCGGAGAGTACGATTCGAGATGTATGCTGGGTGGCAAGATTGTGCTCTTGTGCCTGTTGATGGCCCACCACTTGAAGAAGCGGCACACTGTATCTGCCGTTTCTCTCGGAGAGCGCTCCTCCTTCCAGTCCGCAAGGAGTCTCAGGTATGTCGACCATGCGCCGCATTTGTGCACCTTTCTGAGTCTTCCAAAGGTACTCAACTCGCGCTGCTCACGATTAGCTGGCATGCTCTCACAAATTGCGTCTAGGGCTGTCAGGGACTCGTACATATGTTAGTCCCATCTCTTCCTCGTCGGTCTGTACTGCTTGGCCCTCCTTCAATGGGATGAGCTCCGCGGTTGGGGTTGCGGAGATAAACTCTTGCAGTATAGGGAGGTCCCAAGCCTTCATGACGTGCCTCTGGAAGGCCATAATATCTATCTTGCTGATGCTGCCGAGAGGATTTATGTCCGCGCTTGATGCATCGTACTATTGTTCACGTCAGTCAGTTTCGAGGAATCTGTGGGCAAAACTTGAATGTTTACCTTGGTGAAGTAACCTGAGACGTGTCAGTCATACAAATTATGATCTCACAGTGGCTTTTCAACTCACCTCGCAAGCCCTCTTCAACGTTGGACGACGCAAGCACGAGGAGGCTGGTGCCCGCGCGAGGCAGCGACCTTGCTTGTGTGGACAGCTGGGCCATGGAATACCTATTATTGTTAGGCGCCTGAAGCTTGAGCTCTCCAGTGTGAGACTTACGCCACAATCATCCTTGTGCGTGCCTGCAGATTCTGCTTTGCGAGGCCTTCAGCATTGCTGCCCCCCTCGACGACGTGCTTCGGTTTGAAGCCATTGAAGGCCTGGCCTATCAAATTCTCCTCGGCGGCCACAATGTCGTCAATTTCCACTTCCAAGTGATACGCACCCAATCTCTCAGCGAGTCTCTTTGCGCCTACACAGTCTATTAGCCTGGCTTGCCGCGGGTTGGGGGAATAGTCAACTCACGCGAACGCGTCTCCGAGCTCGAGTTGGACGTTCCCATGTAGGCAGTCGTGAGAAGTCTCCGCACAACATCCTCTGGGTTCGGAGGCGTGTAGTCCTCGATGCCAACAACTCTGCGCAGATCCTGCAGAGTGCTTTCTTCGCCGGCCTCTATCGACTGGCAAACCAACCTTGCCATGGAATAGACGAAGAGCAACACTGTGCTACTGTCGAGGCCGCCAGATAATGCCAAAAAGTAGCCAGCCGAGTTCGTCCTTACCAAGTATGACCAGAGGAAGACGGCTGTGGCAAGCGCTATTTCGTCCATGGGATCCAGAATGCGTATCGGGGTCTCCTTCGCAATGGTCTTTGTAGGCGACAGATAAATTTCCTCGGCCGAGACACACAGCGTCAGGGGGCATTCGACTTCTGGATAAAGTTCTTGCGCTGCAGCTTGTACGCCGCGCGCTGCGCTGGTGCGGTAGCTGCGTACGCGACCAATGTCGACCGTAGCCACGGTGCATTCGACCTGTTTGAGGCTGAACTGCGATCCTTGAGCGAGAACCTCGCCGTTAAGAATGATAAGGGAGCTCCCGTCACTTGTGACAAGTCAGCACGATGTAAGTGACTTTGGTGTCTCGGGCTGACTTACTGCATCTGCCGCGCCTCGCCATCAACGCCGGATGCGTTGACGTACATGTACAGGCCGCCATTCTTGCGGGAAGAATTGGCGATTAGGTCCAACCTCTGCTTCAGCTTGCGGAGTTCCGCGTGACTACAAAGGTCAGCCAATTTGACTCTTGAGGAGTAGAGTCGGTGCTGTAGCCTTACCTGGCACTGCTGTTGAGGATGACTTCGGCACCCGCCACTGGATGAGTTGCTTCGTTAGCAATGTCCACCATGTCAAACCGATACTCGCAGTTTACATACATCCTTGGAAGACGGAAGGATTCCGTGGGACAAACTATTCCAGGTCAGCACGTTGGATGGAAATGGTGAGTGGGACTGCTTACCATTTCCTCGCACGTCTCGACACCGATGCTGACGTCCCTTGCCCTCAAGATGAAATCCCCTATGGGAGCAGTGGTCTGTCCAGTGATGCTTTGTATGTGAAGCGGCAGGGTACATTGCTCGACCTGCCTCTCCTTCACCCAAGCACTGAAGTGGCGCGCTTCAAAGTGAAGGCCATCGTTGGCCATGGCTGTGCAGAGATAGCGTCAGCTTGCTTTGGTACATAAATAAAATGTCGACGGTAGCTCACCCTGCTTAGCTCTGATGCCGTATATGACACTGTAAGAGCAGAGCACCCTGCAGTTGTACTGGACATTGCGAGATCGAACAGGCATCCCCACGTCAACTGTCCACGTTAGCCATTGGACCAAAGCCTGAGCGCAATGACAGACTCAGCATATCCTTGCATATCGGATCAGATATGATTTCTCCGAGCACCTGAGGAGTGTCAGCATCCTGTACGGGTTATGAGGAAGGGTGATGACCGCGGTTCCGGTCCCACGTACCTCCCAGCTGTGCATCTCAGTGTCGCTCTCGAGATGGAAATCGAGACAGCCGTAGCCGCCATTGGGGTGTCAGCATTATATACATTCTCCGTCAGATCGTAACGCGTACCAAATCTCGAGCTCACTGCCACATCTCAGCGTTGCCCCGGCCTCCTTAGCCTCCTTGATAGACTGGAGGATCCGCCTCAGGTTGCCTTGGAAATCAAGCGGGCACGAGGGCGCCGAGGCAGCGCAGACCGTGAGGAAAGCGCCAGCCATACTGAAAGACGACAAGTTGCGGTGCAGATGTTATCGCGCCACGCAGTGGAAGTAGATGGTTGTTCTTGATGATGACTCTTGAGAGTCAGGACTGGACTCTGAGGCTGCTGATACTCGATAGACTGGCCCACTATCGCGGGGCACACATGTACTTTGTCCCGCGTATACAACTAGTGCAGAGCTTTCGTAGTCAGAGTAATACGTTGAAATTTGTCGAAATAATTTCCTCAGATGCAGTAGCTGAAACAATTCAGGGATTTCACGTTCGAGTCACTGATATGTTTGGGTTTGTGTAGATGACAGGCTTCGTGAGCTAAAGTTGGGTAGGCCAAGGTACCTCGTTGGGGGTTCCGCAGGGCCGCAGGGCCCGAAATCGGCGAGATGGCAACGCGCAAACCTCTTGACATCTGAACAACACCACCATGTCGTCACCTGCGTGACCATATCTATGCTCTTGGAAAACTGGTGCTCTTTGCTGTTCCTCCCGAAAGCTCTAGGCTAGCGCGCCTGTCACAGATTACGAGCATCCCACCATCCAAGAGCAAGGTTCAATCGCGTCCGTTCAGCTCACCTACCAAAATGGATACGAACAGTCCATCATGTTCTGTTAGCCAGGACAAAGTCTCGCGGCTACGAGCTACCTTTTTGGAGAAATCATGGATTGGCTTCGATCTGGACGATACATTGCACGAATTCCGCCGCGCATCCTCAGCAGCTGTGGGCAAGGTGCTCGCGGAGATCTTTGAGCGATACGGTACACCTGTGGCTGTGCTTAGAGAGGAATACACCAAGATTCTTCAGACTAGCACAGCAAATGCATTTTCTGATGGCAAGACGTCTTTTCACTACCGCGCAGAAAGATTTCGCCTCCTTTTGGATCATTTCTCCTTACCACATGATGCAGAGCTTATGAATCAGCTTCTGGAGTCCTATGAAGCCACTCTAGTCGCCAACCTCGAGCTCAAGTGCGGAGCGCAAGGCCTCCTGTCGACCATTAAGAGCATGGGCAAAAAGATCGTGGTGATTACCGAAGGCCCGCAGGATGCACAGGAGAGAACGGTTGACGCCCTCGGCATCAGGAGCTACATTGAGTTTCTCGCTACAACGAACCACTTCCGGGCGTCGAAGACCGACGGCCTGTTTCCGAGAGTCCTGGAGCACCTTGGCATGTCGTCTGGTGATGTGGCGTACATTGGTGACAGTGAGCAGCGAGACATGCAGCCTGCCACGGCCGAGAGCATCTTCTCCATCCATCTCGCAGAAGGGAAGAATGTGTCTTTGGATTCATGCCCGCCGAGGGTCAGCACATTGAAGGAGTTGCAACATATTCTTTCGGCTGAAGATGGTGGTACGAGCGACAGGAGCTATTCTTCCTTTGCGCTTTAAAGTCACAACACTGAAGCTCCTGCGCTTGTTGTGTACTTGTTCGTGAGGACGTCACTTTCGTGAGGACAGAAGGATGTCTTTCAATGTAGATCGCAAAAGAGAGCCAAGTCTCCGGTAGTGAGCACAGAGCACTCAGGCTCGTCCCCAAGTAGACCCTGCCCCACATCCCACCCTGCGCCGCCAACCCAAGCCAATCAATCGCGTCCGCCGCGCTGCAGCAGCTCCGACTCCAGACCTACGGAATAGACGTGTCCATAAGCTTTCCAAAGGGCCACAAGATGTCACGATAGCTTCGGCCGATTCAACTTCCCAAGTACCAAGCACAACAGGTGCGCCCGACGCGCAGAGAGCCTTGCCCATCATGCACAACTCCCTCAACCGCCTGCAGTCGGTCTTTGGCTTCTTCACCACCGTCGCATTCACACTGGGCTGCCTCATCGCCCTGACAGACCTCTGGGCCGAGCGCACGCCCAGCGGCGTCATCAAGGCCACAAACACACAAGTGTACGTTCCTTATAGCCTATTTTCTCCCTTGCAAGAGTCTGTCCGTTCAGTGCTGACCTCCATCTAGAGTCAAGGGCAGGCCCCATTACTACTCGTCCAAGAAGGAAGAATACGCCATCATCAAGTTCTCCCTCGACGCCGACCTCTCCTCCCTCTTCACATGGAACACCAAGCAACTCTTCGTCTACGTCACCGCCGAATGGCCTGCGCCCGAGGCCGGCATGAACGCCACCAATGAGGCCGTCATCTGGGACTCGATCATCACCAACCCCAGCGCCGACCACCTCGTCAACCTGGGACCCATTGGCAAGAAGAAGCTCAAGGCGAGCGCCGGCGGCAAGAGCATCGCGCCCGAAAGGTGAGTTTCCTTCTAGACGAAGAAAGCAAAGAAATAGAACGCACGCTCACACAGACACCAGGGGCCTGCTGAAGCTCAAGAACCAGAAGCCAAAGTACCAGATCTCCCACCCGAGCGGCAAGATTGCGAGCGCAGAGGATGTCACCCTCAAGGTGCACTACAACGTGCAGCCCTGGTTTGGGCTGTTGACATGGAACACACAGTCGGACATTGGCCGATGGAAGTCGTTCGCGGGGGGCGTCAGTGACCAATTCTCGTTGCCTGCCGTCAAGGTCAAGGATGACAAGAAGAAGCCGTAGAGTACGTGGGAATGGCGTTCACCTGGAAGGTCTGCGCATGGAGGGCGTTATGCAAATGGCAATTGTTTTTTTATTATTTTTCCTCGTCCTTTGCTTTTGTTTCTTCTCTCCCACTGCTTTTTTCATCCTCCCTGACTCCATACATGTTGTGTAATGCTGTCGCCTCTATCGTGACAGATACCATCATCAACCATCTAATCTACAGATTTTCCAGGTCATCACGACGTAAATGCGGTAACAGAGTCGACACCAGACACCGGCCCAAATCCAAACACCACCAAAAGCACAATAATTCCACGCAATGCACAATCAGGCAGCCTGTGGGCCGCCTCGTCCTCGGCCGCGACCTCCACGTCCGCTACGACCACGACCTCGGCCACGCTGGCCGTCCAGCCCGGCAGGCGGCGGTACGTTGCCGTAGACAGCGCCCGTGTCGCCGCTAGGCGGCCCTTGAGGGGCTCCCTGCTGGGCCTGATGACCGCCACGGGGCCCTCCTCGTCCGCGACCCCCACGGAAGCCATTCTGCTGCTGTTGCCCTCCGCGGCCACGATACGACTGATCACCGTTCGAATGGGGCTGCTGACCTTCGCCGTTGGGTCCGTTTCGATAGACCATCGTGCTGTGCATGAGCTGCGGCCCGCCGCGCTGAGAGTTCGGGCCACCACGACCACGGCCATTGCCGTTCAGAGCACCACGCCATCCACCCCGGAGTGCAGCTGGAGCGGGCGCGTCCGTGTATTGCGGGACGGTGACCGTGTTGCGGGAGCCAAAGGACGATGCCTGAGGCTGGCGCTGCTGGGACTTGCTCGAGGCGGAAATCACCTGCCTGTGCGTCGTGTTGAGCACGGAGGACGACGCAACTGTTTGTCCGCGGAACATGGGCGCTCTCTCGTTGAGGGTGGTTCCACTCATGAACGAGGTGTCCCAGACGACATCGAGCAGCAGAGCAGTCGCAGTACGGCTGATACCAACAACAGTGCCCCTCGTGGCAATGGGAACCTTGCCAGATCCAGCAACAAAGCAGACGCGGTCGCCCAGGTTGAACTTTTGGTTGCCGAGCACAAGCTCAGCATCAGCGGGCTTGAGCAGTGCAGTGCGAGGCACGCCACGCATCTTCTTGATATCAAAGTCGCTGGAAGCGGCAAAGACCTCCTCGCCAGCCTTGGCCAGCGCCATTACAACTGTCGAGTCAAGCTGCTCAGCCTCGAGGGGTACCTTTTCGAACTTGTTGGTCTCCTGCTGCTTGAGCCACGCGGCGATATCCTTGACACGGGCAGCTGCTTGCGCCGGATCGGGCCACAGATCAGTCTCCATAATCTCGCTCCTCTGGGCCTCCTTCTGAATGGCGGCAAAGAAATCAGGGAAGGTAACCATGTAGTCGGCAATCAGCTTGATGGCGACGGGGCTGAACTCCCACCCAGACTGCGACTTGCGAGAGTAGCCGAGCACCTTCATCTTGCGCGCCTCGAACTTGAGGTTGAGTCCCAGGTTCAACTTGAGTCCTGCCCTGTTGTGAACTTGGTATGACGAGGTGATCTTGCTCAGAACAAGCGGGTGCAGCCCGAGCTGCTTCGCAACCGCGAATGAAGGTGTGTACGGGTTTGACCTTTCTGCGGCGTGGATGATGGACCGAGCAAAGTCGGGTTCCTTCTGCTTCAGAATGGACACCATGATCTCCGCCTTTGGTCCAATATGGCCAGTCACCTCCAGTGGCCGACCATAGGCATAGTCTCCCAGGAAGAAGGCACGTGTGCCTGTGGGGAAATCCTCGGCGATAGGCAGAGCAGCTTTCTCGATGAAGCGCTCGTCCTCGTTGACAACTTCGTCGACGATTGTCTGGGCAGCGTACGTCTTTCTCTGGCTGGGGTTCTCCGCATACTCCTTGATGTGAGCGCCCTCTTCCGTCCTAATCAAGCCCTTGAGCATGTGCACATGCACAATGCACTCGACTTGACCAATGGTGATACCCAGACGCTTCCCATGCCAGCCTTCCAAAAAGTCGGATTCCTTAGCAACCTCGGCGGCGTCGCGGTTGTTGTTATCTCTTGTCATCACTTGCTGTCCATCTTCCGACAACTCATACGTAAAGAGCTCGTCAGAGACCTTCATGACCTTGGCCTCCTGCAAGAAAGGATAACCGACATAGCAGCGCTGGCCGAGCTTGGCCTTCCAAGTCTCCACCTTGGAGCGAGTATCCGTGTCTGTGAGGGTAACAATGACACTCGGGTTCCTGCTGTCCTGCTGGAACACGTTCACACCGTATTCTTCGACCAGCTGTGCGGTATGGGGCAGATGGTGCAGCGTGGGGAAGCCAGCAAGTGCCTCGACGTTAACCATGGCACCATCGGCTAGGCCCGACACGTACTGCAGCCCCTCCATGCTCGGCAGATCGAAGATGTTCTCAATGCAGCGGCAAGACTGTATGTCTGGGAAGATGCCAGGCAGCGAAGAAGGAAAGGTGTAGTTGACGTCTTCAGAGTACGTGAATTTGATGGGCACGCCAAATCCGTTGCGCGCAGCTTCCTCTTCCGGAAGGAGGGCGTTCTTCGGTGCCATCGCAGAAAGCAGACGCTTCTCATCAATGAAGGGGATTTTGACAACGGCTTCCCACTCCATCTTCTTGCCATTCATGTCAAGCTCAAAGTCGCGGGGGTAGAAGTCGATGATGGGCGAGTTGGGGTTCGTCATGAGGTCGTGGTACACTGTAGGCACAATTTTCTTGCTTCGGTCCGGCAAGACACCCATCAGCTGTTCGTAGGGCTTGAAGGGCTGGCCCAACTTGAAATTGAGGTCGGCGTTGAGGCCCTTGACGACATCTGACATTACGGTTAGTTTTCGAAACAAATCAGTGATAAAATGAACCCACCGGAAATCAAAGGCGCGTAGTGGTAACCGTAGAACCATGGCCAAGAGGCAATGCCTCTATAGTAGTAGTACAACACCCACTGGAGACCTTGTACGTAGTTCTCGCACAACGCCGTGAGCTCCTGGTCGTACTTTTCGGGCGCCCATTCCTCGAACTTTTGTAGGTAGTATTTGGTCCTCCACCCCTGATACTTCTGCTGATACAATTCGTCGTACTGCTTCTGCGAGTCTTCCGAAGTCACGTCGACAACAATTGCGTTGTCGTACCTCTTCATCACGCGGTATGCAGCCAGGTTGCCTTCTTCGTCCTCATCCTCTTCATTGTCGTCGTCCGCGTCTTCTGCCACGGGTTTGGGGGGGAAGGAGACAATCAGGTGTCGTTGGCCATCATCGTCCTCCTTTGTGGCCCATTCGAGGTGCATAGAGTCCGCCAGATCCTGCACAAATTTGCGGTCCTCGGCCTTGAGACCTGCGCCCAGATCAAGCGGATTATTGGATCGCTTTGAAACATAGGGCCGAATTTGTTGTTTCCAAAGGTCACGCTGAGCCGAGGTAATGACCATTTTCCCGCCCTTCGGTGTCTTGTGAGTGGTGTTGTTGTTCTTTGACGCCAGCTTCTTCTCCATCTGCTTGGACGCAAACCACTTCTCGTCGGAAACCTCGGACTCAAACTGCTGCAATTCGTATGTGCTCAGCTCGTCCAACAAGACCTTCAGGCGCGGGATGTTGATAACACCATTCTCGTTCAAGTACCCATCGCATTTTGGAAGGATCTTCTTGTACGTTCCAAACATGTTGGCCAACGCACCCTCGTTGATGTGCAGCCCAGGCAGATTGGGCAAGAAATCGTTGCCGACGAAAAAGGCCATCAGGATGAAGTCGTCAATAACCTTTTCCAGGTCGTACGGGAACGTGAGCTTCCCCTCGTCTTCCAATCCTTGGAATTCCATCTCCAAGTACTCCCGCACCATGCAAAGGTGTAGCAAGTAGAAATTTTGATGCTCCAACTCTTTGGATTTCGTCTTCGACGCGCGACCAAACGTAACCTCTTCACGCAACAAGCAGAAATGGGGGTCGTGGCTGAGAAGACCCAGCATGATCAAGTCGGCATCCAGACCGTAGAGGCAGTGTCGCACGTTGGGGTTGTACCCGTCCTGCGATTTCGCATTGCGAATGTACTCCATGATCTTGTGCTCGCCCTCGCCCGGAACCTCGTGACCGGACAAGACGATTTCGCATCCTTGCCAGTCGGAATCCTCGGATACTTTCTTGTTCACAAAGTAGCGCAGCTGTTGCGACAACTTTGCCATGAAAGCAGTACCTGCACCAATTAGCTTGGCTCCAACCCTCCGAGAAAACTCAACATACCAGGGGTAATGCAGTTGCTGTCAAATGGCTCCTCCTTTGGCATCTCGACGCCTTCCTTCAAAGCCTTTTCACGGGCTTGTTCGGCATCGAGCGCTGTACGGAAACGCCTCGCACGCTGCTGGTTCATCTTGGCTCGGGGCGCGACGCCATCGATTGCCATAAAGAAAAGCTGCTTCGGCTTGATCTTTCCGAACAAATGTTCAATGTAGTTGAATATCCTTATGAACATCTCTTCTTCGCTTAAGCGAAACGTTGTGTCTTCGGCCGAGTCCTTGTGGGTACAGTTGTGAATGATTCCGTTCATATCGAGCTATTGTTACAGTCAGCGCAGTCGGAAGCGATCGGGCTGGCGCTCGTACGTAAAGACAGTCGAACTCGGGAATGCGGTTCTCCGCGATCAGCTGTGAGATCGAGGGATACCGCTCGGAGAGCCATCTGAAGAACTTGGGGACACTGAGACAGTTAGCACAGATCCAGGAGTGACAGTATTTGCTGTGACACACCCCATGTTGTCTGTGGAAGAAGCGCTCCTGGCGCAGAGATAGGATGGTAGATTCGGTCTTGGTGTTGCTCTCGCAGGCTTTTGCGCAACTTGCCTCGTGTCGATCGAAGCGATACGAGCAGAGGGTAGAAATGGCAAAGCTCAAAAGAAAACTCGCACCAGAGTGCAGAGCAAGTGTTGAGAAAGAAGAGCGCTCGACAAGCTGTTGGGGGGGGCAAAAATGTGTACGGAGTAGCGACGTGAGTGATGACTCGAGGAGCCCGCGCCTGGAGCTGCCGCCCGATCGGGCTGAGGCGATCAAACCGCAGCTGCAAGCGGGTGATGGACTGTGGCTGATACGATGGGGCTGCAGGAGCCCGTAGCGTGTGACATGTGGCTGTGCATCTCGTGTGGCTTGGGCGGTTGGTCCTTGCTGGCGGGATGCAGCTCATTTACGCGCGACGCGTCAAAAGCTCATCTTCACCTTGAGTTCACGAACTCCACTGACAAGGCGCCTCAAATTGACCAGAGCCAACTTCCGCTGGTCAAAGCCATTGCACATTCGACCCTTTCTCATCAATTGCCAGAGCAAGTCTTCGCAGTTGTCTGCCACACACCATGGCACCGGCTGAAGTGATGGATCCTGATGCCGATAGTACGCATCCACACATTCAACTGTAACTCAAATTTGCTTACCGGTTTCTAGTCGACATGCTCGCGGCAGACGATATTGACGAGCGCGAACGTCTCATCAATGAGGGTGTGTTCTACAGCAGGGGCGGCACGCGCGCATGGCTCACATCTCGCAGAATACAAGACATGGAAGAAGAACTCGCCGTTCTTATACGATATGATTCTCGGGTAACTGACTTTCTCTGGAAGGCAAGGACAATTACTAATATCTCCCGGTAGAAAAGCTCTCACATGGCCTACATTGACGTGTCAATGGTTCCCGGACGTAAAAGATGTTCCAGCGGATAACTTTCGCACACATCGCCTCCTCCTGGGCACGCATACATCCGATGACAGTCCCAACTATCTTCAAATCGCTGATGTTCAAATTCCGAAAGCTGCGACACCAAACCCCGATGACTACGATGAGGAGCGTGGGGAGATTGGCGGCTATGGAAAGTCAGGAGACGTGGCGGCTCTCAAGTGCGACATTGTCCACAAGATTGAGCACCCTGGGGAAGTAAACAAGGCGCGCTATCAGCCTCAGAACCCTGATATCATCGCTACGTTCTGTGTGGACGGGAGAATCCTGATTTTCGACCGCACGAAGCACCCTCTGCAGCCCGCCAACCCTGGCCAGATCAACTCCCAGCTTGAGCTCGTCGGACACAAGTCGGAGGGTTTTGGCCTGAACTGGAGCCCGCATGAAGAGGGCTGTCTGGCCTCTGGAAGTGAGGACGCCACGATGCGCTTGTGGTAGGTGCTGGCCCTGATTGCAAAACTATTCTTCACTCACCGACCTTATCCAGGGATCTCAAAAAGCTCGAGGCTGACACAAGGGTTCTGAAACCCTCCCGAACGTACACTCATCACAGCCAGATTGTGAATGATGTCCAATACCATAATGTCTCAAAGTACCTCATCGGCTCGGTCTCCGATGATCAGACTCTCCAGATCGTCGACTTGCGTTCGAAAGAAACGGACAAGGCAGCAGTTGTTGCCCGAAAAGGTCACCTTGAAGCAATCAATGCTCTTTCATTCAATCCTACCTCCGAAGTTTTGGTGGCAACTGCTTCAGCCGACAAGACTATTGGCATTTGGGATCTGCGGAACACTAAGGAGAAGGTTCACACACTCGAGGGCCACAATGATGCTGTGACGTCCCTTTCATGGCATCCCACGGAGGCGGGCATCCTGGGAAGTGGCAGTTATGACCGACGCATCATCTTCTGGGACCTCGCACGTATTGGCGAGGAGCAGCTCCCGGACGACCAGGACGATGGGCAGCCTGAGCTGTAAGTATTGCGCTCCCTTGCTACAGCTTTCTTTACTGACTGGCCCAGACTCTTCATGCATGGTGGCCACACTGCCCACCTTGCCGACTTTAGCTGGAATCCGAACGAGCCCTGGCTGGTGGCCAGTGCTGCCGAGGATAACTTGCTGCAGATCTGGAAGGTAGCGGAGTCGATTGTGGGCAAAGACGACGGCAATCTGCCTGTCGAAGAGCTCAACCAATAGGTCAGGTGGAAGTTCGCGTTGGCTTTTGATGCCCAGCGCCGGCGGTCTGCGTAGGGTTATGAGGCTAGGCAGCTTGTGCGACTATCAAAGCAGAAATTGAGAAGATGGAGGATGATTAGCAATAGTTCGTTGACCTCCGAAAATTTAGCTGATCAAAACTACATACATGAGTCTGGTACAGCCTTTTGTGCCAGCCAGCTAGCCGTCACCTTATGCTCACCCTGCAACATCTTCGAGAAAAGCTTCTGCTGCGCGCCATATGCCCCTGTAGTTCTATAATACGCTGAATAAATCAAGATAGAGTGTTCATTATTGACTATTGCTAGTGAGAAGATATTAACGTACCTTAATAACGACCGAATAGTGTTAGGACCCGTGTGTCTGCTAAGAGACTATGCGACCGGGGGTAAGTCTCTTTTATATAAATATTCAAGGGATGAATTATAGTTATATATGTACACTGCACTTTATGAAATTGCGATTCCCCCTAATTTTACACTAATTGACTTGGCCAAATCAAATTCACTATTCTAGCATGAGAGTGGGCATACATATGCCTGCGAGTTGACGTATTTCCTGAACTCCGACGGTGTTCACGAGCAAGTGATGACTGGAGTGTCTGGAAACGTCAACAAGGCCACTCCAGCCCAACGTCGTCACATTACCGCAGGTTATGTTGTTTGCACACAAACCTAACCATTCCCCACCAACATATCACCACCGCCCACACATTGTCCCATTTAAGATGAACAACACCTTTGTTGCAAAATCCGTCGGAGACCGACAGGACTGACCGAGCTTCTTATCGAGGAAAGCGCGACCGACCCTTAAGACAACCCAAGTGGAACTCGACCCACCTGCAAGTTGGCCGCGACTCGGACCCTTCATCGAATCCCAAACGCACTGACGAGCGCCCCGCCTGGATTTTGCATGGGCTGTTCGTGATCCAGCGCGGGCAGACATTTTCTTTCGACCCTACAAAGTCCCTGATCGCTGTGTGTATGCCGACGAACGCCTCCAGCGCTTTACCAGGGAAGACGCCCCCGAAGGCTTCATGGAAGTACGATCATTCCTCCGCCTCGCTACGAGATCCAGGTCCAGACCGTACTGAACGCTGGCAGTCCGCTCGAACGCTATCATTCAGACGCCAGCAGTTCCTTCCCCGACTATGGGTTAGTCTCCGAAGACGTCGGTTCATTCTAGTGTGCTGATCGCATAACGCAGCCCGAGACACGGCAACATGGGTAAAGGGAATCTCGTACGTTCACACCAGTGATCCCTGCCACTGGCATATCAAGCTGACTGCTGGCAGAGCGCCGTTAAGGGCCTAGGGAGCAGGGCAGTCGACAACATAAGTGTTCAAGTCCGGGGTGCCGTCAACCTCGTCACACGACAATCGAAGGAGCAAGTCCGGCCTGCAAAACGCCAGAAGCAATGCCCAGAATACTCTCAACACTTCCCGCAGAACAAACCTCGCGATTTGCCCAAACGCGGCCGGGACGATGATAACTCTGCTGAAGTCTGGGAATTCACGATAGAGGAGCCGAGAAACGACAGCTACGGCAAGAAAAATCATGCCAGGGCCTCCTCCGGCCCCCGCCCCAAGAAGCCTAGGCTGTTACACGTCACCGGGCCTGCGCACGGAAAAGCCACGAAGCCCGAGGTCATACACAGCGACGACGAACCAATTTCCATTGCAGATTCTCAAGACCATGTGATCGTCGATGATCTGGCCGACAACGACGGGCCGCCACCAGCGAATATCCAGTCGGACGTCTTACGCGGACGGCCTAGAAAAAGCGAGCGAGTGCCGCCGATGCAGGGACCGTTTGTCAAGAAACCGAAGCGCACTTCCCAAGGCGCAGCCAATGCAGATGTCTCAGAAGATGAGCTTGCGCGGACTCCCAGCAAGGGCAAGGCAAGAGCTACAAACTTTTCGGCGTTGCAACAGCGGAAACGGCAGCGCTCACCATCCAAAGCAGACATCCAGCCAACCAAATTCACCAGTACTGAAGCTTCGCCTGATCCTCTGGAAGTGTCCGCCTGTTGGTTGGAGGCCGCGGCCTGTGGGAGGAATTCGTTTCGTGCTGGCGGCCAGAAGTCAGCGCTTGTTGAAGATGATCATCACAATTGGAAGCTCAAGATCCTCGGCGAGGATGGCAAGTGGAAACTTTCGACTATCGAGTGGTTATCTGTTTCCGCAGATTCAATTGTGCACATATACCATAACGCAACGCACAGTAAGCACGTACGCATCTCACGCATGTCCCGATTGGAAATGAACCGCACGCTTCATTTGCAGTTTACGAGCAAGGAAATCGCGGTCAAGTTCCTCAAGTCTGTTGACAGTGAGCTATTGTGCTCTCAGGGAAGGTTTGTGCGACATGATACCGCTCTACTGACCTTTACTGACTTTGAACAAAGTGCGCAATTGCAAGCAACGTTCGAACGTGCGATGTCGGAAGCACTGAATTATCAAGAGAAGAACGGCACCAAGGACGACTCCTCGACTGAAGAGTCCTTGCCATTAGGGGCCGCCAAAGTCTCCCCACAACCTCAAGGAAAGCCTGCCAAACTCAAGGATAAGATGACTGGACCGCCAGAAACAGCAAATGCTCGGGCTACAAAAACTACGAGTGCTGTTTCGCCGACTCAACCCACGACACTTGTTACCAAAGGCCCTTCAACGCGACGCACTCAAAGGCTAGCACCTGATGAACAAAAGCCGCTCAACAATCTCGAAAATTTCGAAACCTGGACGTCGCTGCATCCTGACTGGAGAAGCAGGTGGCCCCAACCTTTGATATACCCAGCGACAGGCAAGAATCGGGCCACGGTTGATCAGGACGACATCCTGCGACTAGACGAGGGCGAGTTCTTGAACGATAATTTGATCAGTTTCTATCTGCGGCACCTGCAACTGCAATTGGAGAAAGAGCGCCCCGAGCTTTTGAACAAAGTGCACATCCTCAGCAGCTTCTTCCATGAGAAGTTGAAAAAGGACAGATATGCGGGAGTACAGTCATGGACTGCCAAGATTGACATTTTCTCGTACGACTATGTCATCGTCCCCGTCAACGAGAATATGCATTGGTACATGGCCATCATCTGCAACCCGGGCAATGCACTGCGTGAGAGCACAACGGCAGCCAAGGAGTCGTCTACTTCCGCAGGCGATCAAACCGAACGGGGCCAAATCACTGAGCCGGAGCCGAAACATGACAAGTCCAAAGAACCCAAGATTGTTACCATGGACTCACTTGCCATTGCCCGGCCCTCAACCTGCAAGATTCTTAGAGAATATCTCGTGCAAGAAGCGCAGGCCAGGAAGAGTGTAGCTTTCACTACACCAATTCACGGCATGACAGCCAAGAAGCTCCCAGAGCAACAGAACTACTGCGACTGTGGTGTGTATATCCTGTCGTATGTCGAGCAGTTTCTGAAAGACCCTGACGAGGCATGCCGACGTCTCCTGAATCGGGAAGGCCTGGAATGGGAGGTCGAAGCTAGTGAGATACGGTCCAACATGAGAGACATGCTGTTCAGTCTCCAGGCAGAACAGCAACAGAGACTGCAAAATGAGAAGGAAGAGAAGCTAAAGCGCAAGAAGCAACTGAAAACGTTGGCTAAGTCGTCTGAGGCTACGGGGCCCCCAGATAGTAACGAGCGGCAATCGTCGTTACCATCCGAGGAGTCAGGTACTCAGCCAACATCAGCGCGCGACAGCACGGCTTCTGCGCCCGTGAGTTGTGGTTCGCCATCACGTCAAGCCCCGAGGCGTAGCGCAACCACCCAAGCCAGTCGCGACACCACTTCTACCACTCCTGCCACCATCTCCCGCCCGAAGCGCTTGCCGTTAGTGAAAACTGATGGCCCGGCAGCGGGACTGATGAACAGTATCCAGGACGAGTGCGCCAGTGTGGATCAGCCAGACGAGAAGTGCTTTTCCGCGGAAGAAGGTTCGCCAACAAGGTCTCCAATGTACGGTGACACACGCACCGTGCCCGCCTTTGTCCAGCTACTGCCCGAATCAGACGGCGAAGAAGTAGGCACAAGCTCCAAAGGCGTAAGCAACAAGCGAACCTTGGTTGGACGAGACCGTGGCGATTCGAGTCCCACAAACCAAGCAACGTCGCGGCAGAAACAAGCTGCAGGGCGCATTGTACACAGCATCGACGATGATTGATTTATATCAGATGAGGCGTTGAGAGCATAGATGCCAGGATAATACCTTTTCCACACAGGCGCTCAAGAAGGGGATGTTTTTGCTTTGCATAGAGGAATGTTCTGGCGTTGGAGAGTTGGTTCAGCACATATGTCTAACATTTTCCTTGTTACCTCTTTGATTTTGTACATTCGATGAGCAAGCAGTCGAAGCATAGCAAGCATGTCAACAGGCGCGAAACACGATTTGATAGGAGGCATTCGGCGCTCTGAACGGAAAGGAGGAAATTTCTAGTTGTTTTTACAGCCGAACTGTAAGCGGAGCGTGATCTACTCGTCGCCCGAATTCTCTGAACTCCCGTCGACGCCATTTGTGGTGATGCCCTTCATGCGAGGTACCTCGAAAATCAAGCAACCGTTCCTCGCCTTGTTCCATGTCCTCCATCGCCCGAGACGGTGCTCCTGGGCGACTGCGGCCACTACACACACACCATCCTTGCCCCTATCCCCTCGCTCGAAGAGGGTGATATCGTTGATCACGCCCTGAATAGGCCCCGTTTGCTGCGCGTCTCCATTTGACACAAGCGACCCGTTGTTGGATCCATCGTTGGAGAGCACGCCCAGTGACTCGAAACTCCTCTTGTCATCACTCAACCGCCATGCGCGAATGTAACCATCCCAACTTCCACTGAAAAACACATCTGAGTAGGGGATCGTCTTCAACGCCGTGACCCATCGGGCTGAAGGAGGCGGCACCTCCTCCTCCTTGGGGTTCTTGGAGGCGGATACCTCAGATGGCAACATGGCTGGGTCGTGGCCATGGGCCAGGGGCTCGATGTACACGGGCTTCTTCTTTTGCACACTCCATAGACACAGAGCGCCGTTGTCACTGCCGGTGACGAAGAGGTCGTCGTCGATCATGGCGATGCGGTCCATGCTGCCCTCATTGGAGAGGGAACGCGGGTCAATGCCCGGTGGCACGGACTTTTTGTCCGTAGCGCCTCCGCGAAAGACGAGCTGAGTCTCCTCCATGACCTTCCACAAGCGTGCTGTTCGGTCGCGCGCGCCGACGCTGACGCAGCGTTCTTGTGCAAGCGCATCAATGTCCACCACAACGTCCTGGTGGCCGAACAAGGTCTCGATGTAGGCCATTTCGTCCAGACTCCAGACCTTGACTGTGCGGTCGCGCGCGCAACTGTAGAGTTGATTTGTCCCGCGGCGGAACACCAGACCGGTAATGGCGTCGCGGTGGTGCGTCAAGACCTTGAGAGGCTTGAGTGTGGGGGCGTCGTAGATGATCAGCTTTCTGTCTTGGCCACCTGTGACGACGAATTTGCCGTCAGACGATGCTGCGACTGCGAGAATTTGACCCGTGTGCCTCATATATCCTCTTTCTCGCGATTTCTTGAAGTCACCCTTGATCCATTGCTCGAGGACGGGCTTTCTCCTCGGGGGAGCCTGTGGTTTCTTTGGTTTCCGTTTCGTGGACTGGGGGAATTGGTGTTGGGGCAGGTCCTGCATTCTCCATTTGTGCAGATACAAGTCCTTTGTGACAGTGTAGACGAATGGCGCTGACGACGCAACGGCTGTGACCGACTTGGACTGGCATCGGGAGAATATCCTGATTCCGCTGCCAATGTCCAACTCTGCCGCCAATTGACGGTATATACGACCTTTCCCCTCTGCAACGTCTTCTTTCAATCGCTCGGCAATGAGGTCTCTGTCAATATCGGCGGCGTCGAAACCTGCCTCGTCCACCGTCTCTTTCACATTCTCGAGGTAGCGTTCTGCTAGCCGCAATCTGCGCTCTGCAGCTGTCTCCTCCTCTTCATCAGACTCGCTCCGGTCATCGACATCGTCACCCTTGTCGGAAACACCCTCAAAGCTCTCGTCGTCATCGGAATCGCTGTCCGAGGCGGATTCGTCTCTATCGCCTCGCTTTGCGGTGGTGGTGGGGCCCTTTGACTTGCCGTTGGGCTTGGAAGTACTTATCGGCGTCGCACGTTTCTTGGGATGCTCAGGCGCAGACGGTCTTTTGCGCTTCTTTTGCGCGCCTGGGGCTGTGAAAAAGGACGACATTGTGTGGTTGGCGAAGAGTGTGCTGTGTCCTCACAAGCACGAGACCTCGAGACAGATATCTCTCCAGTCGTCCAGAAAAAAAAGTTCAGAAACTTTGGGCGGGTCTAGCTTGCGCCCCACATGTTGGTAGCGGCGGCGCTGACACTCACTCTGCAGCGGAAGGCCCGGACTTCGGGATGTGAATATTCCGATCCCAGCCTACCCTGCACAGACTGCACGAAGGCCGACGACAATCATCGGAACATCAACCAGTGGAGATATATTCAATGCTAGATAACTGACAGTCATATTCTGTATTCTTGTCACGGCAGACTGTACGGCTTTCAAAGTAGTAGGCGTTTGTGTGTAGCGTTCTAACGCACTAAGTTAGATACCCAATGCTACTAGCACAGTATCCGCAGCACCGAATGTCTTGTTTCAAAAGACCGTGGATCTTATCAATTACGTCCGTACAATCAGACAAGCTCTCCATCCTAGCGAGATGGAATGTCGCTTTCGAGAACAGATAGCAAACAGGGGTTATCAATCGAAAGTATTCCAGGTGATAAATATGATTGGTGGCTAATGGACACATGCCTCACTAGAACTAGCTCAATATCTTTTCAGTCATTTAGTCGTAATCATTATCCACGCAAACAAGGATTTCCAACAGACAAACAACGACAATAATACCACGACGCGATCGCGATCGCCATCTCAGAGGCTTTGAGTTCTCTCGATCAAGGCTAGCCGTGGAAACGGGTAGGACAAGCCCTCGATAGTGACATCAAAAGTCAGACGACATGAGTACTCAAAAGCTGTTTTCCTTGTCGCTCGCAATCTGAGGTTCGATCAACGACTTCTCCCACTCGTCCATGATGTGGTTGGCGGTGCGTTTGATATTGCTGGGCGTGAACTTATTGACCATATTGGGAAGGATTTCGCCAAGTTTCGGCGACAGGAGAGGGGCGTCCCCGGGTGTTGATTTTGGCTTGCTGCTCGAGTGTCAGTATGTCTTGTAGTCAGTCTGCGGACGGTTTCTCTCACGATGGAGTCTCGACCTCCTCGGATGCTTCAGGGATCGACTCGATGTCTTCGGCACCACCGCTGTTGATGGTCGAGCCACTCCAGCGGGTGGACTTGGCCGACGCAGGTGAGTCCCAATTGGACCAACTGCTATCGTCCACCGAGTCGAAGCTCAGCGGTGTCCAGGAGAACCGCTTGCTCTTGCCAGCCTTGGGCTTGTCTTGGCAAGTTCCGTCATTGGCCTTTTGGGTTGACGGTGTGCTCGCAGCGGCTGCGGCTGGAATATCGAAAGTGCTGCTCACCTTTGGTCGTGCAGGTTGGCTAGGACGTATCGTATCAAGGTCTCCCGACGACCGGCTCGTGGTCATGCTCGGACGCTGCTGGCCCGCTGTGTTGGCGGGAGAGCCGCTGATGGGCTCCTCACCGACAGTGATCTGACGAATGTCTTCGACAAAGGCTTTGAGTCCCATCCTAAAGTCCTCCACAAGCCCAGGAACATTGGATTGCTGACGATGGCTTTGCGGCTGCCAAGACGCGCGCTTCGCCAGGTTGGGGTTGGTCAATTGAGCTGCACGACGCTCAATGGGAGGTAAAGGTAGGCTGACGGGCTCATAGTTGCGATCTTCGAGTATCGCGAAACCGGAGTCAGACTTGGGGGGTGACAGCAGAGAGAGCGTGCGAGCATGTCCGCCGCGAAGCACTCTGCGGCCCTTTTGAGTCGGAGTGTTGGGTTGCTGCAGAAGCAGCCTCCTGCGATCTAGGTCGATACTCTGCCTGGCTGAACCAGTATCGACTTCCAAAGGAGCTGTAGTCGTAGACCGGGGAGTTTCCGTTTGACGCGACTCATGCCGGCGGCTGTAAACCTCCTTCGAAGACCATTGCTTCTTGAGAGTTGAGAGCTCAGACTCGGCGCGAAGTAGTTCCTCTCGCAGCTCTAGCACTCTCCTCTCCTGAGCCGCGATCGCGATGATGAATTCATTGGCGTTCACAGGACTCGTAACGGTGGAGGAATCAACAGGTGTCGGAGGAATTGACGCACTCCCCGGGACGTATGATGTTGGCGTTGGTCTTGAAGGGTCGCTTGATGGAGCCGCGATCGGTAGCGTCAAAGAGAGGCGATTCGCATTCCTTGAGGCTGGGGAGGTGGCTCTTGAATGGCGGGTTGGGGACGCATCGCCAGCCACCGGGGCTGGCGGAGGAGGCATGGCGGCTGCATCGTTACTATCGCAGTCGCTGTCACTGGTGGGCTGGTTCGACGGTCGGCTTGTTATCTCGAGAGCTGGAGCGAGTGTCGTCGTTGTGGCCGAGGTGCTCGCAAGAGGAGCGACAGGGGCGACTGTCCGGTCGGCTGCGGAGGAGCGACGTCGAATCTCGTGTTGGGAGGCCATTTCCAGACGCCTCTGTAGTAGTTTCTGTAAAGATTGGAAGCCGTGCTGTCGCCGGCGTTTTCTCAAAGGAGTGGCGGGTGATAGAAGGTGAGGAGCCCTGTCGGCTCTGCGGCGCCGCTGACGGGCAGTGGCGGCAGCAGCTCTAGCAAGAAGCGCTTTGTTGTCGTGGTTCAAGTGGCGATATTCATTGAAGAGAGAGGATGAAATTCGGTCGACGGCGCAGATGTTGAAAAGAAAAGTGCTCATAGGCAAGACCGGCAAGCGCTGCTCATCATTGGCAGCCCTAAATAAAGCAGGGACGAATTGGCACGGGCTGTCGAGGAAGGGGTAGCGATCTCAATTGGCGTCGAGATCGAGCCGTATGGGTGTGGTGGTCTCGAGTGCCTGGCCTGGCCTTGCTCTGCCGACGGCGCAGATTCAGGGGATTCACGGTGCTATTGGACAGTGGAGGCTGTCTGGGGTGTGGTGTCTGGGGGGTCAAATGAAAGGCTGGACGCTTAATTGGAGCTCTGACCAGGCAATAATGACAGAGTCCTGGTGATATTGCAACTGGCGAGCGTAGTTGAGGATGATGGGAGCTGATTGATTGCTTGTGCGTAGACAATGGGAAGTTTACGTGTTTCCAGAACTCAGACGTACGATCTGGGGATGTCTCGGGAACAAATGGGGCTGTTGTTGCTGGCAGTACAAGTACTGACTCGCTCGTCGCATGGTCAGACTCAGCCTGCGTGGCCGTCGAGGCTGGGTTGTTTATCATCATCTTAATGCGAGCATGAAACGCATTTACTGAGGCTATCTGTGGAGCTGGCGCCGTTGCCATGTCCGTTGTCAGGGGCATCACGGAAGCAAGCTCAGTGAAGCAGTAGGTAGTGGTCGTAATTAGCTCCAGGAACACTGCGGGGCCCGCGGTCTCGACTGACTGGAGACAGTGCCACCAGAGCTTGAGACCGCCCTGAAATAAGTAGTGGTACGGGACGGCGCGAGAATGATGTGTCCTGGGTGTGCACCACGTAACGAACCACGCGAGGCCGTTTGGACCTCAGTTCAGGAAAAAGATACAAGTATATACTACGTATTCAAATAATTATCTACTACTAATTTAAAAGGTACCGGCTAGTCTAGTATTACCCGTTAACTACTACGGAGTAGTGTTGACATGTTGTCTCGACTAGGCGGAACGGTGAGGAAGTGAGTACAAGTAGTGCTGTGAGAAAGTGGTCCCTTGTCGAGGGAACGAGCTGCTTATTATGTACTGCGCGAGCCTCCCGCAAGCTGCTCTCTGTGTACATCTCATTCATCTCCTTGAATCTTGACACAACACTCGAATGCGCAAGGGCAGGACGTCTTGCTGTTCAGCTGCAGGTCGGCTGGCGTCTAGTCCCCATGAAGGCTCGGCAGAGGTGGCAGAGCAAGCGCCGTCGAATCCCCCAAGATGACTACTACCACAATGATGTAGTTGCTAAAACATTGGCTCAGCGTCATGTCTCGGCGGGGGCGTATTGTTCTAACTTCTGGCGAGGTCACACCAATAAGGTAGGTGTCGGGTTGATGAACACTCATCCGTACGTGCCTTCCCTCAATAGCCCCTCATGTCATGTGACAGCACGTTAATGTCGCGTGCATTTGTCGAGCGCAATCTGCTCCACGACGCGTCAATCATCGTCTACAGGTCTCCGCACGCGAACAACATGAACTTTAGCAGCGGCATTAAACTGTGACGGCACTTCATATCCTTGTCCGAAGATTTGAAATCACGCTCTGAGCATCGGCTGGCAATGCCCTGACAGCACGTGCAAACATGCCGTTGGCCTTTGCCGCGGTTTGCGAACTGCTCGACGAATGCCACAGTCTCTGCATCTCAGAGCGGCCGTTGAAGCAGACCGTGGAGTCATGGTTCGCCCACAATCGCTCACGTGTTGATGCACACGATACTGATATCGTCGCTCTCCTGTCCACACTGTTGCCGGAAAAACGACCGGATCGAGTCTACTTCATCCAAGCTGGGTCGTTGGAGAAGATTATCGGGCGGGGCTTGGCCCTGGGCGCTTCTCGAATCCGAGACTTGACGAGGTATCGGCAAAGCGGAAGCAACACCGATTTGGCTGGTTGTGTAGAGAGTATTCTGAAGTCGACGGCAAGTATATCTCATTTGGGCCAAAAGTCCTCGACTGACGAACACCAGCCCTCACAACTGAGCCCCAATCATCGTGTTACCGTGGAAGAAATTGATGCTCTCCTCAACGGTCTTGCTGCCAGGATTAAGTTTAGTTCTCCGGCTATTCGTGCCACACTGGGGCCGCTAAACAACCGAGATCGAAGCGATCTGCAGAATGTGTATCGTCGTCTGTCGGCCACTGAAGCCAAATGGCTCACGCGCATGGTCCTGAAAGACTTTGCGCCTCTCAGTCTGGACGAGAATCTGATTTTCCGACTTGTGGACCCATGTCTCCCATCTGTTTTAAAGGTCCGGCAGGATTTTGCATGTGCTACCCAAACGGTCCAGTCGATTCGGACAAGCCTGTTGCCGAACTCGTCTGGAAAAGATGTCATCTGGAGGCAGCTGCGTGTGAAGCTGAAGCCACAGCTTGGTGTCAAGGTGGGCCGACAACATTGGTCCCAAGCGAGAAGTATCAAACATTGTCTATCACAGGGCTCCGGTCGGATGAGTGTGGAAGACAAGATTGACGGGGAGTATTGCCAGATTCACGTGGATTTGACAAAGGGACCGGCTTGTGTGCAAATATTCTCCAAAAGCGGCAAAGACAGCACAGAGGATCGAAGAGGGCTGCATCCGTAAGACTCACACATGTCTGTCGAACTTATCTGACATATTCAATAGCATTGTGCAGAGTTCCCTGAAGATCGGCACTGGAGATTGCACTATCACCAGAGGATGCATACTAGAGGGGGAGCTTGTAGTATACAGCGACCTGGTAATATCCTCCAAGACGTCATGGGAAACTCAGTCGCTTACATCGAAAAGGAGAAAAAAATTCTGCCCTTTCACAAAATTCGCAACCATGTCACCCGCAGAGGCCTGTACCTGGGAACGGACCACGACTCACCGTAAATATTCTGCGCAGCTGTCTCAACCAAACTCACACTTTCAAGGCCGAGACGTCATGATCATCTTATGATCATTTACTACGACATCCTGCTACTCGACGATGAATCACTGCTCCATGTTCGCCATTCGGAGCGAATTAAACTTCTCGAGAGCCTCATCAAACACCGTGCCGGCTGGGCTGAGACAGTGAAGAGGCGGGTGATTGACTTTGGCACGCATCGTGCCGCTTCCGATCTCCGGAATGTATTTGCAGAAATCATCACATCAAAGCAAGAAGGTTTAGTCATTAAACCAGACGAGCCCTACTTTGACCTCAGCGTGCCAGGACGTCCGAGGAGCGGCCGATGTATCAAGCTGAAGAAGGAGTACATTGGAGGCATGGGCGATATTGGCGACTTTGCGGTCGTGGGCGCTGGCTACGACGCCGTGAAAGCAATGGCCTACCGCATACCCAATCTCAGGTGGACGCATTTCTTTTTTGGAAACCTGAGTAATAAGACAGACGTGCAGAAGCACGGAGCGAAACCGAGATTCACTGTCATCGGCATGGTGGAACTCGATCAGACCCTCCTGACATCCGTCTTGGAGTTTGGGAGGTCCGGAGCAGTCACTCAAGAAGAGAACACGCAGATCATTGTGGACATGGTACGCGGCATTAGCAAGCGGCCTGAGATGAGTGTAATCTTCACCTCACCAATGGTCTTTGACATGAGATGTTTCAGCTTTGTCAAAAACGGTACCTCTGGACTCTGGATGCCGCGTTTCCCTGTTGTCTCCAAAGTCCACTTTGACAGAGACTACATGGACACCATTACGTTTCAGGAGTTACAGGACATTGGTCAAGACGCCGTGAATGTTGAAGAGCAGGTGGACAGCCAGGAAAACCTACAATGGATTGCAAAGCTCGAGGCTGCCGATCCTCGAGGCGTAGCTGTCGACGCAGTCAGTCAGCAGACACGGACAACTATGGCAACCCCATCCCCTAGGCGCTCTACGCAAAGCAGCACCCAGAGCTGGTCTATATCACCAATTGACCCAGGATTGGGTGAAAGACTTGGTCAGTCTCAACCAGCAATTGCGTTTGCTTCCCCGAGCGTTAATGGTTCCGCCATGAAAGCACGCGGACCCTTGTTTGCGACTCCGACCTCAAACTGGCAGCACGATACTGCAATACTTCGAAGGCTTTCTCGTCCAATACACAAAGATAGCGAACAATTGTCCTCCAGAAAACGCAAGAACTGCGAGTCGGGGTTAAGCTGCACAAAGAGACAATCAGCAGATGACCTAGCTTTGCTTCGTCGAAGTCCACTGGGAGAAATCAGTGACATTAACCCGTGCAAAAGACCCACATCATGCATTCTGGATTCTGGGCAGGGGAACACTCGGTCCGTGCAGTGTGAAGTCTCCCCTGGAGGGACAATAGGGGATACGCCGGTATTGACGACCAAGTGTCACGACGCACATCCAGGATGCAAGACACCTGTTTCTGCATCCTGCGGCACACGGGAATGTACCTTTGGAGTGGCCAATGGCGGACAGAAAAGTCCTCAAGCCAGCATGGCGGCGCCCCTAGCCATGCTTCCTAGTGGCAAAGGACCCTTGCCAGATGGCTGCACATACTCTGGTAAACAATGCAAGTTTGCTCAAAAAGTACTGCTGCTTGCGCCGTATCTGGATAGCACACATCCAGAATTGGCAAGCCTGCTGGGTGCTCACGGTCTTGGAACTTCCATGAGTCTTCTCGATGAGCGTCCAGCTACCGAGCAGACACTCTGTATCAACAGCCGCACAGGCGACCAAGCTCGAGACAAAGTTCTGCTCGTCGACAGTCTGAACAAGGCAACCGAGACAGAAACCGTACTGAAAGATTTGATCATCTCGAGAGAGAAGATCCCTCACGGAGAACGAGATATGATCTCTGTGTACGATTGGAGGATACTGCAGTATATGACAATACTGGAGGACGAAACGATTCGCAAGAAATGCTATGATGGATTCAAGGATCCTTGGAGGCGTTGGTATTGTGGATCAGTCTAAGAGCTGGAATCATTTCTTCTCATCATACAGATTCCCATATGTGGCCCTCAGCCTCATGTCCAAATGCTCGCCGGCCGTCATGGTCTTCCTTTCAGAATAGGGGTTAGCCTCCACCGCGTCGCCCGTTGCCTTGAAGTTCTTGACTCTGTCGCTTGGCACGGGCTCTAGCTTCGTTGAGCCTTCCGGATGACAGAAGAATGCAATCGAATATCTCGGACCATCGCAAGGCTCGCCGGAGACTCTATTGTCTCCTTGGTTCGGGGTGAACACGACCCTGTGGACCGTGCTTCTGAAAAGTCCGTTGGTCCAGTATGACAACAGATCGCCAATGTTGATCAGAATCGGCGGACTTGGGTCATTTTCGGTGCCTGCGGGGCACACCGGGACAGGAGCCCAAGTGTTGTCTTTCTTGAGAATTTCAAGGCCTGCTTGCCCTTTGAGCCGGAAGAGCAGGGTCACCGAGCCGTAGTCGGAGTGGGCACCCGCGCGAACATCATCACTGGAGTGAGGAGTGGAAGAGGGGGGAGGGTAGCGCAAGAACCGCAGGATGGAATGAAACGACTCCATCAGCTCTTCGGGGATGATGTGCGCGGAGGAGAAGAAGTCTCCAACCTGGCAAGCATTAGTAGTGACTCGGCTTCAGGGCGATAGGCGCATACTCCAAGACCAAGACCTAACAAATAGAGGATCTTCCGGCAGAGCGCATGGCACGAATCGGCAAAGTCATTGAAACGGAGTTCATACTGAGACACGCTATCGGGAATCGGCTGCTGCGCTCTGCCTCTGATAAAAGGGCCGAAATTGAAGGCTCTAAACACGGTTCAGTATGGTTTTGGAAGGGAGCTATGTGGTTGTACTCTTTATAGTCCCCAATCTTATCGATCAGCATGAGATACCAGTCATGAACGATTGGTACATCCATACCTGCTGTGTCTTGGGGTCGAGGGTCTCTGAATGCATACCAGTCCAGCCCCTGTTGTTGGTCTGAATGGAGCACCTCTTCTTCTCTTCCAGCGGAGCATCGAAGATCTTTTGCGACTGCAAGATGTAAGTTGTCGGTCAAGTCAAGCGCGGGGCAGTACCATATAGAACGCCTCATCAATGTCCAAGGGCGTGAAGTCTTTCCCTAGATTTCGGATGTAGATGAACCCATGTTCTTCAGCGGCGTTCACCAATTGACGGGCCACATCAGCCTGATCCCCCGAAAGATCAATGATCGGGATGTGAGAAGTGGCTGCCATGTTCAAGTAATGATATCTAGTATGAAGAAACGGCTACTATTCACCACCGCTTTGAGAGGTTTAATCAAATGCAGAGACGATGATCGTCGTCGTAGTTCATGGAGGGGCGGTCCCTTGGTCTTGGCCTTCATCCCACCTCGCGACCCACATCAGCTCGGGGAGCTCCGGCGGCCGGCGTGTCGCGTGTCTCAGTGCCGCTTTTAGTAAGGGTGCCGGGTCCATCGGAGATTCATTTCACCGACTGCCGTCCCAAAGTCGCAAAGGGCAGCTGCTTATCGCCACGTGATCTGCTCACACATTTCCCAAGAAACCCTGACGATAAGCACAGAATTTTGCAGCGCAAACTTGTGCACACTACCGGTCCAGTCCCACGTCTCGTCGCAGCCAGCCTCTAATCCACCCTCACCTCCTCGAAGCCCACGACAACCGATCGCAAAACGCACCATTTCGACGTTTTCGCAATAACATCACACAATGGATTCCGCTAAGGCTCCCGTCAAGCTCGTCAAGGTGACCCGCGTCCTTGGCCGTACCGGTACGAACCCCCGATCACCCGCATGATCATCGTCATTTCGACATCGACGCCCTTGAATTTTTTTCGATGGAGATTTCATAGGCCGCGATGGATGGATAGATGGATGGGATCATGAGAAGAGACTGTCATGCTGACAATTGGCAGGCTCGCGTGGTGGTGTCACCCAGGTCCGTGTCGAGTTCATGGACGACCAGTCCCGCAGCATCATCCGCAACGTCAAGGGTCCCGGTATGTTCACGCGCGCCTTGATCGATCCGTCCGCCAGGTCACTAACATGGGTCCGACAGTCCGTGAGGACGATATCCTCTGCCTCCTCGAGTCCGAGCGTGAAGCCCGCAGGCTGCGATAAGCAATGTGTGGATAATGGGGAAGATTACGAAGGAGACCATCTAGCGTGGGATGGCATGACGACACGACAGAGTCTCTGGACGGGCTTTGGACTGGGATGGATCCTTTCGCGACGGTTGGGAACGGGACAACTTTTGTCTCGCGGCGTCAAAGAGTTGTCTTGTAGCACAAATCATCAGGCTGCCCGGTCGACGGCTCAAACAAAAGACTTTTGAACCACACACACACACCCACAACGGCCGGCTGTCATTCAGTGAGAGGACTCGGGTATGTTGGTGACTTGGAGATGTTGGGATTCATTGCGGAATGGGATGCCGCCATTGTGACTGCATCACAGCTCGCACGAGGATGCCAAAGCTGTGTAGCCAACATGGGGCTTCTTGACCATCGTAGACATGCCGCTGGCACATGTTGGGGGACAACGAGGACAATGAGAACATGCCCACGGGTGTAGGAACAGCTGGGCGTTAAGCTGTCTCATGATTTCAGATTGCCCCAGTTCTCACAAGAACTAGCAAGAGTACACCACGTAGGAGACGAAATCGCATGCGTGTTCATTCATTGGCACCCTACATACACGCGGACACGCTCCGACAGTGATGCCCACTAAAAGCGGCGGCGGCTAGCATGGAGGTCCCACGGTGGGGTTACTCACACTTCTGCTCAGTGCTTGAGCGGCAGACGTGTCAATTACAAAGTTTACACTATTCCACACAGGGCCATGGAGCAAATATCAACCGAATTGGGCGCAGTTTCCAACCTAGACCTGTGACAATGAAAATTGGCACGCACATGAACCCCCCTGCTGCAACAACAGCTGCGACTGCGTTCCCGAAGTGACTTTCTTCTTTCTTTGCTTCGGGCGTCACCATTAGAACTGCTTGTTGCTGCCTCGCACTTTCTTTTGGCAGACCTTGTACTCTTTTGGTCAGGGCCAATTGTCCTGTACCTTAGCCTTTCTGCCAGCAGAACGATCACGACACCTTGCCGGACCAGCTGTCACATCCCCAACACAACACTCGTTGTCCACGTACCTGCTGCTGGTAGCTTCCCGAAACCCAAGGATTCGCGCGAAGCGCCTTCAGCTTCACAAGATGAGACGTGGGTAACCTGAAGACTCCCGCCGCGGGCAAAGCTGATCATGTGGTATAGTTCTCGTAGAGGACTCTTGGATCAATGACTGCGCAATGTGAGTTCTTCCCAAAATCCTGCACCCACCACCTCCTGACATGCCAGCAGCGATCACTCCCTGTCCGATATCGAAGACTGCGCCATCGCTATCGATGCCACGTACTGGTTGATCCAGCTCCTCGACGACGAGGGCGCCGAAGAGCCCTTATTGCCCGCCCTCGGCGGACTAGCCAACATCGAGACGCAAATCGGCTTGCAGCTTCAGCGTTTCGAGGACAATAAAATTACTCCTCTATTCGTATTCGATGGACAAGCCTTAGTCGGACAGGACGAGGTCGCCCTCAAGCGCAGCACTGCCACTCACAAGGCAACGGACGAGGCGTGGACTCTGTATGCAAAAGGCCTACCTGTGGAAGCCGTCGACACATTCCGCCCAAGCAATGGCGCATACAACGTACGCAACCTGTACCCGGCTCTTCAGAGGCATCTCAAGGCCAGAGACTTGCACTTTCTGGTGGCGCCTTACAATGCATGCGCGCAACTGGCATACTTCGAGATGGTTGATTCCGACCAGTGTGCAGGCGTAATGGGACCTCAGGAACTTCTCGCCTACCCGATTCGAGACTCGGTAATCCGCAAAATTAACTGGGAAAGACAGAGGATCTCTGCTGTATCAAAAAACCAACTGAAGCGAAGTCTGGGAGGCGTTAGCGAGGCCATGTTTGTGGATGCTCTTCTCATGGCGGGGACCTCCTTCTTGGAGCCTTTTCCTCCATTCTCAGATGCTACGACATACCCGCGCGGGTCCGAGACGAGGATATGCGACGCGATTAACATTCTACGCACCTCTGACAAATCTGTCGCCAACGCCTGTGCTGCCTTTAGCGACCACCTGCAATCGCAAGATGCGGAATGGTTGTCAAAGTACCGAATGGCACGCATGGCGGTGCACCACTTCATCCACATCACCGAGGACGGCGAAGTGCGCGTAAACGAGTACGACAAGCTTACCCAAGACAATCACCAATATCTGGGGCTGCAGCTTCCCGCGGAGCTCTTTCACTATCTGAACACCGGGCTTATCGGACCTCGTAACCTGAGCTGCATAACGCACGGCCAATTCATGATTCAGCCCCCTCTGGACAGCATGATCACGGATGAATACAAGAAGCTTGTCACGGAGGAGATCGTCCCAATCAGGGAGCAAACTCTAGGACTGATCATCCCCAGAGTCCACCGAGGTATTGGACACAAGGCAGTTACCATGCGTGCATGGTTTGATCCAAAGTTCACCCACAATATCAACCACAGCAATTTGTCCCCTCCTCCGTCGCAAAAAGTGGGCACGTGGGACGTCAAGGAAAAGGACCTGCGTGCTCATTTTCCCCCAGAGTACAATGGCCCCATATTCTTGGAGATCACCAGCCTCCTGAATGATGAATTTGCGGCGAAAACAATCGCCAAGACCAGGATTATCACCGGTATCGACAGCACGGACATGGTCATCTCTGTGACCATCTGGCGCTTCCTCCACCTCCGCGGCTACATTAACGATCAGCACCGCGTAACGGAATGGGGAAGAGCCCTTGCTCTCGCCCTCTTCGCCATCCGCGACAGCAACGGCGACCAGCCATCGCCGAAATCAGAAGAGGCTGTCCTTCTTGCCTTTGAGCTCATTAGACATGGACTCCTGGGAGGAAAGCCTCGCGTGTCTGCAGTCGGCTATCCCCGCAAGGGGACAGATGAGGAGAAGGCTAGCCTTGCGCTCGTATCAGAGTGCGCTTCCCTTCTCAGGCTGAGCCATCAGGAGTACGGGTACACTGGACCCCTGAACAGGGGCCTCCTGGCCTTCAGGGCCCTCTCATCCACGGTTCGACAGGCTGATCGCGATCTTATCGAAGCTATCCTTGCATCAATGTTCATGTACGGGCAAAGCAAACGCGATCGGTCCGACCAAGTCGAGATCAGCACCACGTAAGTAAACTCATGTTCTTTCATAAGCACTATACTGACTCATCTAGCCTGCCCTTCTCTGATGAGCCCGACATCAGTCTGGGTATTGCCGTGCGCACATTTTTCGACGATGATGAAGGGGCCAAACCATCCAAAGAGCAGCGCCTCGCCAGCGTTGAAGAGTTCGTACCCGTGTATGCGCCCTTTGCCCAAGATCTGGCACAGGATTTCAGGACCGTTGCGGCCTTTATTGGAGCCATCAACACCGGTATTCAGTCACTAGAGGAGATCAAAGTCGACAAGACGGCGTGGAGCAGAGCGCAGGCATACATGGATGCTCGTCCGCTCTGAAATGGCCCCCGGAAAATGAACGCACAGTTCAACATCACAAGAATTAGCCCGATCTGAGTATGCTTATCTATAGCAGCTAACTGTCGCATGCACAGCATCCTCTGAAAGCGTGCAGTGGCCAAAAGGTTCACGGGGCGCCGTGTACAACGGAGGCGTGGGGATGCCAGTGAGGACGGTCACCTGGGACAGCCCATGTCGGGCAGCTTCTCAGGTTGGGCCGACGTGCTGATGGAGTAGCTTACGCAGCTGTAGCTCGTCAAAATAAGATACTGATGATCTGATGGTCTCGTGCACAGAGCAGCAGGTCCTCGGATGCTAGTCTCCTATACGCGCCTTTGTCCTGAGACTATCTTGGTACTGACTGTTACTTTTACATGGCCACGCTACCGTGCTCGCTCGACGAAGTCGCTAGCGCCGGTGAGTAAATAGCTGCTTATGATTGAGTGCCACGGATAAGTATCTATGCCAAGGTGCAGACCTCTCTATACTTAGCTTTGTGCGGACTTTAGGTATAACAATACTTAGGGGCTGTTAGTATTGCCCGATATTGGCACTACCCCTGACAAGGATATTGCCTCCTGGGTAGTAGCCCAGACTGTCCCGGATGAGCTCAACGTTCAGGAAACGAAGGGCCTTCCAATGTCAGCCATGTTTCCGCGCTCGCCAATACTATCACACATATGTGACCCAAGACCCATCTATCATCCCAGGCTGTCCAGCTTCACTTCAACAACGTAACATATACTGTCTCAAGACTTTGTTCTGTGGCCGCAAAGTCCACGTGCGCATCTGTCATCTTCGAATGCAGCTGAGACGGCTTCTAGTGATTGCCCCTCGAACTCATCCACAAACTTGTTACAAACATTGCGACGTCGAATCGATAAGTCTCGACTGTCAATCAGAGGGTTGCCGGATAGGAGAGAGCGGTAAATGAGATCAATAGGAGGGATATTCGTGGAGATATCGATGACTGTCTGGGGTCCTGAGGCGCCACTCGTGAGGATTGTGTTCGTGTCTCAAACTTGGTCAGTCCCACAACCACAACCATAACCAGTACCACAACCACAACCATAACCAAAACCACAACCACAACCACAACCACAACCACAACCACAACCACAACCACAACCACAACCACAACCACAACCACAACCACAACCACAACCACAACCAAAA